ATCCACCCACCAGCAGGAGAGATCCGAATCCATCATTCAGGACATCACCTGACTAAATTATGTGATTCAAGATGCCTTAAAATTACAGAGGGAGGAATTTCGTTAGTGTCAGCATCTCATGTTTAGAGAGACAACACCAGGCTCAGACAGTAGATAATCTTAGTTGTCACTGTAAATAAAGGTCAATAAACAGTGATGCAGCTGCTTCTATGATGGTTGTGATTTCTCTGAACAGTTACTATTACTTGGAGAGAAATGCATAGCCAGATCTCTTTAAGTTCTTTTATGTTGTGCCAAAGTTTGTACAATGCTTAACATTTAAGTTTACAGTTCTACTGCATTAAGTACAATCATGGTGCTATGCAGACATCACCAGCATCCATTTCTTAAAGTAGAACTGTTCCTATTAAACTCCAGCTCCCTATTTCTTCTAGTCCAATAACCACTATCCCTGTAATGCCTTGTGAGTCTACATACAGTATGGGATCTGTTGACACTGTTCTTAGGACTGGCTTATTCACCTATCATAATGACTGATGTCGGTTAATCTTGATCATCAGCTTAATGGGACCTAGAATCACCATGGAAATATACCTGGTGTGTATATGAGGATGTCTCCAAAAAGGGTTTTAACCACTGGGGCTGGAGAGCATGTAATGTCAGTTCTAGGGAATCTGATGCCCTCTTCTGGATATATATGCAGGCAAAACACCCATACACATATAAATAAATAAACAAACAAACAAACAAATAAATAAATCGGTTGGCCCTCTTCTGGATATATATGCAGATAAAACACCCATACACAAACAAACAAACAAACAAACAAATAAATCGGTTGGCCCTCTTCTGAATATATATGCAGGCAAAACACCCATACACATACAAATAAATAAATAAATAAATAAATAAATACATAAATAAATACATAAAAAAATAGACAAACAAACTAAATGAATAAATAAATCGGTTAGCTGAGGAGGGAAGCTCATCCTCAAAAGCGAGCAGTGCAATCTGATGCTCTCTTCTGGATATATATGCAGGTAAAACACCCATACACATATAAACAAACAAACAAACAAATAAATCTGTTAGCTGAGGAGGGAAGCTCATCCTCAAATGTGAGCAGTGCCATTCCCATGGACTGGGGTCCCAGACTGAATGGAAGAGAGAAAATGAACTGAGCACCAGTATTCATCTCCTTCGGCTCAGTGTACCCAGATGTCTCATGCTGCTGCTGCCGTGCCATGCTGAAATAAATCCTTCCTCTCTTAAGTTCCTTGTTGGGTATTCGGTCACAGCAATGAGGGAAGTAACTAATTGCATTTTGCCATGGTTTGAATGTACTCTACAAAATTTGTGTTGAAACTTCATCTTTATTATAGTATTGAGAGGTTCTTTATGGAAGTGTTTAAATCTAACAAAGAACATATTAATGTCCTTTTAAAAGAAGCTTCACAGAATTTTCCTCTTGCTCTCTGGCTAAGTGAAGACAGCCTTCCTCTTCCTTTTCCAGGCACATATCAATACCATTTCAGAAACAGTGCTTGAAATAAGTCCAAAAGATCTTGGACTTTTCAACCTCCAAAGCAGATGTAAATTTCTGTTGTATATGTGATATAGTCTGTGGTATTTTGTTACATTCAAGATTCATCCATGTCATAATTCAACATGTCAGAATTCCCTGCCTTTTTGAGGCTAAACATTTCAAAATGTATATACACCACATTCTGTTTATTCCTCTGTGAAAGGGCCTCTCCATCATTTTTAATCCCAGCACTCGGGAGGCAGAGGCAGGCAGATCTTTGCGAGTTTGAGACAAGCCTGGTCTACAAAGTGAGTTCCAGGACAGCCAGAGCTGCAACACAGAGAAACTCTGTCTCAGAAAACAAAAACAAATCAAAACAACGACAAAAAAAAAAAAGAGTTGGTGACTCTGATGCTGCTTTTTGTTTTGTTTTGTTTTCAAGACAGGGTTTCTCTCTGTTGTTTTGGTGTCTGTTCTGGATCTTGCTCTGTAGACTAGGCTGGCCTCGAACTCAGAGATCCTCCTGGCTCTGCCTCCCGAGTGCTGGGATTAAAGGTGTGCGCCACCACCATCTGGCTTCTGATGCTGCTTTGAACATGGGTGTGTAGACATTATTCCTACACTCGCCCTCAGGTTAGGACATTGACAAAAGTAACTGATGCTCCCATGACTGATACCAATAATACAATTCACAGCACAGCTCTAGCTTGACACTTCCCACCCTGCTTGACTGTGATGGAGAACTAGGGATCTGGGCCCCATGTGCAGTTACTTGGGACACTGGGTAGGAGGATAACTGGAGCTCTTGAGTTCAGGGCCAGCCTAGGAAACTCAGAACCCTTAGTGGCTAGAAGAAGGTGTTAGATTACCTGGACCTGGAGTCACAGACAGTTGTGTGTGCTGGGAATTACACTTGAGTCCTCTGGAAGAGCACCCCCCTTTTCTTTTGAGACAGGGTTCAAGCTGGGCTTGAACTCCAAAGATGACCTTGAATTTATAAATCTACTTCCACCTCTAAATTGTTGGGATTACAGGTGTGCCCACTACACCAGTTTATGAATACTGAGGGTGGATCCCAGGGCTTTGCATAAGCTGAACAAGCACCTATTAATTGAGCTGTTGTTACCCAGTCCACCAATATTTGTATTTGGACAATATATTAGATCCATAGAATGGTCTTTGAAACTGTACTGTTACATAGTACCACAATTCAAATGCACCTCCCTCTTTATTATGCCATTGCCTCCTCCCTTTTTTGCAGCGATGTGTAAATTGAGTTTACAGAGCAGTTTCTTTTTTTTTTTTTGTGGGCTTTTGTTCTGTTGTTGTTGTTGTTTGTTTTGAGACAGGATTTCTCTGTGTAGCCTTGACTGTCCTGGAACTTGCTCTGTAAACCAGGCTGGCCTCAAACTCACAGAGATCCACCTGCCTCTGCCTCCCGAGTGCTGGGATTAAAGGCATGTACCACCACTGCCAGCTAGTGTTCTGTTTTTTTTTTTGTGTGTGTGTATTTATTTATTATGTATACAATGTTCTGCCTGCATGTATGACTGCACACCAGAGAAGGGCACCAAATTTGATTACAGATGGTTGTGAATCACCATGTGGTTTCTGGGAATTGAACTCAGGATCTCTGGAAGAGCTGTCAGTGCTCTTAACCTCTGAGCCATCTCTCCAGCCCCCATCAGAGCAGTTTCTTGAGATGAAGAATCATATTTATTTCTTTAAAAATTTAATGCTCAAGGGCTGGAGAGATGGCTCAGAGGTTAAGAGCACTGACTGCTCTTCCAGAGGTCCTGAGTTCAATTCCCAGCAACCACATGGTGGCTCACAACCATCTATAATGAGATCTGGCGCCCTCTTCTGTATACATAATAAATAAATAAATCTAAAAAAAAAAAAAAAAAAAAAAAAAAAAAAAAAAAAATTTAATGCTCAAAATAGCTACATAAGCTAGGTTTGGTGGCACAGGCCTTTAATCCTTTAATACGTTTTTAACACTCGGGGCAGGTGGATCTCTGTCAGTTTGAAGCCAGTTTGGTCTACATAGTAAGCTCCAAGCCAGCCAAGGCTATGTAGTATAGTGGGGCCCTATCTCAGAAGGAAACAACAACAGACAAACAAAAAAACAGAAAAGGACATCCAGTCACAAAAGGACAGACTGTTGGAGTCCAATTAATTTAAGATTCCTAGAACACAGATCAGAGTGAGACCTACCTCCCCAAGGGACACTGCGGCAGTAAGCAAGCACTGGTAAATAAGAACTATACTGTAAATGCTAGTTAGTTCAGTGTTGAGATTTTGTTAAGCCTTTGTTGTACACACCCTACTGATACTTTCTATGAAGTATTAAAGCATTTAACAGGTCCTGCTCCGGTGCCTGGCTGAAACTGTGCCAGGAAAGCAGCCTTTTATGGGCAACTGGCCACACTGCCCTCATGAGCTGTTTAGACACTGGAACCCACTGTGCAGACACCTCTCAGCTGCAGTGGACCACCACAACCTCAGCTGAAGACTTGCTCCACCATGACCATTCCAGACAGCACCCACTGACACTGGAAAGTAGTACTGTGAGCAAGACAAGCATGGCGGTGAACACCCATGACCTTGCCATAATTACGAACCCAGGCCAGAGGGGGAGCACTTCCTTGGTGGCTGCACAGAAGCCTCTGATTGACATAAACATTCATGAAGGACGGCGGGTTGGTGCTAAGACCCTTGCCACACCCCTATTCTCTCTATATAAGTGGACCGAGGCACATTTCCCAGTCAGTGGAAATGCACTGTAGTATTAGCCAAGGGTTTAGATTGTCAAAGGCCAAGGGTCCTGAGAATGCCTGAGGTTTGAGGTTCATCCAGGAGCAGTAATATTATCAAATGCCTGCTGCTGCTTTCTACTGCTCAAAGCTAAAAACTGTAATAGCTGCCAAGTGCTGGGCCTGCTGCTGGGTAAAGCCCAAGGTAATAAAGGCTGTCAGCCTCTGGGCCTGCCAGTGTAGTCCCTTGGTCTCGGGCTCAACATGTCCTAGAACTGCCAGCACTGGAAGAGCAGATGGACCACTTTCCTACTCAGAAGGACCCGGTAAGTTGATCAATAACAACTAGGGCAGTAAAACTTGGAGGCAGGACGGTAGGTGCCAGGGGCTAGGTGTGGGGAATGGAGAATTGATAGTTTAATGCAGAAGGTTTTAGTTCAGGAAAATGGAAAGAACTCTGGAGGTGAAAGTTGATAGTTGAACAGTATGCATACACTTACAGATTACAAGAGGACAAAAGCTCTAGATTTAGAGCAAGAGCCAAACCTGAGATTTTTCAGTTCACCTAAACCCAATGCCAGATTTTGATCCCCTGGGGACTCACCCACCAAAGTAAGGTCCCCTACGCCTGCCACCTGGAGACTACCGGCAGGTGGCACTCCAGTCCGCGTTTCCTGCTCTGTCGGGGTGGGGTGTGGGGCGGAACTTCCACCAGCCGGAAGCGGGTGCATGCGGAAGTGTGTCCCTGGCGTCCTGCCGTCGGGCCGCGCGATTTGAGGCATGGCTTTCCGGCAGGCACTTCAGCTGGCGGCCTGCGGTCTGGCGGGTGGCTCGGCCGCTGTTCTCTTCTCCGCGGTAGCAGTGGGCAAGCCGCGCGGCGGTGGAGATGCAGACGCGCGCGCGACCGAGCCGCCGATCTGGACAGGAGTCTCGCGTCCCGGGCCCACCGTCTGGGACTCCAACTGGGACAGGTGCAGGGACGGGAGGGTGGAGCTCGGGCCTGGTTCCGCCCGTCCATCGCGGTAGGGTGGGTCTAGAGTTTGTGTGTGCCTGGGCGGCTGGTCTTTTGGAGAGCCCCAGTACCAGGACGACGCGTCCTCCAAGAGTCTCAGTGCCTCGACCATCCATCCCTCCGAGGGTACCTATACCCGTCCCGATAGATTCCTCAGAAAGTCCTTGTTCAGAGACAATACTCCCGAAGGTCTGTATCCAAGGACCATTATCCTCTGAGGGTCTGAAATTCTAAAGGATTACATTAATTTATATGTATACTATATATATACACACACACACACACACACATATATGTGTGTGTGTGTGTGTGTGTATATATATATAGTCAGGGTCTTGATATATAGCCCAGCTTGTCCTCACAAATTCTGCTGCAGCCTGCGGAAAATTGGGATTTCAAGCATGCTATTCACTCAGAGGTCAGAGAACCTGTGCTTAGAACTAAGAGGTTACCTATGGAAGCCCAATATAGTGGCACACGGCTTTAATCCCATCACTGGGAGTCAGAGGCAATCAGATCTCTGAATTCTAGGACAGCCTGAGCTAAATAGAGATCCTGACTCAAAAAAAAAAAAAAAAAAAAGGTTACCTGATTTAAATTCGTTTCATAGAGCCAGGCAGTGGTGGTGCATGCCTTTCATCGCAACACTTGGGAGGCAGAGGCAGGTGGATCTCTGAATTTGAGGCCAGCCTGGGCTACAAAGCGAGCTCCAGGACAGCCAGGGTTGCACAGAGAAACCCTGTCTCAAAAAACAATCAAAAACATTGTTTTATATTTGCTTGCCATATCTGATGCGTGGATGGACCGGTACAGTGACTGGATCTTTGTTAGGTAGGAAGGATGCATCACAGTTGGGTAAGCAACTGCAGGAAGGGACTAGGAAGTGGGCATATCCACTTGGTGTTTTTTTCTGGTGGGCCTTCCTCTGTGACAGTAGTCCCCAAATTCTGTATGGTCCAGCCCCACACATTCCTGCATCTGCAACAAGACTTTGGCTTGGCAGTTATATGGGACTAACACCCCAGGTTAGCCTGTTCAGAGAACGCTTGAGCCGCCACACTCTCCACCTTCCTCTTCCGTGATTGCTGTAATTTTGGCAGGCTTGATGTGTGCTGTTCCTGTCTCCTACAATTTTTTTTTTTTTTTTTTTGAGACAGGGTTTTTCTGTGGAGCCTTGGCTGTCCTGGAACTCGCTCTGTAGACCAGGCTGGCCTTGAACTAGGAGATCTACCTGCCTCTGTCTCCTGAGTGCTGGGATTAAAGGTGTTCGCCACCACGCCTGGCTCCTGCCTCCTCCATTTAACTGAGTTGCTTCAGTTTCTTCAGCTCCTACATACCCAGTCCACTAACTGCAGTCCTCAACTGTTGTGATGGCCACTACCACAGTGACTGAAATGTTTAAAATGTGCTTAGTGTGACTTAGAAAAGAGCTCTATTTTTATTTAATTTTAATTTAATTATAGTAGTCCCTCTGTATCCTGAGGGATTGGTTCCAGGATCTCTAAACATACCAGTTTGTGGATGTTCAAGATGGTGTAGTATTTGCAGATAACCTAGAGGTCTCCTGTATACTTTAAATCATCCCTAGATTATTTATCATACTTAATACAATAAAATTGCCACCTAAGTAGTTGTTAAATTATACAGCTTAAGGTAAAAATTACAAGACAAAAAAGGCCTGTTTAGTACAGGTGCAAATGTTTTTGAATATTCTGATACCTGGTTGATGAGTGTGGGATTTACTTATTAGATAGCTCAAACTGGCCTTTTGTGGTCCTTCTGCCTTAGCTTCCCATGTGTACTTGTACTATGAGAAAATATAGCCCAGGGCTCCTGTCTAGTATTTTAATTTAATTTAGGGATGTTAGTGCATACCTGTAATCCAGGTAAACCTGAGGATTGCTGTGATTTCAGCCTGGGAACACTGAGAGACACTGTCTCATAAACAACAAAATGAATAAACGATGAATGAAACAACCCCATAACTAGTAGATCCATACAGACAGTACAGTCCGAGGCTCTACTCAAGTGCAGCTGTCCATAGTCTCACAACCTCTCATTGTCACCTGGTTGCATATTTGCAGCATTATTGACAGTTTTTCCCCCTCATGTGCATGTGTGTGAGATCACGTGTGTGGGTCTGTGTGAAAGCCTGAGGTAGATATCGAGATTCTTCCTTAATCATGCCTCTAGATTATCCTTTAAGGCATGGTCTCTCAATCAAACCCAGAACTTGCTAATATGAATAATCTCACTAGGCAGCTTCTCCTGGGGATCCTGTTTCCACTTTCTGAGGCTGGAATTATAGGTGGGCCATTCTGCCTACCCAGTATTTATGTGGCTTCTGAACTCCAGTCTTCCTGCTTGTACTTTAACAAGCAATTTAACTTCTGAGCCACCACCCTAGCCCATCTTCACCAAGCGTGTGAACCGTAGGCTTCACATATCTGTTATGCCCACTGCTGCATCACTTTTTTGCCTAGTCTTTGGGTGAAGAGTGCAGGTATGCTCTGTGAGGCTGGCCTCCTTGAACTTGGTTTTCCCCGTCCTTTTCCCAAGTACTGAAAGGTGTTCTGGACAAGAGGTTATAAGACATGCTTTTACAATTAGGCGAGAGCCACTGTCTCTCATTAACCTGAAGAAGAGGAATGTGGAATCTGGAGAAGAAGAACTGGCATCCAGGCTGGACCACTATAAGGCAAAGGCTACAAGGCACATATTCCTCATCCGGCATTCCCAGTACAATGTGGATGGCTCCCTGGAAAAGGATCGCACTCTGACCCCATTAGGTAGGACTCCTTGAATGGTCTTGAAGTTATCAGCTGAACTTGGGATATAGGCCTTCTCCTCTTCTTTCCTGGTTTCAGCATGGTGGTGATGGAGACAGAGTCTCAACTATGTAGTCTAGGCTAGTCTGGATTCCTGATACCCCTGCTTTGCTTCCCAAGTAGGTGGAGACATGAATACATGGTAGTGTGCATTTATATTTTAAACAATTTCTTGTTTGGATAGCATATTTCCCATTTGTACATATATTCAAAAGTTGGATGGTAATATGTCTCCAGGCGTGTTCTCTAGCAGATTTTGCCACCAACCTGAGGCGTTGCTTTTGACAGCTGGGAACAAGCAGAAAATGAGGTCATCACTGTGGTGATGGAGCCATGTTCTCATATCCAGCAGAAAATGATTTTCAAAACAAAAAAGATTTGTTGTAGTATTTCCAGGCCTATGCTAAAGTACATTTGAGGAAAAGCATCTATACTTAATACTGGTGTCTCCTTCTTGTGACCCCCTAAGAATCAGTTTGTAGTTTGTGTTTTATGAGGCAGGCCTTGAACTCATGGCAATCCTCCTGCCTTAGCCTCCTGAGTGCTGGGATTATAAGTCTGCACCACCAGGCCCAGTTCAGTTTTTTGTTTTTTGTTTTTGGTGTTGTCATGTTGTCTAATTGTCACAAGACAGTGGGCCACTGTGATGCTGTGACTTGATTTTGTTCTCCCCCTACCAGTACTGGGAATTGAACCCAGGGTCTTGCATGCTAGGCAATTGTTCTACCAGTAAGCTATATTATATTCCCAATTAGAACTTGATTTTGAACATACTTGAGTAAAAATAGGAGAAATAGCAAAGGGTTCACATTCCACTGCTGGTAAGTGAACTCACTGTTGCTAATTGAATCAGGTACATTTTTCCTTGGGGTCGATTGTTTCTTTGCTTCCTGAGGACCTGACCCTGGTTGAGCCTTTGAGGACAACATCTTCCGTAGTGCTTGATGGTATTTCATTGTTTATTCAGTAAGTGGAGGGTTCTGGTATATAATTTTCACAGTTACTTTTTCCTTCAAGGTCGGGAACAGGCTGAACTTACGGGGCTCCGACTCGCAAGCCTGGGATTAAAGTTCAATAAAATTGTCCATTCCTCCATGACCCGTGCTGTAGAGACCACAGACATCATCAGTAAACACCTGCCAGGTGAGTGCTGGTTGCCTAACATGCTGAGGGTATAGATTCACTCTTGGTGATACATTGCTCAACAGGGATCTGCTCTTTTCCAGGTGTCTCCAGAGTCAGCACAGACCTGCTACGGGAAGGTGCCCCTATTGAACCAGATCCACCTGTCTCTCACTGGAAGCCAGAGGCTGTGGTAAAAATGCCATCCCTTGTGCCACTGGATTAGGGCAAGGCCTGCCATTAGCCTTGTCTACTTCCACACTGACAACTCCTTGCTCTGCTCTTAGCAGTATTATGAAGATGGAGCCCGGATTGAGGCTGCCTTCAGGAACTACATTCACCGAGCTGATGCCAAGCAGGAAGAGGACAGCTATGAGATCTTCATATGCCATGCCAATGTCATCCGCTATATCGTCTGCAGGTAAGTGCCATTAAGAATGCCCATGTATGTCTTCCTGTGTTACCATCCAGTTTCCCTGCCACCATCCTTTCTGGCCTTGGGTTTCCGCAGCCTGGGAGCTTCCTCATTCTTGACTCAGTTGTCTGTAGAATGCCTTTCTGTTTCGCCTTCCTCTGCTGTATGTGTAGTAGGCCCTAGTGAAACTGGCCATGACAGTGTACATGGTCAAGGAGCTGTGTTCGGGCCTCCACTACCTTATGGGAATGGTGAGTGTCTTAGGATCATTCAGAGTCCTGTTTTCCAAACACTTCTTCCAACTGCCTGTCGGTGGATGCTGCCAGCAGCCATCAGCACTGGACTTGTTCTGAGATTTTCCTTCATCCTGTTGTTATCAGAACTTCTCTAAGTACTGTCTTTCTCCATGTTTGTGTTTGTGAACAGTGTGGGCACCTTGTGGGTTAGGATACTTGTCTGCTAGTTCTGTACATGTAATTAGACATGTGCACAATCACCTGTTGTACATCATGACCATCATGATTATTGGTTTGCTGCTCATTTGCTTTGTGTTTTGAATTTTTCTTCACTTTCTGTAACAGCAGAATGTTCCAGGCTTATGCTGTTTCCCTGCATGCCCTTGTTCTAGCCACTTTTCTACGGGTGCCAAGGTAGTAGCCTGCTCCCTTCTTGGATTGTCACCTGTGCCATGATGTATGTTCCCATCACACCTGACCAGCAGCCCAGGGATGACTAGGGAACCTCATGTCAGTTAGGCGAGCATCAGTCCCAAGAAAATACATGGTTGCTGGAAAGCTGGGAATTCCTACTGGGCTCCTGGAGCTCCACATCAGACTGAGAACTGGCAGTAGGAAGGAGGGTGGTGTGGTGGACAGGTGCTTCTATGATGATATGGTCCCAACTGCTTATTAGGATACACCCTATATTTTTCTCTCAACATGTGAACAAGCCAGGAGTGCTCTGTTTTATACCTCATTATCTTATATTCTAAAACAGTCCCTGAAAACTGACATTAATGTTGAAAATGCAGGAAGAAGTAACCAGGAGCTTGGGAGGAGTACTTACACTGTGAGGACAAGCAGGGAGTTCTTAGTTCCATTCAGGAATGATCATCCTGAGTTGTGAAGAGTAACAGTAAGACTACATAGTTGTCTGGGCTGAGGTGTAGCTTAGTGGTAAATAGCTGGTCTGACATGTATAAGAGCCTGGGTTTGATTTTCTACATGAAGAAAGAAAAAGCTTTAATTTTTAAAAATTGTTATTTTATGTGTGCCATAGAACTTGTGTGGAGATCAAGGACAACTCTGTGGAGTCACTTCTCTCCTTCCTTCTACCTTTATGTGGGTTCCAGGGACTGAACCCAAGTTACAAGTCTTGCACATCAAGGGCCTTTGCCCAAGTTGAGCCATCTCACAGGTCTACTTTATTGTTTAAAAATGTACTTCATGTCAGGTGTGGTGGTACACACTGTTAATCCCAGCACCTAGGAAGCAGAGTTAGGCAGATCTCTGTGAATTCCAAGCTAGCCAGGATTACAGTGATACCTTATATAAAGTAACCCATTTATGACCTGGATGTGGTGCCACATACCTTAATCCCAGCACTTGGAAGGCAGAGGCAGGTGGATTTCTGTGAGTTCTATCCCAGAACTATATATATTTTGTGAATTCTAGGCCAGTTCTATATAGCAAGTTCCAGGTGAGCCAGGGGTTGCACAGTGAGACTCTGTCTCAAATAAAACAAATGGAACCTGTTTATGTGAAAATCTGTATAGCCCTGTGAGGATCTAGAAGCTCTTTTTAAGCAGTAGACCACCACAATGCATACAGTGTTTCAGCAGATGGGGCTAGAGATGTAGCTTCAATGTAGAGTGCTTGCCTGGTATGTACAAAGAGCTGGGTTTGTGTAGCAGCACAGAAGCCCAGCGTGAGTTTGAGTCCAGCCTGAGCTACATAAAACCCTTTAAAAACATTGGGGGGGGGGGGTGTAACCAGGTCCCTTTTCAGTATTAGCTAGGACACATCACAGGGCTTTTATAGTATTTATAACTTATAACTGACAAACCCAGTAGCAAGAAATGTCACGTGTTGGTAGTCACGTGTCGGACTCAACTCAGGCTAGTTCCTGAGGACACAGCACACTCAATTACTAGAAAATGGCAGAGACGACATCAAACTGTTCATCAAATACTCGTGTGTGTGTGTGTGTGTGTGTGTGTGTGTGTGTGTGTGTGTGTGTGTGGTCTGCATGTAGGTGCCCTTAGAGACCTGAAAGAGTGATTCCCTGGAACTGGGGTATTAGTTGTGAGCTGCCCAACATAGGTGCAGGGAATTGAACTCTGGTCCTCTAGTAGAGTAGCAAGTGCTCCTAACTGTTGATCCATATGTCTAACCCAATACTTGTGCCCTTAAAAAAGGAAATCCTAGCTGGGCGGTGGTGGTGCACGCCTTTAATCCCAGCACTCAGGTGGATCTCTGTGAGTTCGAGGCCAGCCTGGGCTACAGAGTGAGTTCCAAGAAAGGCGAAAAAACTACACAGAGAAACCCCATCTTGGGGGGGAAAAAAGGCACGGGGGGGGGGGGGGGGGGCTGCAGGGGTCATGTGTTACACTTCTATGCTGGAAGACTAGCCAAGTCTTGTCAGAAATACTTCTAGCACAAATTTGGATGCTTCTTGTTACAGTGCAAAGCAACCTTGATATCATTAGCTCTGAGTACATTTCTGACTTAGTTGGGTTAAGGCCTTGTCCCCACAGGTCAGATCCTTATTTAGTGTACTATTGAGACTTTCCCCCTGAGAATCCTTTCCCTGAAGACAGTACCACCTCAGTTACTTACCCAGCTGAATGTACCGGGCTGTCAACCTTGCCTGACCCAAGAGCAGCTCTGTACCAGCCTGAGCTTTCTGCTGGCATCATCATCTTTCTCTCCCCAGAGCACTGCAGTTTCCCCCGGAAGGTTGGCTCCGCCTGTCCCTCAACAACGGCAGCATCACCCACCTGGTGATCCGACCCAACGGTCGTGTTGCGCTCAGGACCCTTGGGGACACGGGGTTCATGCCCCCAGACAAGATTACCCGGTCCTGAGGCTGCGTGTAGGACTGCACCCTCTCCTCTGCTGGTGGCCTGGCTGCAGCCTTCCCTTCCTTGTCTTCCCGTCCAGACTGTGCTGTGGCTTCACCTTGTCTCCAGGAAGAGGATATCTCAGTGTTACATTTGGGTGCTTACTTCTGGCCCAGGCTGCAGAAGGCAACTTATGGGTTAGATGGCCTTTTTGAAAGCTTCCTACCTTACCATTACCACTAGCATTGCTCTACCAGGTGTAGACAGGAACCTTCTGGGGTAGAAAGCAGACATATCATGGGGACTGAACTGGCCTACCAGTGCTGTATCAGGTGATTACAGCAGATCAACTGAACAACCCATAAGCTCTGGCAGAAAACCTGTCAGGAGTATGGTGGTTGTTTACAACTCATTGTTTCATATACTACAATCTAGGAACTTTTGTTGCTTAAATATTTATCAAAAAATTTTCCTCACATGGGCTCTTGCTTTGAAAACCCACTTGTCAGCTCAATTAAGAGATCCTGTGTCTACTGCATCTAAATGAATTGAAGGGCAAAGGAATTGGCTTCCGATAAGGTAGATACAAGGCATGAAAGAAGTGGCGTTGCAGAAAGGCTGTGGCTTCTATATGGCAAGTACATGACATCCCTGTAAGAGGTTCTTTAGAGGCAATGAAGTAGCCCAGACTGACCAGATGAGGTGGCATATGCTTGTAATTCTAGCACTTAGGAGGCCAAGGTAGGATCATGAGTTTCTTGCTAGCCTGAACTCTGTAGAAAGACCAAGTCTTATAAACAAGACTATCCCAGAATGACTTAGTTTGCTACTGGTTACTGTTAACCTTTGGGCTTATAGGCTAGGTTATTTAGAAATGATGTGTTTACTCCAGATATTCTGATAACTTAGTGAAAAACTGGTTTGTGTATATGTGTTTTTGCTTTTTGAGTCAGGATCTTACTGTTGCCCAGGCTGGCCTCAAACTTAAGACCCTTCTCAGTCTTTTGAATGTTGGGATTGTAGATATACACTATCATACCTGGCCCAAAAAATCCCAATACAGTTTTTATGAAGTGGTTGTGAGCATTTTCTGTAATTAATACAATGAATTGGAATATTTGACCCATCTCTCTGTCCTGTTTGGAAACAAGTATGTAATAAAATTTTACTTCTTTGTTGTTTGTTTGTTTGTTTTAAAGAAAAAAAGTGGTATAATTAGAAGCCCTTTCTCAGTGTCTTCTATCCTAGGCATCCTGCTTGGAGGACTACCTCCCACAGAAGGTACAATGCTTCCTTTTCAACACTAGGCCTGAGAGGTGTTACTTGGAGGTAACCTTGGTTACCCACATTCCACTTTCTAGTAGTAGTTGAAGGAGGCATGCCAGGCTGTTAACTTCTAAACACAAAGCTCAAGGCTCCTCACTTGACCTGATGGGAATGTAAAAGCATTTTACAGGGAGTCAGTGTACTAAGAGTATACCCCACATGGTACAGCCTCCATAATCTTTAAGGACTGGCAGTATTTTAGGAACAAGACTTAGCTTTGAGGTGAGGCCACCTACTTGTATATGAGTTATATATCTTGGAGGCTGACAGTCATCTGCAAGACATCGTGATCACTTATAACAGCAATGATCCTGCAAGCTGAGAGCCCGACTCCTAGTCAGTTGCCCTATCCCTTCAGATCCCAATTTTCCTTATCACCAGTCAAAAAAAGAAAAAAAATCACACTGCAAAGTGATAGCTGAGAATGATGGAAGACATACTGAACAGCAGGGACAAGAAGCTGGATCAAGGCCTGCAGAAGTTTGTTGGTTGGTCATGATACCAGTGATCCAATAGATTTCAAAGACTCTCCAGTCAGGCCTTGCTTGCTGGGCTGCTGATACAAGGCTATGTCAAAATCTAATTTTCTGACTTTAAAATTATACTGTTATTTCTCATTTGTCTCACAGGAAAACATTGGAATGAAGTACAGCACAACCACCAAAATGACCATACTAATTGTTAGATTTGAAACCAACCATGCGAAATTGGGTTTCTAGATTTTGTAAAGTTATGACCAGAATGCAGCATTTGGCTCAATTTAAGAGCTAAGTACATTCCAGGAATAACCTGTTTTCTTAAAAATGAAACTCTTCAGAAGTTTTAGATTCTTTATGGCCTATGCCTACACATGCTGTGAATATTGGGCAGGAGTGAGTGCCCACTAACCCTGTATTAGGGAGGGCTGGGGCCAGGGTGTCTTAGAGGCCCAATGACGTGATAGAAAATGTTTTTGTGGTGCTGGATATTGAAACCATATTCCTTGGTTTGGGACAGTTATTTAAAGACTTCTGAAACACTAATCAAGTGGTGGGAATGTTGTGCCACTGATTCTTCTTGACTATTGTGTTTAACTTCATCCCAATGTTTTCCTATGAGATAAATGAGAAATACTAATATAATTTTAAAGTCGGAAAATGACTAGATCTTGACATAACAAGTGTGTGTGTCAACAGCCCAGCAAGCAAGGCCCAACTCAGGAAGACAAAGTACTAACCATTTCCTCTAAAAGCAGTAAAGATCCAACTATTCAATAGCATCTGGTACTAATTTTCAACACTGTACTCTGCTCTTCTCTAGAAACGAACAATGGGGACTTCTGTTGTCTCTATTACAAAGTTCAATAAAGTTCATCCATACCATGGCACTTCAGGAAGGATGCCTTACATACCCCTATCACACATTACAAACTAATGGTTGTTAATAAAAACAGGCCTTCCACTGATGTATAATCGAATATCAACCAAAAACTAGCAAGTAAACCTGTCCAGTTCAAGGCCATTGAGGTAACATTGTAAGACTACCTCACAAATATCAATGTGATACACAAATTAATGTACTTTTCCATGAAAATACTGCTTACAGTTTTACTAAAAAGGGAGTTCTGTCTGTTAAGTGATCTTTCTGAAAGCACTGTGTAAAAATGACTCATTAAACAGTAGAGTGTCATACTCTACACACTAGTGGTAAAGGTGGCTTAAAGAGAAATGGGCTAACAAGATGACTCAGCAGATAAAACTGTCCCATCCAATGACTTGAGTTGGATCCCTGTGACCTACAGGCAATAAAAACCGACTCCCAAAAGTTGTCTTCTGATCTCCACCCAAATGTAAAACTAGTCTGTGAAGCTAGCACAAAACTAGTACTTCAATTTTTATTTGAGTATTGACAACCCCCACCCCCCCAAAAAAAACCAAAACAGGCAAACAGGTAAGAAAACAAGATCATAGCTGAATATAATGTGTGAATTTTGGTTTCTTTTGAGAACAAAGATAATCCTTTTAGTATGACATTGTTTTCAGGTCACGATATTGGCTGTCTTACACTTATATATCATCTGCTTACACCGGGAATGAAAACACTCCAAGTAATAAACTTTGAATCCAAAGTCCTAAATCTCAATTCTAATATTTCTGATCCATTTATCACATTAAAATAAGCTTTAAAAAACTCTAAACATTTCAACTCAGAATTTTTATTATTATTATTATTTTTTGTTTGTTTTTTTGAGATAAGGTCTTTCTATGTAGTCCTGGCTGTCCTCAAACTCACAGAGTTCTGCCTCCTGAGTGCTGGGATTAAAGTTATGTGCCACCATGCCCAGCCAAAATTTTTATGAACAAAAATGAATCTAACACCCATTTTGTGGCACTGTATGATCTCAAAATCTAAGCTCAGGAAAATTAAAAATGACTCACAAAAGGCACTGAAGTTGGCAAAATCAGTGGTATAGTTTTCAATTGGGGTTAAGCAATGTAAGTAAGTGTCTATAGAATAGTACTGCCCTTGAGAAAGCAGGTGCACCAGAGAGCCAGGACCTACCTTCAGCAAGGTGGTTTTACCTTTGTACCTTAGGGTGGGTAGCACACTCTGTACAGATCTCTTGGGACTAATGACAAGGGATAGGGCAAAGTAAACATTGTAAGCAACTGAAATGACCTCAAATTTCAAGCTTTAAATTGTAGTGTAATGTTCTTTAAATGGATTCTAAAATATGAGATATATTTGTCACGTAATCATGCTCAATGAAGTCTCAGGAAAAGTTTTAAGACTAGGAAACTTCTACATTACTTAATTATCATTACACCGACAACTAAGTCAAAGCACATGGAAGTTCTAAGGAATAAAAATTGTTTTAGTTATTGCTGGTGAGTTGTCTGTGATTACTGGCATGACTCCCGATGGTTTTAATAACCTTTTTTGCCCCCACAAGAAAACGTAATTTTTTTTTTTAATCTTCTAGCAGTGTTTTGAGCATGGCTACTAAAGTGCTGTCTCACTGTTGGAACGACTAGGATTAAGTGACAAACACAGATTTTTGCCATTGCATATCAGAAAACTGCTCCCACCCAAAGAATGAGACAACACAAAATTCATCTGTTTCAGAAACAGTGGGTATGCATACAGGTACTTTAGAGCTCTGCTAACACCACAGGTAGCCAGCCTCTATTAGAGCAACACCTCACTTGCCTAAGTCAACTGAAATTTTCTCCTGAAACGTCTGAATCATTACTACAGCCACACTTTTCAAACAACTAGGATTTGAGTTTGCTTTCATTAACTTCCTCCAAAATAGCAAATTTAAGTTTTACTCATAACATTGTATATTCTAAAATTCTGGTACCCTCAAAGTGAGGATTAAGAAGTTATTCAGAATACATTTTTTTTTTCATAGAATTTTTACCAATAAACATATCACCCTTCTTTTAAAAACAAAGAAGTAAATGAGACCTAGGAGTGAGCATACTGGCTGGCTCTACAGAGCTGCAAGTCGGGCCATGTGTGCCATTCTTTGGAAGTGGCTCCCATGTGCTGGACTGTAACGACCGGGGCTGTGAAGGCCAGGGGAGGAGGTGTTGTGGCCAGGCTTGCTGGGGCTGCTACCAGCTGGACTGCTTCGCCCTGAACTGCAGCTGTGAGAGCAACCAAGATCCATCAGCTCAGTTGTGAATTTCCCCTTCAGTGCAGGACTTGGCCAACTACAGAAACCAAAAAGAGATTCGTTACCACAGAAAAGCACATCTACAGAGTAGAGATTTAAGAACAAAACAAATGGACACCTGCCTTTCTGACCACATCTACATAAAGATACAGGCCAGGCTTGCATTGGGAAGCTACACAGCTTAGCTTTGACACTGTGAGAAAGCCACCCATGCATGATAACCCTGTCAGTCTCTACACGTTGATGTTCTGATAGTACCTTTGTCTGTCCGAGGGTGAGTAACACAGGACGTTGCTTTTCCATCTGTGGACAGCTGGGTACAGGCCAGGGTCAATAGAGGCACACTCAAGAGCTGCTAAAACATCTCGATCTAGTTTTGATGGCTCTTCTCTAGAATGCAGAACAGAAAAGATGTAAGAAAAAGTAGAAACACTGAATAAAAAAGCCCAGAGATTTTTAAGGTATCACTGTATATTTAACTCAAGAACTAATCTGGAAGGGCTAGAGAGATGGCTCAGCAGCTAAGGGTGCTTGCTGGTCTTACAGAGGACGGGAGTCTGGCTTGTAGCACCGGCACTGGAAGGCTTACAACTGCCTGTAACTTTCAGCTCCAGGGAATCTAACACCCTCTTCTGGCCTACACAGGCACTAGCAATCATGTGCAGGCACACATGCACAAAAAAAGTGGAAAAAAGAAAAAGAACTAATCTGGGCTGAGTATATTAATCACCAAACCACCTGTGTATCAGAAAGCCTAAACTGGAGGGAGGAATGCTGGTATGCAGGGCCAGGGCTGGTCAAGGTAAGTGCTGTATGGAAGGGTCAAGACAAGTTGGGTCTTCCACTGTAGTATCATGTGCCCTCATTATTAACATGGTTTTGAGTCTTAAACATAGGGCAAGTCAAATCATTCTGTTGGTATACCCTTACTGACACTGGATCAGCACAATCCATATAGAAGACCTCGGAAGAATATTCAGAAACTACACACTCATTACAAGCTTTAACTTACCCAGAAAGGAAGAGCCTCCTGGTGGGATCTCCCGTGGCAGATGAGAACACAGGTTCCAGACTAGCCTGACCTCCAAGCTGGGGGCTGTTGGGATCCAAAGACATTTCAGCCATTGCCTCTGACACTTCATGGTTGGTTCTGACTTGGTTATTTTCAAGTCTCGATATTGCAGGAGGAGGTACCAGCAAGTCACTCCCTACTACATCCTTACTTGAAGCCAGTATCTTATTTTTATTTGGTGTCTCAATAAGACTATCTCCTAGAGTCTGCAAATTCAGTTTATCAAACTCTAGAGTCAAAGCAGAAACAGGTAGTGGAAGGGCCTCTTCCCCACTGGTGGCCTCTGGTCCCCCGCTTCCACCTGTGGTCCTGTGGTTCAGAGGATGACAAAGCCCATTTCTGTTGTTATGGGAGCAAGATCCAACTGAGGCTTCTCCAGGGTCCACCTTCTGTCCCAAGGGAAGGGAACTACATTCAGAGTTTTGGAATTTATTGGTTGTGGGCTGACTCTGACTTTGAGCTGTATTTTGCTGATTTTTAATTTCTTCCAAGCTAATGTCATCATCCCCATCTAGAAATGCTCCTACAGAGATGGAATTGCTGTACTTCTTTCCACTGCCTGTGAGGGCAACAAAGCAGTATATCAGAGTGCAGGATATAACTGGAAGGAGCCTTCACTCAATGTAAACCCTTCAACTCAAGCAAGAAATGACTAATTCAAAACCTGGTTAGGAGGCCGGGCGGTGGTGGTGCACACCTTTAATCCCAGCACTTGGGAGGCAGAGCCAGGTGGATCTTTGGGAGTTCGAGGCCAGCCTGGGCTACCGAGTGAGTTCCAGGAAAGGCGCAAAGCTACATAGAGAGACTCTGTCTCGAAAAACCAAACACCTGGTTAGGTTTTAAGACAAGGGCCCTGTGGCCAATTTCCCACAAGGTGACTTGATAAGGCTCCAGAAATATTGTGTAGGACAAACACATGAAAAACTGCTTCATGTCTCTATTCTGCAAATGAAATATATCAACAACTTGAGACTAACACTGTAGTTGCTGTAACTATGGTACATGCGTGGGACTCTTTTGACATTAACTAAGTGCTTATAGTCTCATGAACAATAGGTTCAGAGTATATGAAGCCATACCCTGGCACTGACTCCCAGGCTGGTATAGCTTCTTCCACAGCCCATGTGCACAGCCTTCACTCCAGCACTATTCTCCATATTCAAGGTTGTTTCTTAAACTCATTATGAGTGTATATGCACATAATCTCTGTGCTGTGGGTATATGTGTGTGAACAAAGTGGCATGAGACTAGAAGTCAAACCATTTTATGGAGTTATCTCCTTCTACCTTTATGTGAGTTCTAAGGATTGAACCTGGGTCACCAGGCTTCTGTAGCAAGCACCTCTATCTGCTAAGACATCTCAAGGCACTAACTTGTTTCTACATGGTGTAGATCATGTCCTTCCTCCTTCCCCACATTGTTCCAGGAAATTTAATTTGCAAAGTAAATGCTTTATAGGCCAATGGTTCAATTTTAATTTAGAAAGCTTTAAAATACATTTGTTTAACTTCTATTTTGGGGGCCCATAGCTCTAGTAATTACAAAGTTTCTACTTGACTTTAAAATTTTACTTTTTTGTTTGTTTTCTTTTTAAGACAGGGTCTCCCTACTTTATTCTCGGATTTTGTGTAGCTTAAGCGGGCCTCCAACTCACTGTACTCTTCCTGCCTCTTGCCTTCAAAATTCTAGTATAGGCAATAACTGCCACACCCAGTAAAATTTATTTGAGACAGAGTTTCATGCAGCCTGCCAGCCTGGCCTCAAACTCACTGTGTAGCTGAGGTTTGCCTTGAACTTCTAATCCTGCTTTCTCTCTCTCAAACACTAACATTATAGGCACTAATACACTAACAAAGTTTGTATTAGTGCCTATAATGTTAGTTTATAATATGTTTAGTTTGATTCATTTTAATACTTAAGTTTTATTTCTGATTCAGTGAAAGTTTTTCTGAGGTAAAAGTAAAGTGGTACTGTACCAACAACAACTCTAAGCCAATTCTTCTCCAGGGAGGGTGGCACTCTATGTGGGAACTGCAGAAGCACAAGGGAGAGGAGGGAAGAATTCAGCTGGAGGACTTTTGTGAAGACTCTTCTTCCAGCTCCCTTCTAGAGCACTAATTTACTAGTTTTTGGTTTCATTTTAGTTTTCTTTTAACTATAAAAATGACATATGCTAGGGGCTGGAGAGATGGCTTGGTGGTTAAGAGTACTGACTGCTCTTCCAAAGGACCCTGGTTCAAATCCCAGCACCCACATGGAAATTAAAATTAAAAAAAAAAAAAAAAGATATATGCTAGTTGTAAAACATCTGGAAAACTTTCAAGTGAGGTGCAACTAATGTTGCTATAGTCATCTTAATATTTTGAAACTTAATATTATGTGAATATACTGAATTATATCGTTTTCTTCCCCATTAACTGTACACATTGTTGTACACCACTCTATAATTGTTCACATCATTCACCATTCTTTAAAACATAACTTTAAAAGCATGGTTTTTCTTTTTTTTCTTTTTCTTTTTGGTTTTTTGAGACAGGGTTTCTCTGTAGCTTTGGAGCCTGTCCTAGACTAGCTCTGTAGACCAGGCTGGCCTCGAACTCACAGAGATCCACCTGCCTCTGCCTCCTGAGTGCTGGGATTACAGGCCTGCACCACCACCGCCCGGCAAAAGCATGATTTTTCTAGCTAAGGATAGAACTACTTTCTCAGTCAGTCCTCAACTGCAGGGTGAAGTAAGCTACATTGAGGTTTCCAGCTGTGTCGAATAAACTGCCAGCCCAGTCTGTACAGCACCTTTACTTTGGTAAGGTGGGAACCTTTCCACACTAGGATCTTATAATCATGGCTTAGGGTGTTTTAAGGTATTTCTCCCCCTCCCCTTCCCTCCTTCTCCTCCTTTTTTTTTTTTTTTTTTTTTGGTTTTTCGAGACAGGGTTTCTCTGTGTACCCCTGGCTGTCCTGGAACTAGCTCTGTAGACTAGGTTGGCCTCAAAACTCAGATCCACCTGCCTCTGCCTCCCTAGTGCTGGGATTAAAGGTGTGCACCATCACTACCCAGCTTGTTTTTACTTCTTTTAAAGAGCATTTTTCTTTTCCCACTTCATTTTGGGGGTATTTTTGCCTTTTTCCCTACAATATTAAAAACTTTAATATCTCCTCACACCACCCTCCTAGTGCTGGGGACTGAACTTTACTCATGGTAAGCACATGTTCTACCACTGAGTTATATACAACACACTAATTTTCCCTTTTTAATGGTGCTGGCGAGTTACGACCTATTTTATGTTTTTTTGTACTCAGTTTAACCTTTTCTAAGCATTCCATTAACTTGCTCAAGGCACCCTAGTGACTGACAAAATACAGTGTCCAGTATTGTGGAACGTATCTTGTCCTTTTCCTGACATTACACATTGTATTCAACTATAAGGTATATCTAGGTCAGGAAACAATGCCAAAAGCATCAGACTGCTTGCCAGGATGCCACATTTTTCAGTTATACCTGTATACCACTTTGCTTGCTGTGATTCTGTATTTTTATGTACTTTATATGCATACAACACAATTCATATAGCTGTATATACATATAGGTGCTCAGACACACAGTTTTCTGTGATGCCTTTTTGTTTGTTTTTTAACACAACTATATGCACATTTTCTGACATGACTTTGAGGAAAAGATCTGCTTTTATAGTAAAAGCACATTGAAAAAGAAAAAGAAAACCCACAGACACCTCAGACCTGCACTTGCTTACCAAAAACCAAGGCTCTGTCCTGAAGGCAGCCTTCATTTTCTCCTATTTCTTGTTGAGCCTTTTTGTTCATTTCCTGTTGGGTAAGGTATTCTTCTAGTCTTTGCAAGCCTTCCTGGGAAGACAGATCAACAAAACATCCCAGAAACTCCCAGTATTCAACCCAGGGGTACCCCAGCTCATGAGCTAGCTCCCTGTAAGAAATAAAACACAATTAACCAGTTGAGAAAACAGGAAAAAAACAAAAAACCAAAAACCAAAAAAAACTGAGTACACAGAAAATAGCACTTAATCTTCGAAGTACCAAAACTCTAATTTTGAGTATCTTATTTTACCCTAAACTTGGGACATTTTCTAGTGCTCCCCTATTGGTAAGACCCTGCCATGTCCTTTGAGGAGCAACTCTATGATATATCAAGTGACTTTCACTCATGGAATCCTAGTGTACACTCACTCATACCAACTTCACAGCAAAAAGTGACATGCAAAGCCTAATACATGTCCTTGTTTGGCAAAGTCTGTGGCAGGGTCAAACTGGCACATACTTTGAAAAAAGGTTCTAACAGCTCCCAGTAAATCCATCTGGGAACTGTTACATTTCAGTATTCACAGTTAATATTTTTCTATCATCTATCCACAACCACACAGCACACTTTGCTCAACTGATCAGTCATGGTCCAGTAAATACCTTCCCACTCTCTCAATGCCTCGTTCTGGGTCAGACTTTCTGATGTTGTGGAAGAGGCCTGCTTTCTTTCGAGGTGGAGTTTTCCATTGCTTTCGAAAATCTTCAGCCTAGGGGGAAAAAAAAAGTGGAAGACAGGCTGTTTCATGCAGCTCAACTGAGACTCAGAACCAACACTACAGACTCAATAGCTTTCTACCACTTTACAGATTCTGCAGCCATTTCTACTATATAGCCAAGAGGGAGCATGACCTCACAGGATCAGGGGAAGGAGGTTTGGTTGTGTGACTTTTCCTAGGTAGATGTTTGTTTATAACTATCCAGGAAAAGTGATACAAGGGAGAGGTGCCTTTCTGTACTGGCCCATGTTGAGGGTCAGATCTGGCCCAAGATGGCCCAAGTATGAGGCCTCATCCTAAGAACAACAGGTATTGTCTACCTCCATGTCACTGGTACATGTCCCATTTCCCCTACATATAGAAGAGAAGCTGACATCAATCTGTCATAAATAATCCTTACTGGAATTGTATGTTTATTGTAGCTCATTTATGAGACTAACACATCACCTACTACGCTAAGAAGACATAGAACATAGCTCTAATCCCAACAGTCTAACATCACCTACCGTGCTAAGAAGGCATAAAACACAGCTCTAATCCCAACAGTCTGAGATCATTTGGAATGGCTCCATTCTTGTGAATTATTTAGAAAGTTGTTTTGTGACAAGGTCTGACTATATGTATAACCCAGGCTGATTTTCAAATTGTGGTACTCCTGCCTCAGTCTCCCAAGAAGCTGGGATTATAGCCTGTGCCACCATAACCAGTTTATTTAGAGTTTTAAATAATAGTTTATACATTGTCAGTGAGGTATCACTGGAGAAAGCCATCAATTGTAAATTTGGCATATAAGCATGTATAATCTGTGATCCACAAACTCCATCATTATAAACTTCCTGACAATCTCATGTGTGAACAGAGCTCAACTGGCTGTGGCCTCAAAGAAAGACAGGTATATCACAGGAACTCAGGAACATGAAGGAAGGGGTAGAAGTTCCAAGTGTAGGAAGCTCAGTCTAGAATTTGAATTTGTAAATGTGGAGCTCCCCAAGTCACAACAGACTGGTAAGGGACAAAAGGGGCTTGCCCAGGAAAACACTACTATGTCAGGAGACCTGGGCTTCCAATACACCTTCCTTGGCTACATCAACAACAACAAAAACCACTCTAAGTCCTCCTTATCACTTCATCAGAGGTAGTCTCAGATAAAGATGGCCCTAGCCTTCCATGAGTTGATCTCCAAAACTAAAACAAAACAACAGGCTGGAGCACCAAACCCTAAAATGTAGAGATAGCCAGGACAATCCCAAAACTTTCGTCCCTGACCACTCACCTTGGATGGACTTAGAGGCCCCACAAAAGCTCTCAGTGTCATCACAGGATCTCTGGGGCTACTTCTACAGTGGTCAGCATTAGAGGCTTCAGCTCTCTGGTCTGAGGACCATAGCTCCCCAATGACAGGAGAAGAAGTGTCTTCTGCTCTCAGAAGTGGCACATAGTAGTGACCTGAAGAGGAGATAAATGTCAGCCACAAGCATCTACTTGTGTGGTCTGAGTATGGGTCTGGGGGAACAACAAGGCAAACAAAGACAGAAGAGACCAAGTAAAACTATAGGTTTGGGGGCCAAGACCAATTTGTGGCAGCAACTACTTAGCCTGATCTCCATTCTTTACTAAAACAGGTTTTTGTTTGATTTTTCCCCTGATCCTTGTTTTCACAATGGAGATGATGATACATCTTGCAAGGCTTTGAGATTACTAATGAAGATGCATACTTAATGGTATTCAAGTTCTTACTTCTACATGAGCCGCCAAGAGTACATGTTTGTAAAAAGAACTATGAGCAAACAAATAGGTCAGTAAGATTCAGACCCATCCCATATTGCCTCTAATCAATGTTCAATTTCCCATTTTGTTCAATGATTTACCAATGTTATTTTGCCAAGACTTCAAATCTAGAAGGCATCATGTAATTCTTTAAAAATTATCCAATCTGTCACTACTTTTAGACAACCCTACTTTGTGGTAAAACTTCTGGAGTCAAACTATCTTTTCTTTCTCCTACGTTATCCTAAGGTCTTCATCTCTCTTACCACAAAAAAATAACTCTTTTCTGTATATCCACCTATAAAATATACCATTGACTTCTTGTCCTGAAACACACTGAATATCAACAAAACAAAAACACTTAACAACAACAAAAGTAAGGAGAGAAGGGGCAAGCAGCAGACACCCAAGGAAGCTAGAAGTCTGGAGCCAGGAGTCTGATTAGGACAAAGAAGGAGCTTAGTACACAGAGGTCACATTTCCTTCCACCCTGATTCAGTTTCTCATGTGTAGAAGAGGTAAGAGGTGTGCTGGAGCTGGGCGGTGGTGGCGCACGCCTTTAATCCCAGCACTCGGGAGGCAGAGCCAGGCGGATCTCTGTGAGTTCGAGGCCAGCCTGGACTACCAAGTGAGTTCCAGGAAAGGCGCAAAGCTACACAGAGAAACCCTGTCTCGAAAAACCGAAAAAAAAAAAAAAAAAAAGGGTGTGCTGGAATATCAGCCTGTCATGCTGCTCACAATTACCTGGGAATTTTTTATTTCAAGTGCTTATAATAGCTTTTACATCTTTATTTTTCCACTTAAAAGAATGTTAACACAGAGCATAGTAAAAACCACAGCATTCGGGGTTGGGGATTTAGCTCAGTGGTAGAGCACTTGCCTAGCAAGCACAAGGCCCTGGGTTCGATCCTCAGCTCCAAAAAAAAATCCCACAGCATTAAAATATATCTAACATTTCTTACTTGCCTAGCATGCACGAGGCCCCAGGTTTAATCCCGAGCATTTCCTAAAACTGGGTGTGGTGGTTTATGCCTACAATCCCAGTTCTTGGGAGGCGAAGGGAAGAAGATCAGCAATCAAGGTCATCCTGAGTTTGGGGAGTTTGAGGCCAGCTTGGTGGGCTACATGAGATTCTATATCAAAAAACCAAAGTGAGTGATAGAGATAGAAATCAACAGTTAAGAGAATTTGCTGCTTTGGCAGAGTACAAGGGTTTGGTTCCCAGTATCTACATGAAGACTCCCAACTGTCTAGTTCCAGTTGCACTAAGTTCAACACCATCTTCTACTCTCTGTGGGCACCAGGCAACTGATAAAGGGCGCGCGCACGCGCACAAAACACTCATGAACATAAAATAAAAACAATTTTTTAAAAACAGGGAAATGGCTGGGTATGGTGGCATAGGCCTTTAATCCCAGCACTCTGGAGGCAGAGGCAGGCTGATCTCTGTGAGTTTGAGGCCAGCCTGGACTACATAGCGTGACCCTGTCTCAAAACAAACAAAATCAACCAGAGAAATGTATTTATTAACATTTCAATATCTGAAATTATGACTGATACCACATACCTATGAGATGAGATTTTTATAAGTGACAGATTTCTACCTGTTTCCATTTCATGGATTTTGAAATGGTTGTCTTTTAGAAAGGGAGTAAATGGGAAGAGGGGAGGAAAGGGGGAACTGTGGTTGGTACGGAAAAAGAAAACTTATAAATAAAAAAAAATATAAAAAAATTTTAAAAAACAAAATTCACGTATAACCTACCTACTCATAAAATACGGTTTACTTTTCTTTTGAATACTCAAATCCTTAAATATTTTGGGGTGTGTGTGTATGTGTATATATTTAATGCCTAAGGCTTTGCATACTAAAACGTTCCAGGAATATATACTCTTGCTTGTCTGTAGAGGCTGTGGGTAGACCAAAGTAGAGGTGTCCAGCATGCCTGAGGCCCTGAGTTCAGTCCCCAGCGCTTTGGAGAAAAACACAACACTTCGTCAACAAAACTGGATTCATGCTCTTGGTGGGCTTGTGTCTAGTTTTTTTTTTTTTTTTTACCCTATTCATCTCCTTAGGATGTTGTGTATTCCTTCCCTCTATTTATCCAACTGTGGGTCTCTTCTGAATGGTGGGGCAGCATGCAGTAAGGTAGTCAGTCCCACAGCATGCTCCTTGAAGCATTAAGTCTAGAATGTGAAAGCTGCCACAAGACAACTCCCGAAGCTCTTGCCTGGGCTTGAATGACCCTCAGCAGGAAACAAGGAAGGTGTGAAAAACATCACAAGGCTGAGTAACAAACATGGATGCAGAAATACCATGCTTACCCCAGAAAAAAGCTAGGCGACCAGATCTTAGCAGCGATCAAGCTATATGATCACGTGCCAGGTAGTGGTGGTGCATGCCTTTAATCCCAGCACTTGGGAAGCAGAGCCAGGCGGATCTCTGTGAGTTCGAGGCCACCCTGCTCTACAGAGTGAGATCCAGGACAGGCACCAAAACTACATAGACAAACCCTGTCTTGAAAAACAAAAAAGCAAAACAAAACAAAAAAAAGTTATATGATCACAAACAAAAAAAGTCCCACTACAAAGTGTAATTAATTACATTTTAAGGTATTTCTGGCAGTTTAGTTTAATTGTGTTCTGTAACACAACTGGAGCCTCCAAAACTGCCAGAAGCCCAAGAGACATCTCTGCTACCTCTACCACACAGGAAGAGATCAGAGTACAATTAAAAGTCCAGATAATCTTAGATTGGAAGTTAGTACCTGTTTCTACAAAATGTCAGATACACAGGCTCCACAGACTCTGACCTGAGAAAATACCCAGAGACACTGTGCCATGCCATAACCACGGCTATATACACCTAAGAAGGAAAAGAAGGCAAAATAGAGGCGAGAGAGCTACATTTTTGCTCAGCAGAAACAACAAACTGGGTAAAGAGACAGAAGGAAAGGTAATCTGCATCTTCTGAGATGCACTGAAAAACACAGGAGAGTCCCTCCTGAAATTAACCACTTCCCTATTGCTGAAACACACATACAAGAAGCATAGAAGCAGCCAGGCAGTGGTGGCACACACCTTTAATCCCAGCATTGGGGAGGCAGAGGCAGGCATATCTTTGTGAGTTCGAGGCCAGCCTGGTCTACAGAGTGAGTTCCAGGAAAGGTGCAAAGCTACACAAAGAAACCCTGTCTCGAAACATTAAAAAAAAGCATAAAAGCCACAATTAGGAGCTCCTGACCAGAAGAAAGGAAGGGAGAGAAGTGTAACAGGCCCCCAGACCTTAGCACAACTGATGGAAGTACCATTCAGGCCATAAAACTCACCACATAGCACCACCTGCCAAAGACCAATTCATCCAAATTTATAGTTCTGGGAGGGTCTCTAAATATACTAACCTTGCCTTTTGGTTTCCATAGTTCTGTATCTAGCCAACTGTACTTGCTAACTAAAGAATGTCAACCAAGGATATGTTTCTTGGTGCCTAAAAGCTCACCCTGAGAAAGGCTTGGGGCTACACCGAACAATCAGTGAAGCTGCCATCCTGCTAATAAACACTTTCTTTTTTTTTTTTCCAAGACAGGGTTTCTCTGTGTAGTTTTGGTGCCTGTCCTGGATCTCACTCTTTAGACCAGGCTGGTCTCAAACTCACAGAGATCCACCTGGCTCTGCCTCCCGAGTGCTGGGATTAAAGGCATGTACCACCACTGCCCGGCTTAATAACCACTTTCTATTGGCTTAAATCCATGTATGAGTAATTTTCTCTGGTAGATAGCCCACAATTGAAGGAGCAAGGAAAGGAGAGAGGGATGGAGGGGAAAGAAGGGAGGATAAAGGAGAGAGGACAGAGTAGGAGAGAGAGAGAGAAAGAGGACAGCAGAGAGATGGAGAGAGAGAATGAATATAAATGGTATCGTACCTCCACAATCCCAGCAGGATAATGGCCCAGACAGGGTTCCCAGTTTTAAAAGGCTGAGCTGAGTTAGATAGCCTCAGAAGGGCAGAGGAGGGAGGCAGGCCCAAAATACACTTTCTTAGAAACAAACTAAAAACAAAAGCCAAATAACCAACCACAAGGGGCTCTATGTCCACCCTCTCTAACCAAAAGTGATCAGAGAAACCTGTCTCAAGGATAGGGTGAGTCCCTGAACAGGAATTAAGTAAAAAGAGAGCCTAAAATTAGAACAAGAATGGGCAGTATGAAATGAGGCAAGGAGGTACAGTATTCAGGGAAAAAAAACAATGGATAATTTCAACAGGCTCTGAGGGGAGTTCATAGCTACTTTTTCAGAACTTGGGAAAGCAGACAAACCTCTGCTGTACTGCCAAGTTCACTCTTACAAAGGGCTTTCCATGCCAGGTATGGAGTCCACAACTCACCCATTAAATATTCTCTAATCCTTTCTTTCAGTTCTACAGATTTGTTTTTGCTTCTTTCACAAATTACCTATTTAAACAAAACAGACAAATTGAACATTCTAAATATTACTATATTACATTTCCTGCCAAATAAAATCTTTTTAAAGTTTAAATCCAGTAAATAGGATCGTATCTTTAAATTTTTTATTATTTATTATGTATATAGGTATATGGTGTGTGTGTGTGTGTGATGTAAGTATAGATGCCCCAGAGGTCAGAAGAGGGTGTTGGTTCCTGTGGAGCTGGAGTTGCAGGTAGCAGTGAGTCATCCAACCTGGGTGCTGGGAATAGAGAACTCCAGTCTTCTATAAGAGCAGTAAGTGTTCTTAACCACTGAACTACCTCTCCAGCCCTAGGATTATCTTAACACTAAAAATTTCACAAAATTCATACTCAGAAAACTTGTGCTAGGGGACTAGAGAAATGGCTCAGTGGTTAAGAGCACTGGATGCTCTTTCAGAGAACTTGGGTTCAATTTCCATCAACATGGCAGTTTAAAACTGTATGTAACTCCAATTTCAGGAGATCTGACACCCTCTCGTGGCCTCCACAGGCACAAGGTATATATGTGGTATAGACATATATCCAGGCAAAACACGCACACACATAAAAATAAATAAGCAAACAACAACAACAAAAAGAAAACTTGTGTTCAATAGCACAGCCTATTCTATAAAAATCACTATAAAAGAGCACTGGCTGCTCTTCCAGAGGTCCCGAGTTCAATTCCTAGCACCCACATGGTGGCTCACAACCATCTGTAATGGGATCTAATGCCCTCTTCTGGTGTGCATGAAGACAGGTCACTCATATACATGAAATAAATATTTAAAAAAAAAAAATCACTATAAAAGCCCATTGGAACAGGGCAAGAAAACACTCTAGCAACATGGTAAACTTTATCTTTTTCTTCACACAACTTTTGTTTCCCATTTTCTGCAAGAAAAAAAAAAACTTAAAAGTATAAATATCAAGTTTAATAAAAAAGTATATCAAGTATATATATATATATATATATATATATATATATATAATATCAAGTATAAATATAAATACACATGGACATGCTGACAGTTTCTCAGCTGGAGTTTTACAATATGAAAGTACACCCTCTCTATATAAATTTTTGCTGTTGAGTATCTGAACTCAAATAGAGCTACTACATCATATAGAATTTGCGGCTACTGGAATCAACTTTCTGAGCCCCTGGGTAATTACATTAATAATATAGAAAAGCAATTACTTTCAAATAAAAGAATAACAACAAGAAACCCCATAAATTACCACATTGTGAAAGAACTAAAATTGTGGGCTCAGTTGTAGAGGGCTTGCCTTGCATATTGAGACCCTAGGTGCTGTTCCCAACATTGCACATATACACCCACAATAGTCATGAGTTTTAGGTTGGTTATCAGAAAATCATTTTATAAAAATACAGATTAAAGAAACTATTTTTCTGTAGTACATTTTTTTTTTCCTTCTCCCTTCCACTCCTTAATACCAGGCTTTATGCATGTCAGGGAAGTTTTCTACCAACTGGGCTACATGAGTGTTACAAAATGTAGTAACAGCTAAGGGGCCTGAGCCTAAGGAAGACACTCTCGCCAGAAGTGTCCTTTAGATTTTATCTCTGAGAGTAGTAGATCTAGGTCAGCCAGCAGCATCTAATGCTTGATCCTTAAATTAGCATTTCGGTTCTTGTTAGAGCTAGGTCTGTCTTTACATCACAAGCACATGATGCAATGTAGCACATTTTGTTCTACTACTAAGAAACACAAAAAGGCTTGCTTCACTAGGCATGAATGCAGCAGTATGTATCTGGGCTAGCTCCCTATCTATTATACAATGGGTTGAACACATCAGCTGCTTTCAGCATTATAGTCATCATCTCTACTACCACTATAACCATCATTCATTACCATTATGATCACTACTTCCATCACCGCCTATAGCCATCATCATGACCACCACCCCTGCCTTCTTTTGAACTTGGTTGGCTAATGTGTTTAGAAGGAACATGGAAAGACTAAGTTGCTCAGAACACTGATAGCCAGTTTCAGTAAAATCAGCAAGACTAGGTTAGCTCATTCCTTCTTGGCTCTACAGATACGCTGCTTTCACAGAGTACATCATGCTCAGCAGCCAGCATTCTAAATATACCCAGAATGTAAACACAACTCAGTTACTTGTGATTTCACTAGCTACAATCACAGAATGCAAATTTATGTATTTTAATTTTTAACAAAAGACAGTAATTGCAATTTAAAAGTTACTTACGTCTTCAGGTGTTTTACCATATTTATTCTTTGGATTTTTCACAATCAAAGGGTGTGAAGAAAGCACATTGACTACATCCACATTCCCAAATTTACAAGCAAAATGCAGTGGTGTATCAAAGCCCTAGAAAAGGTAGAGAAGAAGCACAATTGCTTACTCAAACTATTAACATGGCTGCTCTACAGTGAAAGCAGGTATTTATTTAAAAAAGTGCTTTTCAACCTTCCTAACGCTGTAACCCTTTAATATAGTTCCTCATGTTGTGGTGACCCCCAACCATAAAATTATTTTTGTTGCTACTTCATAACTGTACTTTTGCTACTGTTACAATCGTAATGTAAATACTTGTGTTTTCTGATAGTTTTAGGTGACTCTGGGGTCAAGACCACAGGTTGAGAACCACTAATTTAAATCAAAACCACAAAACTGGACACCAAGCCTGACAACCTGAGTTCAATCCACAGGTGGAGAAAGGGAACTATGTCCTGTGACATCCACATGCCAAGGGCCCCTTCTCACTAGTGTGCCATGCCTCCCCCCCACTAAATAAATAAATATGTAATAAAAAATGTACTTTGAGTCAGGGTCTCACCATGTAGTGCTAGCTAGCCTAGAATTCCCTATGTAGACCACACTGACCCTCAAACTCAGATCCTGCCTGCCTCTGCCACCTGAGTGCTGGAATTAAAGGTATGAGCAACCGTATCTGGCAATAAAAAAATTTTTAACAAAAAAATTAAAACCCCTTAGGCCTATGTGACAACACTTGACAAGTGAAGGCAGAAGAATCTGGAATTGAAGGTCATTCTTTGCTATATAGTAAGTTTGCGGCCAGTCTGGATTACATAAAATCCTGTCCAAAAAAAAAAAAACAAACCTAAAACCATTGTTTTTATAGTTGGCAAAAGTACTAGGCATGCTAGCATATAGTCATTGTATGCCAGGCCCTGAGCCTGGCACAGTAATATGTCACTATTTATTTGATGTTAAGTGACAGGTCCCAAGGAGGGCACGTAAAATCAAAGGTATGCAGTCAACCTTAACTTTAATAATTTGGGACCCATTATATAGTCATGGAACCAATGCTCTAAATCTCACTCAGTACCACCAGAACTGAGCTAGAGACCATCCAGCTGGAGTCTCCTACACAATTCTGGTATCAGATGTGTTTGAGAATAAATATGGTAGGAGAAATTTTGATTTTATTTATTCTTATAGTTGTTTTTAAATCTATTTCTATAATTTTGCTTAGCTGACTAAGAATTAGTTTCCCAATTTACTTCTTCTACCTTAAATTATCTTTAATTTCACCGGGGGCCGTGGTGGTGCACGCCTTTAATCCCAGCACTCGGGAGGCAGAGCCAGACAGATCTCTGTGAGTTTGAGGCCAGCCTGGTCTACGGAGTGAGATCCAGGACAGGCACCAAAACTACACAGAGAAACCCGATCTCGAAAAACAAAAACAAACAAACAAAAAAGTTATCTTTAATTTCCTTTCCTATTTATTGTTTGAGACACAGGTTGTATTTTTGCTGCTATTGGCCTCAACTTTCTGAGTCCCTGGATAATTATAACAGTAATATGTTAGAAACAGAAAAGCAGTAACTTTCAAATAAAAACAAAATAAGAACAGCAACAAAAACTCCCATAAATTACCACCTTGTGAAAGAAACTAAAGTAGTGGGCTCAGTGGTAGAGAGTTTGCCTAGCATATTTGAGACACTAGGTTCTGTTTCCAGCATTGTGTATATGCACACACAGGAGTCTTAGGCTGGCTACCAGAAATCACTTAAAAAAAAATACATATCAAACTGAATTTTTCTGTTGTAAAATTTTACTCCTATCTTTCTTCTCATTTTGTAGACCAAGCTGGCCTCAAACTTATAATTCTCTTGCCTCTGCCTCTTTACTGCTTTCTTTTATTCTTTCCCCTGGTTTCCTAAACTCCTAGATTTCTGAGAGATTAGTTCTTTGTTCTAACCTATCATTGCATTCTCCTTCATATAAACAAATTCCTGTGTCTCAAATCCTTACTGAAGACTTACACAACAACTAAAAGTCATGCCTTTGAAAATTTTTCAAAAAAATCTTTTATTTTAAAATTTTATTTACTTATTTAATGCATATATTGTGTACACAGGTGCTTATAGAGCTCAGCAAATAACCTGTAGGATTCTTTTCTTTTACCATACAGGTCCCAGGGGTTAAATTAAGGTTGTAGGTAAGCAGGCACAAGCTCCTTTCCCTGTTGAACCATCTCACTAGTCTAGTATTTTTTTTCTTAGTGGTGCTAGGGATCAAACAAAGCCTTACACATGCTAGGTAAGCACTCTTAACAAAACCTTTTTGGCATTCTTTCTAATCACAGCCTAGCTGACACCTTTCTTGAAAGAACCCAGGCCACCTCCTAGAGTACTCCACCCACCTACATTCTGACTATGTTTGGCTGATAGCAGCCAGAGGCTCTTTCATTCTCTACCTATGGGATCTCTTTATTGAATGTTACTTTCATAACCACAAATTTCTTGGATTTTTGTTGTTATTTTAATTATTTTATGTGTGTGGGTATTTTGCCTGCAATTATGTCTGTGCACAACCTATGACATGTATTCCTGGTGCCCAGGGAAGTCAGATCCCATGGAACCAGAGTTACAGATGTTCGTGAACTGCCATATAGATGCTGGGACTTGAACCCAGGTCCTCTGGAGAACAACCAATGCTCTCAACTTTGGAGCTATGTGTTGGTTTATTTTATTTTTTTTAATTTTTATTATTAATTTTTTTTTTTCGTTTTTTGAGACAGGGTTTCTCTGTGTAGTTTTGCGCCTTTCTTGGAACTCGCTTGGTAGACTAGGCTGGCCTCGAACTCACAGAGATCCGCCTGCCTCTGCTTCCCAAGTGCTGGGATTAAAGGTGTGCACCCAGCAAAGTTTGTTTTAATATACAGTCTTTTTTTTTTTTTTTTTTTTTTTTTTTTAAGATTTATTTATTTATTATGTATACAGTGTTCTGTCTGCACATATCCCTGCAGGCCAGAAGAGGGCGCCAGATCTCATTACAGATGGTTGTGAGCCACCATGTGGTTGCTGGGAATTGAACTCAGGACCTTTGGAAGATTGGAAGAGCAAGCAGTGCTCTTAACCTCTGAGCCATCTCTCCAGCCCCTAATATACAGTCTCATATAGCACAAACTAGCCTTAAACTCACTGTGTAGCCAAAGACGACCTTAAACTTCTTAATCCTCTTGCTTTCATCTCCCAAGTGCTAAAATTACAGGCATATACCAGCAGTTTTCTATGCTGCTGGTGACCTAACTAGGACTAGCAGACAATAAAGCAGGCACTCTACCTATTGAGCTACATGCCCCTCCAACCCGCAGCCCCCTTGTATAACAGTTTCCTGGGAGATCAAAACATTCCACCTACAGGGAAGCTCTTTAAACAGGAAGGCAAACTCAAAATAGCTTTAGGAAGTCCCTGAAACTGACCAGATTCATTAGGCTCCTTCCTGCCAGAGTAAACAATAAAAGCAGAGAGTAGCCCTCAGACTGAAGGAAGCTGAGCACAAAGAAAACTGGGAGACAGACCATGTGGTGGTTTGAGTAGGAATGGCCCCTCAAAAGTGCATAGATTTGAATGCTTGGTAACCAGGGAAAGGCATTCACTATTAGGAGGTGTGGCCATGTTGGAGTAAGTATGGCGTTGATGTTATTAGGGGTGGGATTTGGGGGTTTCAGTAGCCCTAGCCAGGCCCACCGGCTCTCTCTCTTCCTGCTGCTTGTGGATGGAGATGTAGAACTCTCAAGCTATTTCTCCAGCACCACGTCTACCCACAAGCTGCCATGTTCCCTGCCATGATGACAATGGACTAAACCTCTGAACTGTAAGCAAGCACCAATTAAGTGTTTTCCTTTATATGGGTTGCTACAGTCATGGTGTCTCTTCACAGCAATAGAATACTAGGATGGAAGTTGGTACCATGGACTAGGACATTGCTGTGATAGGCCTGACCATTCCTCCCCGCCCCCCAAGACAGAGTTTCTTTGAGTAGCCTTGGATTTCAAGGCACCCACTCTGTAGACCAGGCTGGCCTCAAACACAAGAGATTCTTCTTCCTCTACCTTCCAAGTGCTGGGGTTAAAGGCATGTACCATCATCACCCCTGACCAAGCTTTGTTTGGGCCCTTTTAAGCTTAAATGGGCCATCCTAGTTAGGAGCATGGAAGACAATGTTGCTGAGGGTGATTTGAACTGTGAGGGCCCAGCTCAAGAAGTTTCTGAGGGGAAGAAAATATGGCCCAGAAACCATTCTTGTGATATTTTGGCAAAAATGTGGCTGCTTTTTGCCCTTGTCCAAAAAATCTGCCTGAAGAGTTTTGGATTAATGACATTGGCAGAGAAGATTTCAGGGCAGCCTAGTTGACTCTGTTGTGTTATTAATGGTGACTCTTATGCAGATCGATAATGAAAAAGAATTAAATTGATTGAGGAAAACTACAAAATATACCGTTTGAGGAGAAATGGAGCACCAAGAAGTGTAACAGAGCTAAGTTCAGCGTGCAAGGAGATAAAAAGTTTAAAAAGCCTGATCCTAAATGGACTAAAGGGAGTGGTGACCTCACAGAAAGACCCCACCCATCTAAGCTTCCAACTTGTGAAAAAGAATTAAAGAAAAGCTTTAATCCCTGCACTCTGGAGGCAGAGGCAGATGGATCTCTGGGTTTGAGGCCAGCCTGGTGTACAGAGTGAGTTCCAGGAGAGCCAACCTTAGGCAGAGAAGGAAACCATCAAAAACAGAAAGCTAGTGGAAATGTATTTGAACTTGGGGGCCATGTCTCAGCCCTAGCAAGCAGAAGAACCTGGCAGCTTTGACCATGTGTTCTGGCTTTAGAGTCAGGGATGTAAGAAAGGAGTTGTGGAATCTCCCTCCATGGCTAAGCTGCTAAGGTCAGGCAGATGTCAGGGGTGTCCCTGCATGGAGACCCAAGAGGCTATTGTGTGAAGCTGTGAAGGTGAGGCCTGGATTGCCTTGGAAACCATAAGATGTTGGAGATACCAACCTGTGGGATACCTGTCAAGGAAAGCTGCAGCCCAGGTATGACCAGCCCAAGAAAGAGAAGTTTGTTACAGACAACAAAACTTAATGGAGCTGGACATCTGAGGAACACTTTGACATCAGACAGGGAGATGCAGAATTTGGAGTTTGCCCTGCTGGTTTCTGGTCTTGTTTCAATCCATTATTTCCTCTCTATGCTCCCTTTCCTCCATTTTGGAATGGTAATGTATATTTTGTGTGTGTTGGAAGTATGTGATCTGCTTTTTGTTTTTTATTTTACAGAGATTGCAGTTAAGCGATAGCCCTGAGTCTCCAAAAAGACTTTGAACTTTGGACTTCTGAACAGTGTTGAGAATGTTATAGGCTATGGGGATTTTTGAAATTGGACTAAATGAATTTTTGCATTATAATATGGCTACAAGTCTATGGGGGCTAGGGAGTGAAATGTGGTTTGAATAGGAATGGCTCCCTATATATAAGAGTTGCCATGGTCATGGTGTCTCTTCACAGCAATAGAAAATTAGGACAGACCAGCTGCCTGGAAGAACTTTAGATAACAGAGGTACCCGGTAAGGATACTCTCTAACCTGCTGAGCTGCTGTCATTTATGTTAGGGTGGTCCTTGGTGATGCAACTGTCTTTGAGTCATTTCTGCTCCTGTAAGTAACTTCTTACCTATATACCTATAAGTAAACCTAATAAAACTCATTGGTGGCATTGGGGATTTAGCTCAGTGGTAGAGTGCTTGCCTAGCAAGCGCAAGGCCCTGGGTTCGGTCCTCAGCTCTGAAAACAAAACAAAACAAAACAAAAAATCAACAACAAGAACTTCATTGGTTCACCAAGTTGGACTTTGGTGGTATCTGTACTTTGGTCTGTCATGAGTTCGCTATCTGGAGTTCCCAACGTGTGTGTTGCATCTCCCGAAGAAAAGTTTTGTTATGTAATACCTCCATAACCATCTTTCTCTCTAAGTCAATAAGCATTTGTGTCTTCCTAATATTCCACAAGCCTTGCAAACTGATGTAGCATAGAGAAATAAGAAATACTTCTACATATCAGGAACCTAAACCTCCAGCAGACAGACTAATGAGGAATGCTCACCACTTTGTCAGGAGTATTCAGATAAAGGTCAACAATGTAGAGGATGCGCTTCTGCAGCATGTCCTTGTTATCATCTGGGTACATCAGACGCATAAACTCAGGGTTCTCCAGAGTCTCTAACATCATCTGGCACATAGAAGCCTGATTCTCTTTGGCAGCAACATGCATGACATTGTACCTACATCCCTCCTAAAAGAAAGGATGAGTTTTGTGTTTGTTAAAACACTGAGCTTCATGTTTGTTAAAACACAGGGTCACTGGTCAGGAACAGTGACTAGGAGTGATGCTGAAGGCATACTTACTTGTACAATCGTTGGGTTGTCCCCAGAACCAATTAGATATCGGGGATTATTCCAGATAAGATCAGAAAAGGTGTGTTCTTCCCCTTTCTCAACAGCTTTCCGAAGCTTGGCAGTGAGGTCCTGTGTACGGGGATTTTTATAACTGTTTGCTCGTTCTTTGTTTACTGTTTCTGATTCAGCCAGGCACAAACCATCTGCTATTAAGAGACAGAATTGAAGAACACCATCTCACAAATATTTTCTTCTCACTTAGCCTGCTGTGGTAAAAGGCTTAGGAGCTCTTGGGAGTGATGGGTAAGAAATGACAATGGTACAAAGCACACCACAATACTAATGCAGTGCTGAGCTCAATTAGATGGCTGAAGACTGAAATTAAGACATCATTTTGTATGCTTTTTTTTTTTTTAAACAGGGTCAAAATGTGTAGCTCAGGCTGGCTCCAAACTCATAGAGCACATCCGCCTACATTTGCTTCCCAAGTGCTGGCAGTAAGAGCATGCACTACCATGCCTAGCCATTTAGTGTACTTTGAAGGTAAGTCAAGAAACTGAGTGTGGTGGTTCAAACCTAGAATCCTAGTACTCAGGGGGTTGAGACAGAAGGACTGCAAGTTCAAGGTCAGCTTGGCTTGACATGATTATTAAGACCTTTTTCTCAAAAACCTAAAAATGTCAATTCTGTTAAGTAGACAAGAGATTAGCAGCAACTACAACTCTCTCTTAGAAAAAAAAAGAGTTCTATTCATAGCTTCTAAAGGTTTAATCAAAACCTGATAGCTTCTTGAAAAAATTTCCTGCATGGGCACTTTCCCAAACTGAAAGGAAAGACACCTAAGTAAAGGAAGAGTAGAGGGCAGTAGACAGGCCCTCAAATGAAAGACAGCAGTCCACCTCAAACAACTGCAGGGAGAAGGGATGTGAATCATGGTCAAGCCTCTCCAAACAGGCTTCTGGCTCTGAGTCATATAGTGGGTGTAGATTTCTAGCTCTCACAGGGAGACTGATTCTTGCAGATCCTACAAGTAGGTGTACACAGATTGTTGTCAGCATCAAAATATCCACACTCAAACAAGCAACAGCTAGAGCCACAAGAACACAAGGTGTTCCCTTTGCTGCTTTTGTGGTCCACATGCTAAGACTCGGCTCATCAGCTTCAGGGCCTACTAGTACCAGACTCCATTCACCTTTATGTCCTCAAACCTTCCCAGGGCAGTTCCCTAGTCCTCTTCTCTTTTGTTGGTCCACTGTAGGGCCCCTCAGCTCTCCACCTCCTCCTACACCAGATTTATCTCACAGATGAAGAAATATCAAAGAAAGAGAATAATAGTGATAAATAACAGTAATGACAAGAAGTCCGGCATGGCTTACCTTTCAACCCATCACTGCCAAAGACTGGCACTGCCTTCACAGGAGACAGTAAAGACGCAGTTTTGTTAGGAGAAGGGAAATAATCACATACTCCTCTAGCAAATTTCTCAGCATCTTCTCTTGTTGTAAAAGCTTTAAACCGGGACCCTTTGATCAATTTGACAGCTTGCAATGCTTCCGTTTTATCTTCATAAACATGGATCCTTTCTGGGTATGAAAGTAACAAGGGAAAATTAAGAGATGAATAGTTTGAACACTGTATTAATTGTACCCAGAGTTCAACAGTCAATTTAAATTTGTTAACAAATCTCTTGGTTTCACCTTCATGTTCACAGTTCAGATTTTCAATCTTTTATAAGAAATATCTTTTAGGATTAAAAAAAAGTGTGTATGTATGAGTGTGTATTTTTGTGACTGTATGCACATAATGTATGAGTATCCTTGGAGGCCTAAAGAGGATCAGATTCCCTGGACCTGGTGTTATAGGTAGGTTATGAACCACCTAACATGTGAGCTGGGATAAGTGCTCTTAATCACTGAGCCATCTTTCCACCCACTCCCCATATTTTATCCTTTTTTTGTTATTTCCGAGACAGGGTTTCTCTGTGTAGCTCTGTCCTGGAACTCACTCTGTAGACCATGCTGGCCTTGAGCTCACAGAAATCCACTCTTCCCCCCCACCCAATGCTGAGATTAAAGGCGTGTGCTACCACCGTCCAGCCCCATTTTTATCTTAAAGAGGTCCTGGGCTATCCAAGAGAATCAAATATACAATGACAATGTATGTGTGTACATATATATAAGCAATGATACCATATATACCTGCATGTTAACTTCATATTCCAAGATATAATAACTTACTAAAAATGTATTTTAAATGGATTAAATAAAGATCTAAATAAAAATAATTCAAAACTAAATTAATATTCTTGTACTGGATATAATAGCTTATACCTCTTATCCTAACAGTCATAAGGAAAAGTCAGAGCTGTTGAGAGTTAAAGCCCACCCTAGGCTATACAGCAAGATCCAGGCTAGTCCAAGTACACAATATAATCCTGACTAAAATAAAATAAAATTGCAATTCTTTTCTTTCTTTCATTCTTTTTTTGGGGACAGGGTTTCATGTAGCCCAAGGTAGCATGCACTCAAGTGCTGGGGTAATAATTACGTGCCACCACATCAGGTTTTATGGTGCTAGGGACTGAACACAGGGCTCCATGAATAATAATAGGCAAATGCTCTACCAACTAAAACAGACCTCTAGCCCAAAAATATGACTCCTTGAGATTGAAAATTATTTATACACTCATTGGTAGGTACATTTATATTTATTAACCTAAAAGCTGTTCAGGTTGTAATGAATTTAAGAGGGTGAGGGAAAGCTGGGCAGTGGTCGCACATGCCTTTAGTCCCAGCACTTGGGACGCAGAGGCAGCAGATCTCTGAGTTCCAAGACCAGCCTGATTTATAGAGCGAGTGCCAGGACAGCCAAGGCTACACAGAGAAATTCTATCTCGAAAAACAAACAAACAAACAAAAGATATGCACAAGCATAATTTTCCGGGATAGCCAGGGCTACACGGAGAAACTGGGTGGGGGGGGCCGGAGGGGGGGAAGGGAGAGGGAAGACGATTAATCGGCAAAATTACTAACAAATGGAAGTGAGCTAATCGTTTCCAAGTCAAATCTATCTGACAGAATATTTTCCTAGTAACAAAAAAAAAAAAAGAAAAAAGAAAAAAGTATTGCTTAGATTTACCAAATTAAAAAAAAAATCAGAGAGTAACAAGTACAAATACTGAAATTAATCTTGGGCAATAAGATTATAGTTTCCTAGTCTGTATAAAGAGATCCTACACAGCACATTACCATTTCTCACAAGGCCATCCTCATATACTGGACACACTCCATAGTACAGAAGTGGCTCCTTAGCAGCTGTCACTCCAGCCTTGTGGTTGTCATTCCTGGCAGAGGCACTGAGGGGTACTGGGTAGGACTTAGATGTCACAGCTTCATCTTCTGGAGGGTTCAAGCCCACACTATAACCAAAATCTTTGTCTTCGGAAGAACTGGCCTGCTGAGTTTGTTTCCCTTCCATAGATGCAGGAGTCCTTGGGGTGCCCTGGATAAATGCTGTGGCAGTTACCTCACTGTGATTGGGAAGAGAGGAAGTCAGCAATCCACCTTGCTCTAGTAAAGCCTGAGCTAATTTCTTCTCAAAAATAAATCTTGTTGTTGATGTAATGGGTCCACATTTCAATCCAGCTTTTATAACTTCTTTTCTAAGGTCATCTGGATTCAGGAGTTTCAATCGCGCCAACATGGCATCCATTGTCACTTCACCTACGTTCAAGAAAGCAAAAATCAACTTGAACCATGGGACAGTAGCTCAGCAAAGCACATGCTTAAGTAGGTGCTCAGTTTCCTCACAGGATCCTCCCTTAGATACAATATGTATTCTTATCCTAAAGCTACCCTTTTACCTTTAGTTGTTCAAAGAAGGTTTTATCTCTGCAACTTAACAAACATAAACAGAACTTCATACGTTACTAACTTCAATCCTAGGATAATTATTGAAATTCTAAGCCTCAGTTTCCTCACCTACAAAATGGATATAACAGATCCACTCTTGGGTTATAATGAAAAGTAGAAAAAATAATGAATACAAATTCTGTCCCACTGGGTCTGACACTGATAAAATATCCATAAATGTCTGCTACAGCCATTGAGCTATTGAGGAACAAAGGCTCATTAACCCTTAGAATGAGTAACAGCACACTGGAAAGTCAGTTAAAATTAACAAACAAGCAGACAAAAAACTGTCACATACTCAATGGCAGCCACCTCTGACACATAAGTAGCCATGACTGCTCTCCAAAGAGCCTCTACTAACAAGACAGATGATGGCCATAGCTCACCAACTGCACTGGAACTGGAAGTATTAGCACAACCTTTGCAGTCTTAGAAAGATGGATAGATTGATAGAGACATGAGAAATTGAAGTAGGTCTGCAGATTAGACAGTGTTCTATCACTGTTCATTTCCTTGTCATACTTGTGGTGTGATTATGTAGCATAGAAAATCTAGAGAATCTAAGCTACTAATATACAGAATTTTGTTTTGTTTTGTTTTTGTTTTTGAAGACAGGGTTTCTCTATGTAGCTTTGGCGCCTTTACTGGAACTCACTCTGTAGCCCAGGCTGGCCGCGAACTCACAGAGATCCGCCTGGCTCTGCCTCCCGAGTGCTGGGATTAAAGGTGTGTGCCACCACCGCCCAGCTAAGACAATACATTTTCAAAGACAGGCATGCTGGCATAGTCTTGTAATCCTAGCACTTATGGCTAAGGCAGGAAGACCATGAGTTTACGGCCAGTCTTAGCTACATATAGCAGGAACATTAAACAAGTTTCATTTCTCTGGGACCAAAGCTTTACAGGTACAGGACAGATAGGTTGAACTTCCTTGAGACACTGCTAGACTAATCTCCAGGGGGAATATACTGTTAACAGACCACCAACAACAGGGGAGCCATCTTCTCAGTGTGTGTCAACTTTTCGGAATGTCAGTATTTTTTTTATATCTCAGTTAATCTAATAGGTATGCATTGATACCTCACTGCACTGAACTTTTTTCCCCTACCAGCTGGTAATGTAAAATATCTTTGTACATGAGTTGAACTATTCTGTGTTGTTTTTATAATCCTTTATACACCTAAAATGATTTCAAAATGAAAAACTAAAACTGAAAATAAACTTTTAGTGAAACAAGATGCTGCAAACCGTGGTGTTTTGGCTCTATACCCTTAGCTACATTAGCTACATGCACTGCTCTGCTTCAGTGTTTGGGTGACTTTTATTCACTGACCTTCTCTGAGTTTTTGATAGTGTTCATAGAGTCAACGGACTAGTGGGCATTATATTCATTAAAGATGTCCTTATTGCCTTATGTGTTCCTATTAATGCATGTATGGGTGTATGTGTGTGTGTGTACATGCAGAAGTCAAAAGTCAATGAATAGCCTCAGGTGTTATTCTTTAGGTGCCACTCAATTAATTAATTAATTAATTAATTAGTTTTTCAAGTCAGGGTTTCTCTATGTAACAGCTCAATTTCCAGCACTGAATGTATTACTCTCAAAAAACCACAGTAAGTGCCGGGCGGTGGTGGCGCACGCCTTTAATCCCAGCACTCGGGAGGCAGAGTGGATCTCTGTGAGTTCGAGGCCAGCCTGGGCTACCAAGTGAGTCCCAGGAAAGGCGCAAAGCTACACAGAGAAACCCTGTCTCGAAAAACAAAAAAACAAAAAACAAACAAACAAAAAAAACCCCACCACAGTAAGAACTACTATTATTCGTATCCTGCTAATGGCGGGGCGGAAAATAGTGGGTGAATGGAATGACCCGCCCAGTACTGAGAAGTCCCACAGCAGCAGTGGTAGAGCCAGGAGTAGGTGTGACATTATTTCACTCCAGACACCAGGCTGCTGCTTAACGCTCACCTCGATCTTAAAAGTGACTAGCAACCATCCTCCCATCTCTACTCACCCAGACCTGACAGTCCAGTCAAAAGCAAAAAACGAGAACGACATCCCTCCATTTCCCCTGCCCCTAAATCATGGAGTCACACCTAACTTCATTGTCTCATCCTACCACTATATTTAGTTAAGTTTCACATTCAAACCACTGCCAGAACCAACTTCCTCTTCCGACTAAGTCCGGCGAGTGTTCTTTAGTCTACTGTTCACCCTTCCCGCAGCCCTTGCAAAGCCGCTCCCTGGCTCAGAAGCCCTTCCTCTGTAAGCCCCAGACGCGCCCTGGTCTCTCGATCTCACCCACAGTGTCAGGAATGCTCCTACAATGGAACAAGTTCTGCGTCTCGGTCAGTCAGATTCCCGCCAGTGGACTCGGGCCGTGACAGGACCCTACTGTGTCCACAGGGAGAGCAGATCGAGGCTTCCCTCCCACTGACTAACGCGACCTTACCTGGCTGAGGCGCCACAGCGGCAGACGCGCTGGGAGGCGAGGAGGGTGTCCCGCAACGGTTCAGGTCCCGCGGCCGCTTCTCTAGCCGCCGGACCAGCCAGCGCACGGCGATGAGCAGCACGGAGGCACCGAGGAGCTCCCAGGCCAGCGCTGCCCACTCAACCACAGCCAACCGCTGCCACAGCATCGCCACCGCCGACGCCGAGGCCTAGAGCGCGGGCGCCGGAGTTATAGTCCGCGCCGCGTACGCCTCAGGCCCTCACTAGGCCGCTCGCTTCGCTGCCGGAGCCGCGCAGGCCTTAGGCCTCCGCCCCGCCGCGGGGTTACAGAAGTTACAGCCTGACAGGAAACGGTGAGGCGGGGTGCGCGTGCAGTCCGGTGTCTTTCGTTCCCCAACGATCAAGCCAGAACGCCTCCAGGAACCCAGCCTCCGCGGCTTCGGAGGCAACCGGGGTCCTGATTCAAGCGAGACGCCGTCTGGCAGTGGCGCGGGCAGCATGTCGGGGGCCTGAGTCGGGCTCGGCGCTCTGGCTGGGCGCGGCTTGTTCTTCAGTGCCGTGGGCGCTTCGCCTTGAGTTGTTGCCACGGGTCTGGGGATTGGAGAGCCAGGAGCTGGCACCTGGGCCACCAAGACTGTGGCCAGAGGAGCCGATCAGAGTCCTTGACAGGTAGGTGCTGGGGGCGAAAACGGTGGCCAAGTTCAGAAACCCTGCTCAGTAGCACTGCCCAGTGTTGTAAATGGAGCTGTTTCTCTGCAACACAACGGACCCTCCTGGCAAAATGCCAGTGCCGTTCTGACGGATAACGCAAAAGCCTCCCCAGCACTGGGATCAAAGTTGTGTGCCGCCATGACCGGCTGCTATTTGGAATTTCTTGAAGTCCTTTTCTAACGTTTTTCTTTTTGAGTCTTGCTATATACCCTAAACTGGCTTCATGCTGGAGATCTCCCTGCTTGAGCCTGCAGAATGTTGAGGTTTACAAGCATGTGTCACCATAATTACACTGCTGACTACAAATCACGAGGGCACCGAAGACCATGAGAGCCCGTGATGGTGTAGAGGCTTCTCACATGTACTTTGAACGGTTTTCAGCAAGAAAGGTGTAGGTTGCTTGTTGGGGGAATTACAAGAAGGCAGAATGGAAGGTTGAGGCTGGGATGCCTCTTCTGTCCAAATGTGCATCCTGCTTTACTGCCAATGAGGACTTGACGGTAAGACCAATTCTTTATCAGAAAATGGTGGCCTGAGGCATGTCCTAGGAAGACCTGAGTGGAGGCCTGCAGGTTATGATGCAGAATCAATTTACAAGCTGGACAAGTGTCAGGTGTACACCATTCGGGTCATGTCCTCAGTTAAAGATGTTACTCCTCAAGACAGATTGAGGGAAGCCTGCTGAACTAGATACAAAACAAATAACCAACCAGGTGACTGAGAAATGAATTTCCAATGATTTTTTTTTACAGCCCCAGGATATATAAGGCAAATTTAGATATATTTCAGTTTAGCAGGGCATGGTGGTGCACATTCCAGGACTTGGGAAGCAGAAGCAAACAGATCTCTGAGTTCGAGGCCACTCTAGTCTACAGAGTGAGTTCAAGGACAGTCAGGACTATACAGACAACCCTTGTGTTAAAAACCAAAGTAAACAAAAAATTCAGTTTAATTGTAGACTGAGGCAGATGGGTAAAGTAGTATTAATTCCTTTAAGAAACAAGCCCAGCAATATGTCCTAAAGCATTGGAGAGCAACTTTTGATGTTGTCTTTTGCTTCATTATTGTGTTTATTTAAAAAGACTGTTGTTCATTACGACTGTTAGAAGCTGGGCATAGTGGCTAACTCATTTACTTGAAACCCAGGCAGCTGAGGATGATCTTGAGTTCAAGGTCAGCCTTTCTCAAAGACTTACCAGAAGTATACTGTACTTGTGGAGATCCAGCCATATATACACATAGAGAAGAGCCCATGGCAGAGAATTAAGTAGAAAAAATTGGGAACAGCAACAGTGGGGAGCCCGAGATTCTCAGGTGGAGACATGCTAGTTCCATAAAACTAAACTGGGAAAAGCAGCAGGCCAGGAATCCTGGGTTAAGGATCATAGCTAGGCCGACAACAGGCTGGCCTAGCAGGTGAAGGAAGGTTTGGACTTCTTTTCAGAATGATGAGGCATTAAGTGTTGAGAAAGTATGCTTTGATCAGCCTGATGGAGATAGTACAGTTACGAAAAGGTTGACAAAGGGTAGTAGAGTGCATATGAAAATGCATATTTAATGCTCAGAAAACTTCATGTGAGGTGTGTAAGTCAAGGCTGCCCCTCCATAGAGTTATACTACTGTAGGATATTCATATAGAAGACATACGACTATTTTACTATGAAGGTAATTCTTGACCTAGACATGTGTAAGGAAAGTCTACAAATCATCTCCTGCAGATACCTATCTGGAAGGAGGATAAAAGATGTTTATCCATGGTTCTACTCAGCTATCCCCATCCTAGGAGTGGCTGGAGCTCTGGCTCCAGGGAAGAATAAGCACTTCCTTAATCTGGGTTGTTAAAACTGCAGCCTAGTAGGTGCCATTTTCAACTCTAACTCTAGTTCAACTATGGAAGAACATAAAAGGCTTGTAAAGGTGGTATAAGTGTCCTCATAGTACATTAGGGAGTTCAGCTGTGCCCCTTATAAAAGGATTATCCCAGCTGTGTTTCCTGCCCGTTTATATCCCCTCATGAAACCCTCATCTGAATATCTAGCTGATTCCTATCTGTTGTATTTGGAGAGGCTAGAGTATGTAGGCTGGGGAAGACTATGAGGGGTGCTCTATCTATGCTGCTACAGGGAAGCCTTCATCTTTGCACAGTAAAGGCTTTCTAGGTGTACCCACATTCCTGTAAGTACCTTCTCACCTGTGCTCTGTAAAGAACCCCAATAAACTCAGTGATTCCCCAGAATGAACTTCCATTGTTATTTACATCTTCCCGGGAAGAAACTTTAGCAACAGGTCACCATCCAGTGTGTTTTGGGAGCCAGGTTCATGCCATTGTAAGGGCCATTGGGATGGAGATAGTACAAGTTATACAGAGGAGGACAAAGGGTAGTGAATGGCATAGATTCTAAGAATTTTTCCATATTTAGATTTGGGGACTCTCTAAGACTATCATGGTTACCCATTGCGGTGATTTGAATGAAAATGGCCCCCACAGACTCATAGGGAGTAGCATTATTGGAGGTGTGGCCTTGTTGGAGGAAGTATGTCACATGGGGTGGGCTTTGAGAGTTCAGATGCTCAAGCAAGGCCCACTGTCACTCTGCTGTCTGCTGATCCAGATGTAGAACTCTCAGCTACCTCTCCAGCACCATATCTGCCTATGTGCTGCCATGCTTCTCACCATGATGATAATGGACTAAACCTCTGAACTGTAAGCCAGCCCCAATTAAATGTTTTCCTTTATAAGAGTTGCTTTGGTCATGGTGTCTCTTCACAGCAATAGAAACCCAAACTAAGACATCCATCATGGATGGCAGGGGTGTTAAATAACCCATTTTATAGTTCCATCTTAATTTTAACTGTGTGGCTTATTAGTAACATGTAGCTGAAATAGACTTGGGTGATTCATTGATCAAAAATAAAGGGTGAATAAAAATGATAAGAAATTGCTTAGGATACAAAAATTAATCCAGCAGAGACTAAGTCAACTCAAGAGCATTTTTGCTCCCTGCATATGCTTTTGCATGTGTGCTGCTTCCTTATGGTGATGGTGGATGAAGGCCAATGAAGGTCAACATGCTGCTTCTGCTGGTCTAACATAACAAGGAGTGAATCTTCCTTTCCTATCTCAAGCTCTGGTAGGACACAATTACCTTTTTAAATGGTGTGAAACAATGAGAGATAAAAAAAGCTACTCCCAAATATGACAAAATGCTATTACTAAAAATGAAGCCCTCCCAAATGAAGTATGAAAACCTTTACCAAAAATAGTTTATTGCATAAAATGTAAGGAATTCCCAAGCACGCTTATATTTAAAAAAAAGCAAAACAAAAACAAATCAACATGCCTTTAAAGTTACAGTCTGTTAACTGTGACAACAGTTTTCCCTGGAAAAGAGCCAACATGAAGATTGACTCTTGTGAAGAAATTTTTTATAGAAATGAGAAACTCAAAAACTGAAATTTTGGACCCTCTAAATTGGACATCAACCCAAGGATCCTGTCAGAACCTAAGACTACTATAGAGTAGATTTGGCTAGAATTCCAAACCACTGAGCATGTTAGGGTAAGACTCAAGATATCTCACACCACAGCATTATTCTTTATCATTAGGGTCTATCTCATACCATAGCATTATTCTTAACATTGGGGTCCTTGGAAGGCTCCAACACTTTTTCTTTTCAAATATGACGGTCCCTTTCACTCCCATAATCTTCACCTGTTAATTTTTGTTTCAAGATACATGAACATATGTTATGGTGAGCCTATAGGCCTATGGCTTTTACAGTATCCAAACACTGGGACAAGTTACAGTTTGAAATGGAGAAAGAATTTAACACAAGCTTTCTGATATACAACACTAAGACTACTTTCTGAGAGGGCTGGTCCTGTTCCCTGTATCCCAAACCCAAGTAAACTCAGTCTCACATCTCAAAATCACTGCCTGCTACAACACTATAAAACCTAAGACCATGAACTCAATCTGACATGTACAATTAAAAAAAAAACAAAAAAACGGAAATCTCATGGCAATTTTTTTGGACATAAGAGAAATAAGTAATATTATAAATCATGCAAGCCAAGGTATCAGCTATAGGACATGATATAGCATATGTGATATATGCACAAATGTTATGCAATGGTAAGCCTCCCTTAGAAAACAACCCTCCAGTTGCCTATAGTTTTTCATGAGAAAACCTAAAATTCCTAGTTTTCACTACACAAGCAACAGTAATTCAAGCTGTATTTACTCAAGAATAAGCTCTGGGAGGTAAAAGTACAATGGAGTCCCTTGGAAATAGGACGAAAAAAGCAAAACCAACCAACTAAACAAACAAATAAAACAATACCTTAATTGACAGCAAATTTGAAAATTCAACTTCAAGGTGACTTAAAGGACCCTAAAAGGATGGCATCTCCAATCTAAGAGTCCTCTGAACCACACATGTGAGAAAAAAAAAACACATTGGTGCACAAAGATGGACAGGGAATAGAGCCAAGACGTGTCAGACCCAAGGACCTGCAAGGTAGATAACAAAGCCTAGAGGAAGTGCCATTTCTGAGGGTGTACATGCACATGGGACAGCAAAACAATGGAAGAAATATGTTAAGACATGAAAACAACTTTCACTTGAGTTCAGAATTAGCTTATCCTTTCCTTAGTCAACGCAACACAACCCATTTGAAGACCTCTCCACACAGGAGAAAGCAGCTCTGCTGCAGAATAAGCCCAACCCAAGTATTATTTCTTGGTTTTGAAATTTAAAATACAAAATAAATAAGAATGTAAATTACCATCCTTTTCCTAATTTCTAACTTACAGATAAAGAGGGTATATTAATATATAATGAAGTTTTCAAGTTGGTTTTTTTTTTTTTTTTTAGATTAACCCTGTACAAATGCTATATACATGTAAAAGTTCCAATACTTGCTAGGGAATATTTTTCAAACACCAGACATCATTGTGATTACTTCTACTTTAACCATATTAGTTAATCTCCTAATAGGATATTAGAAGAGAACAACTGATTCTCCACAAAATAGACAAATCCACTAAAAGACACCTACCTGGGCTGATCACTAATGTTCAGAACTTACTTTTTCAGGCCTTTCTCTTCCTTCTAACTTAATATTTCAGATAATTTTTTTGTTTCACCTTTGTCTTTTTAAATCATGGTTTCATGTAACCAAGCCTCAAATTGCCATGTAGCTGAAAACTGGTTTTGAACTGATCCTCCTCCTGATTCTACCTCCCAAGTTCCTCCTGATTCTACCTCCCAAGTGCTGGGATTACAGTCATGAATTACAAAACCCACCTCATTTTAAATTTTCTTCACAGGCTTTCATAAAGGTTAAAGAACTTAACTCCTCTAGTCAGTATATGAAGTATTAGTATATGATTTAGGAAGCAGATTGCAATAAATCCCATATTTAGCGCCAACTTTAAACAAAGTTTCTGTCTCTGGACCTCCTGTCTTTCAAACCACAGCTGCCCACCTTCTCCTAGGTATTCTGACACCTAGTAATACCAGTGTTTAATAGAGGTCCAGGGTAGTTCCAAATGACCACACAGACATTCACAGTGCCCTATTAATACCATCTTTGGGACACAATGGATACAGCCTGTAACCCACACACAGACTAAGGCTGCCTCCTTTCCTGCTCCTTTCTTCTTCCTGTGCTCTCCAAATGTCAGGTCAGCATTAGGAGACCTTGGAGATCTTCCATCCCCTGCTAGATGCCTGACTGGCCCTGCATGTTCTTAATCCAAAGTGAGTAGAACCACATAAGGCCACAGACCTGAGAGGTCAATGTTAAGAATTCATGGAGATGCTGGTAGAAAAGACCCTCAGAAATAAAATGACTAAAACAACTCTTTCTGTGCGAGAGTATTTGGTTTTAGGATGCATAGAAAATAAATTATATTTCTTAAAATACATTTTTTTACTAACATCCCTAAAGCTACATGTACACTGTTTCTCAATATTCAAAAGGCAATCAGTAAGACAATTAGGTCTTTAAATAATATAGGTATATAGTTTTTTTAAAGACTTTCAATATTTACATATACATTCTATATAGGTAGAATAGTTTGAAAAACAAATGGAATAAAAACAAAAGGTGCAAATAAAAGTTCATTTCTGTAGGAAAGTAAAGGTCTTAATGAGTAGAACAGTAAAGACTTCTAGGTGCTGATGCCTACTGCGCCTACTCCGTAGTGCCTGATAGGAACAGGTTCCTGGCAACACCCTTAAGTCTGTCTACAGCCACACATAAGATCCTTCCTTCTGCAAGAAACTGTTCAGACATTGAGATTTCACCAGTGATCCAAACTCTGATGTTTTTAAGATTTGGTTATTTCATGGGAAAAGTTAGTTGTTTAAAATGACTATTTCTTTAATCCTTGCCTCATTCAATTATTTTAATCCTCAATAAAAGGTAAAGGGAAATTTAAATCTCACCTCTCCAAAAACAAAAAACAACCAGAAGCACACAATCAAATAAATAATATTAACAAAAGAATATTCCTTCAGTAGTCACAAATACTTGGTGATGAAGACAACAGTAGTCATTGGCCCAGCCCCTCTCTGGGAACATTGTTTTGACTATGTGGTTTTGTGTCTCCCCTGGGGTGGGCATGCTCTGCAGAGGCAGCTTCCACCTGAGCCCATGAGGACAGGGACTCATGCACAGTGATGGTATGCTCCTCCATCTGGCGCTGCAGACTGTCCATTTCCTGCCTGGGGAGATGAGAGAAGACAGAAGAAGAAACCCTAAGTCATACAAGGACCAGATAGAACCACTAACCATACCTCTCTCTAACAAGCCACAGAGGTGGGCTCACCACCATATGTGGTTCCCTCAAAGACCAATAAATGTATCACAGACCAGCAAAATCAGCTGGAGTCAAAGAAGGCAAAAAGCTCCTGGCATTTTTTCCCCACTCTGGGCAGAAGCCAGCAAACAATCTAGCATAGGTTTCTGTTTTCTGAGACGTGCTCCTATCAGAAACATGAGAAAGATATGAAAGCCTGATGCTAATCAAGTTGCTGTCTGGAAACCACCTGAGGCCACTGCCACATGTGACTTTCCCTCAATAAGGTCACCCTGACAGTCAGGGTCCTCTGTGCTGGCCTCTTCTGTCCTAAGCTAGGATGCTCAGCCTATAGGGGACAGGTATAACACCTGACCTTTTAAGGGCCCACCAAGATAGTTTACTTAGCTATTTTCACCTTACGTACATGGACCCTAGAAGCTCTGCCAATATTAAGAGCTTCAAAGGCATAGGCACCCTACAAACAACAGAAGAGATGCCCCCAGGAAAAACATGTCTAAAGGCTGAACAAAATGGGGCCATAGAAAACAGATCATACTTGAGCTGCTGCAAACAGCTGTTGAGATTCTTGAGGGGTTCCTTGCTCACAGCAGGTGGAGGCCTCAGCAGCTCCTCTAGCAATGAGGCTGGGACAGGACAGTCTGGTATCTTGATGGGTGTTGCAGGGCTGGAGGAGTTGGACTCACCTTTTGGCTCTTTCTTCTGTTTGTAAAAGCACATCATTAGCCTCTCTACAACCCTCCTCATCTCCACTATGACAACTGATCCCCCCCTCCCCCATGTCCTCCTGCTGAAAAGGAGACTGACTGAATTGCCAGGTCTATAAAGATAGTCTGACAGTAAGTAGGTTAAGAAATATTAGCTGGTCCTGCAATCCTAAGCACAAATCACTTGTGCCCTACCCTCAGGAAAAATAGCTAAACACTGCATTAGAGCTCTCTTGGAGTTTCCTGAGATATAAGCCTATACCTTGAGCTTCCCTAAGAAATTAGGCAATATTTATGTAGACTGTATAAATAAATAAATAAACCTGCCAGGTATTTGAACCCTCTAGTAGGGTTGATAATAGCATGAGGTTCCCACCTGAGCCCATCCTGAAGCCAGTGTCCCACAATGGCAGCACAGCAAGGCTGTGTGGTCATTAATTTAAAATAGTATTACAACAAGATATGTGTATTTAAGAAGAAAAAAATTTTGTTGAAAAGTTACCAAAATAAAATGCTTTGGCCCACTTTCCAAGCATAGTTCTCTATGATCTTTGTGCACAGCAATATTCAATGTTAGTTAAATGTATTAGTTGAGCTGTGAATGACTAGAAAACCTGCCAATCTCCTGCTCCAATAAGTCTAAATGAAATAGACAGTTAACCTGTAAGGGATGTAACCTAAATCCTACCTTGGTTGCACCACGGCGGAGATCCAGCTTGAGCTGTTGGTTCTGCTGCAGCAGAGTTTTCATGTTGTTCTTCAGTTCAGACACTTTTGCTTGAAGCATAAACTTATCCTTCTGGGTCTCAGACAGATCTTCCTGTACCATTTCCAACTCAGACTTGATAGTCTAAGGAAAGTGATCAGATTTTTTTTTTTAAGCTAAAAGATCCTAAATACCTGGCATAGCGAGTGACACATGCCTATAACCCCAGCAGTGGTGAGGCTCAGGAGGCTCAAGGCCGGTTTTAGCTACATAGCAAGTTTGACATCAGCCTGGGCTACATAAGAGCCTGTCTCAAAAAACAAGCACTGTAGCCTGGTGGTGGTAGTGGTGGTGGTGGTGGTGCATGCCTTTAATCCCAGCACTCAGGAGGCAGAGGCAAGTGGATCTCTGAGTTCAAGGTCAGCCTGGTCTACAGAGTGAAAAGGCTACACAAAGGAACCCCATCTCGAAAAACAAAACAAAACAAAAATCTTAAAACACACTTTGAGATATTAAGTTGTATGTCAGTTTTAAGGACATGTTTTTTTGTTAGGACGAGTTGTATTTTTCATAGCAGCAATTTCCTCTGTAGTTACCTAGGCACTGACAAGTTCATTGGAATCCAACCCCTGAGTTTAAAAAAATATTTATTCTATTTTTTATTATGTGTATATGGGTTATGTGCACATGAGTGCAGGTGCCTGTGGAGGCCAGAGGAAAGAGAGATGGATTCTCTGGAACTAGTTACATTTGGTTGTGAGCTGCCCCATGTGGTGCTAGAAACTGAACTTGAGTACTCTGGAAGAATAACAAGAGCTTTGAATTGCTGAGTCATTTCTCCATTTCCTACTCTTAACATTATTTTTAGATTGACTGATTTATGTGTGAGTGCTTATATGTGTTTATATGAACATGCAAGAGCTTTCAGAGGCCAAAAGAGGGTGTTGACTTTCCTGGAGCTGCAATTATAGGAAGTTAAGCTGCTATGTGAGTGCTGGAAACCAAATCTAGGTCCTCTGCAAGAGCAGTTAAGTGCTCTTAATTGCTGAACATCACTGCAGCACTCCTGACACTGAACATAGAGCCTTTTCCAAACAGCAATATCTTCATGGCCACAGTTAACCCCAAGAATCTTTAAAATCCTACAGTCAACTATTAGACTAAGTCAAACCATTCCTAAGAAATAGTATAACCCTATAGCAGGAATCTCAAAGAGTCTTATTATAAAATCAAACCTGAGGCCAGTTATTGGGGTGAATACTGGAAGATCAGAGAGACAGAACAAGCCACAGCTACCTCACCTCGACGGATCCTCAGCTGGTCTTGTTTCCTCAGACTGGAGGCCTCTGAGTCCTCATCCAGAATGGGTCTCAGCTGAACTGCTGCTAGAAGCCTGAAAGCTTAACCAGCCAAATGCTTAACCAGGCCAAAATGCTTCTAGTTCCTGGTCCTCACGCCTTATATATCTTTCTGCCTTCTACCATCACTCCCTGGGATTAAAGGCTTGCTTTCTGGGATTAAAGCCGTGAGTCACCATGTTTGGCTGTATCCTTGAAGGATTTCTGCCTAGCTCTGCCTCCCAAGTGCTGGGATTAAAGGCGTGTGCTACCACTGCCTATCCTCTATGTTTAATATTGTGGCTGTTCTGTCTCTGACCCCAGATAAATTTATTAGGGTGCACAATATTTCAGGGAACACAATACCACCACATAACCCAGTCTAATGACTTGAGCCTTTTTTGGTGTATGTGTGTGTGTTGAGACAGGGTTCTCTGTAGCCCTGGCTGTCCTGGAACTCACTCTGTGGACCAGACTCAGAGATCCACCTGCTTCTGCCTCCTAAGTGCTGGGATTAAAGGAATGTGCCATCACACTAGGCCATGCCATTTTCCTTTCCTTTCTCTCTTTCTGCCTCCTTTCCTTTCCTTCCCTTCCCCTCCCCTCCCCTTCTTCTTCCTTCCTTCCTTCATTTCTTTTTTTTACAAGTAAGAAGTATTAGCAAGTATGTCTCTGGTCCTTTCCCTGAGTAGAAAAGACTATTCGTTTGAGCCTCCATGGAGAAGTAAATCATAAACTAGGCACTAGACCTAAAACAGCATGCTCCTGGTATACTTCATACAGCTTAAGAGAGGGATAGTGCTTGAGTTTGTCTCAGTTTCTCTTCCATCTAGCCATATAACCTGAACCAGATAACCATGCTGAATTTCATTGTAAAATGGAGACAGTGTCTTCAGATCATTGAGGTAGGGTGGGGGAGCCCAGAGGGTAATCCAATTCAATGAGAACTCTTCTGACACTCAGCCTGTCAGGTATTCAGTAGCCAGGGACTGCACCCCTTCCATCCAGATCCAGGGCTTGGGATAGAGATACTACCAACCTGCAATGTCTGTTGTGTACTCTCTAGTTCTTTCTTGCCATGTTGTTCTGTCAAGTCAAGCTGCTGCTTCAGGGACTGAATTTCTCGTTCTTTCTGATCTAATTCCCATTTGAGATTTTCCATCTAAAAGAAGAAGACACATGACTAACACAATTTTAAAATGGTGCCTTATAGTGTAAAACAGTTCTAAGGTATTTTTACTCATATTTTAGTATTACATTTAGAAAAAAAATGTAATTTCTGTCTGAACAGACAGGGCAGCAGGGACCTAGCTGTCACCTCTTGGCTCCCTGTGGGCTGCTGGCTCATCTGCTCATCCAGCTGCTTCTGTAGGAGCTGGAGCTGGGTTCTAGCTTCTGCCAGCTCAGTCTGGAATTGTGCTATTTCTTGAGAATGTTTTCCCTCTCGAATCCTGGCATTTAAACAAACAAAAAGGTTAAAAATAAAACGACAAAATTCTCTCAATTTGTCCTCCAAGGCTGTCCACGGTGAAGACCTTTTACCATTGGCTGGAGACAGTATAGAGTACTTCCACTGCTCTACTTCCACTAACGCTGCAAAGAAAGCCCTTTGTACTCTGGGAGACACAGTCTATTCACCAAACTCAGATTAGGGTGCTGTCAGACACTTCCATAACACAATAAACCTCTGGGGCTGCAGTAGAGGTATGTGGACATCCTTAGGTTTACCCTACCCCTTTCCACATGTCTGAGTTGATGCTGCATTAGTGTGAAGCTACAATGAATCTCTGAATACTCAGGATATTCCTGGATTGAGTGCTTAAATGGAGGTTCTTCCTATTCCAGGAAGAAGTCAAGGAAGAGCTGGGTTAAGGTTAAGCTCAGGCTTCCTGAAACGGTCAGTCAGATGACTCTGTTCTTTTGACTTGCCCGTAAAGTACTTGGCAACTTAGGGAAAGACAGATGACTCTTTCTGTGAAATTCAAAATTAATTAAAGATGAAAGAAAATCCCAATAGCTCTGATGTGTTCTATGGAAAATGGACACTAAGGTCACCATGGCCAGCCCTGGTTTGTCCTTGTGTGCAAGCATCAGGTACTCACTGAAGCTCATCCGCCTCGGCCTGCAGTGTCTGTACCAGGTGTTCCTTTGCCTGCAGTTCCTTCTTCACCTCACTCAGCTCCAATGTAGCTGCCTTAAAGTGGCGGCGGTTGTGTCCAGCTTCTGCCCTGACAGCAGCCATCTAGAAGAAAGTGAGTAAGTTGACATTACTCACACACAAGTTGTACCATGATGAATGCTACAAGTTTGATGGAATACCAAGTACCAACACTGAAGCCCCTCCCAAACCCACACAGAACTGGTCTAGCTTGTGTATTTTCCTCTCAAGACCAACTTACAGATAAAGATGAAGATACCTGGCTTTATGCTCAGCACACAGTGACTAGTGACATATAGGATATAGGTGACAGACTGTGCTGAATGAAAAATTTTACTCAGTTTTCTTAGTTTTAAGAGGTTGTTTACTCAACTTTATTTATTATTAAAGTTTATTCCTAATTCTTATATTTCCACCTAATTGTAATAAGATTTAATTCTATGTAATTGGCCTCCTCTGAACATTTGTTGATATTCAGAGTCAATAATAGATTCTCTCAAGATTTCCAAGCAAACTCCTGAATGCATAAGAAAAAAAATTCCATTTTCTTTTCTAATAATTTAGCAATATCAGTTAGAGAAACAACTAAAGCTGCCTAGCACTTTAGAGGCCCAGGGTGCACTACAAAAATGAAAAAAAGGTATCAACAGTATCATCATTAGTTATTCAATTTACTCTATACTTGTATTTTAATGGGCCTTAAAATTGTGTCACAGATTTTTTTGTTCAAGTTGTTTCCATTTGAAAATAACTGCTTTAAAGATGAGAACTAGCTGGGTGGTGGTATCTCATGCCTTTAATCCCAGCACTTGGGGAGGCAGAGACAGATGGATCTCTGAGTTTGAGGCCAGCTTTAAAATTATTTTCATTTAAAAAAATTTTTCCTGGGCCAGTGAGCTGTCTCACTAAGGTGCTTGCCACACAAGCCTGACCATCTGAGTTCAATCCCTGGAACCCAGATAAAGGAGAAAACAGAACTGACACCACATGTGTGCCATGACTCACACACATCATGTACGTATGTACACATGGTAATTAAAAAATTTTTTTAAGTTACAATTATTTTTTACTGTCTCAGGTGGGCATCTGTAATCCCAGTACTTCGAAGGTGGGGGAAGATCATGAGTTCACAGTTTCCAGGCATGATGGTACACGCCTTTAATCCCAGCATTCAGGAAGCAGAGGCATGTGGATCTCTGAGATAGAGGCCAGCCTGGTCTACACAGCCAGTGTCAGGCCAGCCAGGGCTACATCATGAGACTCTGTCTCAAAATACAGCAACAAGAAGTAAAGAGTTCGGGGGCTGGAGAGATGGCTCAGAGGTTAAGAGCACTGGCTGCTCTTCCAGAGGTCCTGAGTTCAATTCCCAGCAACCACATGGTGGCTCACAACCATCTGTAATGAGATCTGGTGCCCTCTTCTGGCCTGCAGACATACATGCAGGCAGAACAATGTATACATAATAAATAAATAAAATCTTTTTAAAAAAAAAAAAAAAGAAGTAAAGAGTTCAAGGTTATCCTCAGCTACACTGCAAGTTCAAGGACATCCTTGCTACAAGATACCGTCTCAGGGGGAATAAAAAGAAATTTGTGTATATAAATAACAGATTGTACACCCACACAACAGTGGCCCTGATTATCTGCTCTGTGCCAGCAGGTGTGTTAGTAGGCAGCTCACATTCTAAAAGAGGGGAGGGTATAATAGCCACCATAGGCCTCTGCTGCAGTGATTTACCTGACGGATCAGTAAAACTGGAATGTGGAAAGGAGCCAGTCACAAAGACAAGTCTGTATACTTTAAGGCAATATACAGCCATATTTCTTGACTGATTTTAGACAAGGTCTTGCCATAGAGCTTAGGCTAGCCTCAAATTCACTACATAGTGCTCAAGCTGGCTTTAAAGTCAGGATCCTCCTGCCTCAGTCTTCTAAATGCTGGGATTACAGGAGTGTGCACAAATGGGAAGTGTGCTTTTTAAATTCTACAGTTCCTTTCCTAGCAAAGACTAATGTGCATATATATGGGTGCCTCAGTCTGACCTTCTCAGTCCTTCATTGCTAAAGTCACTTAATGCCATTTTCTACAAAGAAACAATGTTCTCTGCAGTCTCTGTCATAACAACCCAGTCCTTGGAAACAAACTCAACATGGAAAGGGCACCCCCACAGTCTACATCTCCAGTCTACATCTCCTAGAAGGCCCTATGAATTTGAAGCTGACCACATACCTGTTCCTTCATGCTGTTTACTTTCATCTTTTCTTTCTCTAATGAGGCTTGTAAGGCTTGGACCAGTTGCTTCATCTGGCGATCCTCCTCCTCTTTGCGCTGTAAAACTGCCTGCACCTACATCACATTATGAAAAGATAAATAAGGAACGATATCAATCCCAAGCATCTATACAACCTGCAATACAATTTGGGATCCTCTACAGTCAGCCATCATGTGGAGCCCAGTAGGATGGTGTGGTGGTTTGAAAGGAAATGCCCGCCCCCACAAAATGGAGCACTATTAGGAGGTGTGGCCTTGATGAAAGAAGTGTGTCACTGTGGGGATGGGCTTTGAAGTCTCTTTTTCTCAAGCTTCCCTCAGTGTGACAGTTGACTTCCTGTTGCCTGCAAGATACAGCACTCTCAGCTCCAGCACTATGTCTGCTTGCACGCTGCCATGCTCCCCTTCATGGTCATAGTGAACTGAACCTCTGAAACTATATGTGAGCCACCCTCAATTAAATGTTTTCTTTATAAGAGTTGCTGTGGTCATGGTGTTTCTTCACAACAATAAAAACCTAAGACAGATGGTATACATAGTGATGACATCACGGGAAAGGAAACAAGGTAGGGAAGGTTAGAAGCCCCTCTTTGGGGCTGGAGATGTAGCTCGGTTGGTAGACTACTTGCCTAATAGGCACAAAGCCCTGGATTTGATTCCCAGCACTTATGTATAAAACGACAACTGGTGTGGCTATAATCCTATGGCACAAAGCAGAAGGATTAGAAGTTTAAAGTCATCCTTAGCTACCTACTGCGTTTAGGGATAGCGGAGATGTATAATCCCTGCCTCAGAAATGAATTAAGTGCTGAAGTCTGATCTCACAAATTGTGTCACATGGCTGTGTTCAAGAACATAGCTGAGAACCAAAAAGAAAGAGGCAAATGTATCATACAAGCAAGGCAGCCCAGCAACAACAGGAGTGGTAGGAACTAGAGCAAAATGTAAATTAACTAAGTTAATGTAAGTTCAGCTACCTCTAAAGCACTGTAGAACCTAAGGAGCTGAGAACAGAACCTATAATAAGACACCAAGGTGGGGTTCAAATCCCAGTTCTAAATGATATCAGGACTTAGCAAGTGTCTTTTGCACAGCGTCTGGCCTGTCCCACCAGGAGCCTACTATGTAAAAGGGACTCATAAACTTGATACAATGACCACAGGCTCTTACAGCTGGGACATCCAGGTTTGTGCAATGGCCAGGTTCCTCTGAGCCTCTGAGCCAGGTGTGGTGGTCCCCTGAAAGTAGCTATGACTCAGTGTGGTGAGACACTGACAGTAAGTATGGTCCACACAACTCTCATGCTGCTCCTGGCAGATAGGTCTCAGCACCTGGAGATTCAGCTGCACCAGGTCAGCTTCCCTCTTGGCTAGTGCAGTCTCTAGTATACTGTTGTGCTCCCGCAAAGCTGCATTAGACTGTCCGAGGCCAGTGAGCTTCCCTCGCTCATGTTCTAACTCCAAAGCCAGTTTCTTATTTGACTCTTCAAGACGTTTTATCTTCCTTCTGAAGCCTCTGGATTCTTGAAGCTGAAACATATAGGTACATGTAAAATTTCATGCTCTGGGCAGATGTGGTGATTCATGCCCATAACCCCAGTACTTGGGAGGCAGAGCCATAAGGATCAGTTCAAGGCCAGCCTGGCTATATCAAAAGCAACACCACCACCCCCCAGACACACAAATCATATTCTGTTAGATGGAATTATTATACTCAACTGAAACAGTTGAGCAGTTTTCAACAAGAGCTAACACTAAAGCACAAACTGTCATTGACTTATTACCTATGAAGCTACTGCTCTTTTGGGTTTACAGACACTGAAAAGGACCTTGCTAAGCTACTCACAAATGGGCATGGGGCTGGGCTAATCTCAGCATACCCATTTGAGGACAGGATAGAGATGGTTGAATAAAACACACATCCCTAAAAGTTATGTAATATTCCTGGAGACCCTGCTGTAGCAGCGTGGTAGGCAGTAGGGTACGACAGGGGCTGGTGACAGGGCCCTTAGTGATAACACTGCCTGAATAGGGCCAATAAACTGCTTCTGAGTTTTCAGTTCTTTGGCAAATTTAATTTGGGTTTGTTATTTACAATTAAAGCATTTTAACTGGGAAAAGAACAGGAATATCTAACCTTTGGACACTGAAATATGACAAATCTGTTAGGATGGATTCATCGCTATCCTAGGACTTATGTGGCATACAAGCTACAGGCTAGACATACCTGCCTTAGAATGTAAGTCTCAGTAGCCATTTTGTAACTGTAAAGTGGTAACTATTGTTATCCTCCCTAGAGTACTGGCAACAATCTGGTCCACCAACAATCACAAGGTGACCAAGTGCCAAGGAGCAAGGCTGAGCAGACAGCAAATACAGGTGTTACCTCATCTTCCAGCTCCAGCACCTTCTCCCGGGACTCTTCCAGTTCCTGGCTAGTCATTGTGATCACCTCCTGTAACTCCTTCTCCAACAATATCTTGCTTTGGCCAACATTCTGCAGTTCCACCTCCAGAGCCCGAATCTTCTCCTGAGAGCCAAAATGGGAGTCATGTTTAGTCAACGGCCCTTCCCTCCTGCAACTCTCATGGACACATAATTGACTACAGCCTAGATTTTGTAGTTGTTGTTTTTAAATTTTTATTAAATTTTTGAATTTATTTTGTGTGTGTACATGTGTGCAAGCACGTGTGTAGGTGCCCTTGTGTGCATGTAGAGCTCAGAGGACAACTTGTGGGAGTCAGGTCTTTCCTTCCACCATATGACCAGGGATCAAACTCAAGTTATTAGGCATGGTGAAAGGGGCCTTTATCCATTGAACCATTTAACCAGCCCTGTTGTTTTGTTTTGTTTTGTTTTTGAGACAGAACCTCCCTTACTAAAAAGCCCAGACTGGCTTTGAACTAGTGAACCTCTTCCCTCAGCCTCACAAGTGTTTGGATTACATCACTAAACCCAACTCAGGAGGCTCTATTCTTTTATTTGTGATAAGGTCTTGTGTAGCTCATGCAGTCCTAGAACTTGCAACAGCCAAGATTAGCCTTGAAATCCTGATCATCCTGCTTCAGCCCCCTGTATACTGGGATTATAGGTTAGAGCCATCATTCCTGGCTGGAGGTTCTATTGTTGACTCTTGTGTAAGACTGAGATAAAAGGGTATACAGTAAGACAAAGTCATTTCCTTACTCCAGCCTACCATAAACAAAACCACAGCTAAAGCTGCTGGGAATATTCTGTTCCTCAGTTGCAGATTCTAGACTCCAGAGCACTCCACTTGCAGGGCAGTGGTGGCGCATGCCTTTAATCCCAGCACTCAGGAGGCAGAACCAGGCGGATCTCTGTGAGTTCGAGGCCAGCCTGGTCTACAGAGTGAGATCCAGGACAGGCACCAAAACTACACAGAGAAACCCTGTCTCAAAAAAAAAAAAATTAAAAAAAACAAAAAACAGAGCACTCCACACCTTGCTGCCTTTACTAGGTGATCCAAAAGATTTAAAATGACAAACAGAAAGGAACATGGTGATTGACTAGAGACCACTCAATATTTTATAAAGTAACAGAGTATTTACTTATTCAACTGGATAAGCACATACCATATAACCTTCTAACTTATAATGATACATCTATAATCTAAGAACTTGGGAGGCTAAGGCTGGAAGATCAAAAGTCTAAGACCAGCTTAAGATACAAGGAAAGACCCTGTTTCAAAAAGAAAAACACAAGTTTGGCATTGTACTATACACCTGTAATCCAAGTATTTGGGAGGTGGAGGTATGAGGAATAGAAACAAAGCAATCCTTACCTACACAGGGCCAGCCTGGATTACTCAAAAACATCAAGAACAAAAACATACAAACAGGGAGCTGGAAAGATGGCTCAGTGCTTAAGAGTACTTTCCACTCTTTCAGAAGACCACAGTTTGATTCCTAGCAAAGTGGCACCCAAAAGTCTGTAACTCCTAGAGGCCTCTTTTGGCCATCTTTCCGCGATGGCACCATGGTGCGCATGAATGTCCTGCCTGATGCTCTCAAGAGCATCAACAATGCTGAGAAGAGAGGCAAACGCTAGGTCCTCATCCAGCCCTGCTCCAAAGTCATTAGGTTCCTAACTGTGATGATGAAGCATGGTTACATTGGTGAGTTTGAAATCATTGACGACCACAGAGCTGGGAAAATCGTCATGAACCTCACAGGCAGGTTGAACAAGTGTGGAGTGATTAAGCCCTAGATTTGATGTGCAACTCAAAGACCTAGAAAAATGGCAGAACAATCTGCTCCCATCCCGTCAGTTTGGCTTAATTGTACTGACAACCTCAGCTGGCATCATGGACCATGAAGAAGCAAAACGAAAACACAGGAGGAAAAATCCTGGGATTCTTTTTCTAGAGATGTAAAACACATTAATAAAAAGCCTCCGTGGACTGTGAAAAACAAACAAACAAACAAAAAACCCCTAGAGAACAGAACTTTCCTAATGAAGTGACATTTGGATGACCTGGACACACATACTCTGTTGCCTCCATCAGAGCTGTGTGGTTTACTGACCTGTTGCCCTCATCCTGTCACCTCTCAGCCACTGCAGCAAATACAACCTGTCTACCTGTCAGAGCTCCCCAACTTCATGGTCCTAATGTACACCTATCTACATGAAAGGACAGGAAAGTGACAAGGCTCACTTTCCACATTTACTGTGAGCCAGGCCAAACAGATCCTCTTCCCACTCAACTCTCAGCTTGTCCCCCTAGTACCGCCTGCAATTTTATTCCATTTTTTCTACTTTATCAGATACTACCTCTCTCACTGCATATCATACTGTACTGTCTGTCTGTACCTCTCCCCATGAGTCCTAGGGTTATACAGAGAAGATTATAGGACAGAAGTAAGTTCTGCCTCTGCCCCTCAGCCAAGAGCCCAATTTCTACAGGTCAGGGAAGCTTCTCCAAAGGCACATGAGATAGTACATATATATAAGTCACTAAAAGTCCAATGACAGACCAAGTCACTAGTTAAAGAAATGTTGTCTATGCCAGATGTAGTGGTGCCTACTTATGCTCCCAGTGACTTAGTAAGCTGCGGAAGAAGGACTACAAATTTTAAGGACAGCCTAAAGATAACTTAGATTGTCTCCAAATGAAAATTAAAAATTAAAAAGTAGAGGAGGGCTGGCAGTGACATAAGAATTTTAAAGCAAGAAAATGTTTATAGACTACACTTTTCCTATTTTCAAAAGAATGTTAAGGACTCTAGCCATATAGTGGTGCATGCCTTTAATCTCAGCACTCCAGAGGCAGAGGCAGGTGGATCTCTGTGAGTTCAAGGCCAGCCTGGTCTACAAATGGAGTTCCAGGACAGCCAGGGCTATTACGCAGAGAACCCTGTTTCAAAAAACAAACAAACGGGATAGAGAGATGGCTCAGAGGTTAAGAGCACTGGCTGTTCTTCCAGAAGTCCTGAGTTCAATTCCCAGCAACAACATGGTGGCTCACAACCACCTGTAATGAGAGCTGGCCTGCAGGGATACACGCAAACAGAACACTGTATATATAATAAATAAATAAATAAATCTTTAAAAAAAAAAGGACCAAAAACAAACAAAGCCAAAAGAGTCATAAGGACTTTGACAGGGAGAAATGTGTTTACCTACATGTAGAACAGGGTCACTGCTGCCACCAGTGCTCTGAGCTCTGAGCTGGCTAAGCTCTGCATCTGTGGCCTCCTTGGTAGCCAGGGCCTCCTGCAGGCGGCGGCTAAGAATGCTCACAGCGTTCTCATAAGCTTTGTGCTTGGTCTTCATCTCCTTCTGGGCACTGGTCAGATCCGAGCCCAGTCGCTTCATCTTCTGCTTCTGTTCTGTGATGGCCCTGAGACATGAGTGAAAAAGCTGAGTTAAACTTCGGTGCAACCAGCCAGTTCCCTGGCCTGAAACATCAAGGGCACATACTGTAGTTCACCTTCCAGGGCTGGATAGTGTCTTTTTTGTTGTTGTTGTTTTTGTTTTTGAGACAGGGTTTCTCTGTGTAACCCTGGCTGTCTTGGAACTTGCTCTATAGACCAGGCTGGCTTTATACTCAAGAGATATGCCTACCACCACACCTGGCTCAGGGCAGTGGATCTTGAGAGGCTTCAACTCAACCCTATTCTGTCTTGCCAGAACCTGGCTGACCCTCAGGAGAACTTGGGCAAGTGTGTTCTTGTTCTGGTTTGGTTGCTGAAGGAGACAAGGTATCCGTCAGGAGTCCATGCTAGAGGGACAAGAAAAGCAATGTGAATCCACTAAGTCACATCCACCGTCATCAGGACCTGCCCTTAAAAATGATTCTGTGATGGGTATGGTGGTATACACCTGTAATGCCAGTATCTGAGAGGCTGAGGCAGGAAGATAGCTGCAAGCAAGAGGCTATGCTGGACATAGGACAGCTGGGGCTACACAGTGAGATCTTTTTTTCAACAAAACAGAATGAATAATCTTGTGAGGGCAGAGAAACAGCACACTCCAACCAAAAAATATCCCCAACATTCTTCCTGAAGGTCAAAAGCAAACTCTCATCAGATTTATGAAAACACTACTAGCTGATAAAACACAAACAGCACAGAATATACCAAGGAGTAATGAGGTCCCAAAAGGCTGGGACTCAGAACTCACACTGTAATCTCAGCATTTAAGAAGGTGAAGCTGGAATATCACAAGTTTGAGGTCCATCTAGGTTATAAAGAGAAATATCGTCTCAAAAAACCAGCTATTTCAGCACTATTCGTAATAGCCAGAACCTGGAAACAACCTAGATGCCCGTCAACTGAAGAATGGATTAAGAAAATGTGGTACATATACACAATGGAGTACTACTCAGCAGAGAAAAACAATGACAGCATGAAATTTGCAGGCAAATGGATGGAACTAGAAAATATCATCCTGAGTGAGGTAACCCAGACCCAGAAGGACAAACATGGTATGTACTCACTCATAAATGGTTACTAGATAAAAAGCAAAGAACAATCAGACTGCAACCCACAGAACCAGGGAGGCTACATAGCAGGGGGAACCCTAGGATGACTGTGGCTTATAATAAGTTTGGTTTTACTCAATCACTGGGCAAGCCTCAATGAAACATTTCACTATTAGGATAAGGATTTATACTGTATCAAGCTGATAACAGAAATAAGTAAGTAAATAAATAAATAAGAGAAAAAAACAGCTATTCTGTCTCAAAAATAAATATATGAATGAATAAATAAATAAATGGCCCAAAATGGTGTTTGCCTGCATGTGTACTCATGTTTATCAGTAGTTTCTGGTAAGGGTCATATTTTAGGTTTATGTGTGTGAGCATAAAAGGATAAGATGGATGAATATCAAAGTGTCAACCTAGTGAGGGAGCAGGAATGTGAGGATACTGACACCAGTGTGTGTGTGAAATAATAAGTTAGATTAAATAAAAGGAGAAGGAGATTTTAGGGATAGGGATGGAGCTCAATGGTAGAGCACCTGTTTAGTATGCTCAACGTCCTGGGTTTCAGCCCCAGCTTGGGAGAAGGGGGTGCTTCTGTAAACGATACTTGAGCAAGCCAACTTATAAACTCAGATATGTAGGAAAAAAGTAACTGCCAAATCATGCTGGAACTTTAGAACCTGTGCTCCAGGCTACCTTTTCATAAGCCTGAGTACAAAAAGAATCTGTTAAGGAACCCAGCAACATCAAGGACTGTACAGATGTTCCCGCTCTCTGCAGAGCTGGTGCCCCTCACAGTAAGTGTATGCTTCTCAGACTTACTTCTTGGCCTCTTGCTGCAGCTCTTCTATTTGTTTCTTTAGTGTCTCGTTGGCCTCAGTAAGAGCTACCATCTGCTCTTTGTCAAACTGCAAAGACTTTAAAAAGAACAAAGAATGGCCAGTAAGTAAAAAGCCACCTACTTCAGATATTTGTCACTGATGAACCATACTTCAGAGAGGTCAAAAGCTTTTCTCAGTGTTGAAGAGATGGGTCAGCAGTTAAGAGAACTGGCTGCTGTCCTAGAGGACCCATGTTTAATTCCCAGAACCCACACAGCAGTTTATAATCATTTGTAACTCCAGTTCTAAGTACTTGAATGCCCTCCTCTGGCTTCCATGGGTGGCATGCACATGGTACACAGATACACATGCATCCTAAATACTCATATACATTAAAAACATTTCTGGCCACTGTGTCCAAACCATTAATGCCTTCCGGGCAGGAAAAACAAGCTCAGGTTCGCCCAGGCCTTACCTGATACCTCATGAAAGGAACAAGCAAGGTACTTCTGGGTGAATACTGGACATACCATCTTTATATAAACATGCTGGCCACTTGTCTACCTGAATCTTGCCCTGGACCTCTTAGGGACTTTCAGCATGTCATGTGTAAAATGGAGCCTTTTTTTGTTCTAGCATCCTGCATATCAACTCTCCAAATTCCTCACCCCAGGAAGTGTTCCCTATTTGGGACAGAGATCTCTACCCGTAAGTCATCCCTTAACCCTACCTGGTCGGATCACCAAGCCAGTCACCACACTCATTAAAACAGCAAGACCCAGGGGCAGTATGGCTGTCCAAAGGGCATGGGCAGCTACCTGATTCTCTCAGTGACTGTACCCTGCCTAAACTCAGGCTATTTGCAGAGCACACTCTCCTTTCTGTCTGCTGCCAACTTTGCAGACTTCAAGGCTCAACGACTAGCTCCAAAGACCCTGTCACAGGGTGGCATGTTCAGATGCTCACTCTTCTTTGTTTCTTTCATATAGCATCACAACCTGGACTTATCTGATTATTAGTTTTGGGGAAGGCCTTGTCTCTAGATTGTTTTAAAAGCCTTTCTTGGCCAGTGCTCCCTGTTCCATCTTGTACACAGTAAACCCTCAGCACAATTGGCTGAACCTTCACAACTCAAAAGAACCTATGTATTGCATCCCACCTGCAGGTGAGTCTCCATTTCATCTCGTTCTTTCTGCACTGACTGAAGATGCCCCTCAAGATCTGCCATCTGCTGGTGAACCAGGGACATCTCCCTCTGCAGTCGTGAGTGTTCTATTTCCATAGTCTTCTTCTCTCCATGCACCTTCATTAGCTCCTGCCTCAGTTCCTTCATCTCTGAGTCCAGCCGTTTTTTTGTGGCTTTCAGCTCACTAATGAGTTGGTCTTTGGAAGTAGCATCTCGCCGGTAGGCCTCTACCATTACCTTTAGGACAAGACGAAAGTAATAAGCCAGTGCCAGTCAGCATCTTACCCAGGGAATAAGGCTGGCTTAAATAAAAATGTTTACCAACAATTCAAGGTATAACCTCCCTCACCCACGTTCTAGGCATGGAAGCAAGTATTCTAACCACTAAAGTACACCTCTAGCCATAGGGCACAACTTTTTATACAAAAAAACAATACATGTTAAAATCTGACACTACTCATTGAGAAATACCAATGATGATGGCATGTCTGGATTTCTGTCACATGACGTGACTACAAACTATGCCCCACCTCCCCAAATCTGGACATTGTATGAAACATCCCATTATCCTCCTGGAATCCTTGTATCTTTCGGGTACTCTCACAAGGGCTAATCTCCCTTTGGCCGGGGTGCTTGGATTCTGAAAGTTAATCCTTTGCATATCTCTGTAATAAACTGAAACACAACTTATAAACAAGATCTGGAGGGTCTTCCTATCTTAGAACAAAACATTCAACTGCTGCTGGACAACAAAGCAAAGAGTCAGAGCCATTCCTCCACCAGGAGACAGGGCTTCACAAGACAAAACTATGTCATAGACCGTTTGGGTACAAACTAAATTTGTTTTTAATGTTGGGTTATGGCATAAGCTTTTCGCATACTTTATACTGTCAACACAACCAACACACACTGACAAAAAAAAATGTGTAACACACACAGATCTTGGAGTGATAATGATAGGGTATCCTGACAGGTACTACATTGGTAGGTATTACATTCAGCCTTGGAGGATCATAGGCCCTTCCTCAGGGGAGAAACATCATGCTGCCTCACTGACTGCAGTGCCTTTAAAAAGGATAAGACCTAGATGCTTCCCTCTTTCTGATTTTGTTCCCCTGAAGCAGACTGACTACTCAGCAATACGCCCAACACTTGTTTCCCATGTCTCACCTTTTGCTGAAGAAACTGCTCCTTTACTTTCTGCACCTGTTTTCTCAATGAGGCTGTCTCTTGCTGCAAGTGCTCCACCTACAGGAGAGGTTTGCAGAAGGGTGGGTGGCCTGACAGTTCTAGGTCTGCACCCAATGGCATTTCTTAAGCCCGGCAGTGGTGGCACATGCCTTTAGTCCCAGCACTTGGGAAGCAGAGGCAGGCAGATCTCTGTGAGTTCAAGGCCAGCCTGGTCTACAGAGAGAGATCCAGGACAGCCAGGACTGTTTCACAGAGAAACCCTGTCTTGAAAAACCAAAAAGAAAAGAGTCAGCACTAGCCAGAGCACAAAAAGTGGCTTTCAGTCAGACACATGCTGATAGCCAAAGGGCTGCTCAGGCAGGACACATAACCAGCATCCTCCCTCCTTGCCACTTAAAAGTACAAAGACAAGGTGAAGGGCAGAGGAGTGAAAGAAAGGATGAGGCAGGGGATGCTCTAGATTAGATAGACTTAAGCCCTTCCTGGAATAGCCAGAGAGGAAATACTTTTAAGTTATTGTGAGCCACATGTCTGCTGCAGCTTCTCAGCTCCGGTCTTGCAGCATGAAAGCAGCCAGACACTACATAAAAGAATAGAGTGAGGCTCTAGTCCAATGAACCTCAGTTTACAACACCCCATATCCTTGTGACTTAAATCATACCAGAGACCAGCCCACCCCTAATATCTGGAAGCTTGGAGAAATTGCCATCTCAGGCCCCAGACTGAGACAGATCTGCACATAAAGAGCCCCAGGGACTCAGGAATACATGATATACTGGAAGGGTTACTCTGGTACAGAAAAAGCCTTCTGCTGCTTTGTTATTTCATGTGAGAAAGAAAAAAAAAAGAGAGATTCTGGGGACTGAACCCTGATGCATATGAGGCAAGTATTCTACCATTAAGTCACACCCCAAGCCCAATAAAAAATGCTTCTGAACACCCTACCAGGGCTCTTATAGCACTCTGCATGGTACATCTCCATGATATATGACAGAGATACCCAGACATAAAACATTATTCTTTCAATTATTATTACATTCTAAAGTGTCAGTGAAATCATGCTCACCTGACAGCAGTTAAGAGCACTGCATGTGATCACCATCTTAGATGGTGGAAACTGAGGTCAGTAAACCCCAGAGCCTTGTATAGATAGCTTTTTCTCAGAGACCCTTAAGGACATGTGTTCATTCTAACCAGCCAGGTGGGACAGCCAGCACCTGGGCAAGGAAGAGCTTGAAAGACAGCAGTTTCCCTGTAAGGCTGTTAATACACCCCCACCTCTCAAGTCAGGAAATAGACTTCAGAGCTCCAGCCAACATGCAGAAGAACCTCACTCCACTATGCTGTTCCATCCAATACAGTAAAATTTCAACATGATAAATACTGTCCAGTGTCAGTTGAGGTCCCTCTTACAACTCCCTCTAAATTAACGTCTCCAGGGCTGGAGAGATGGCTCAGAGGTTAAGAGCACTGCCTGTTCTTCCAGAGGTCGTGAGTTCAATTCCCAGCAACCACATGGTGGCTCACAACCATCTATAATGTGATCTGGTGCCCTCTTCTGGCGTGTAGGCATGCATGCAGATAGAACACTGTACATATAAATAAATAAATAAATCTTTAAAAAAAAATTAATATCTCCAAGAGAAACAGACCATGATCCCTGATCCTTTGTCCTTACAGAACGGAATATAAAGGCATAATCATTCGAACTTTAGTTCCACTTCCTGAGCATCTTTCTTTACTATGTATTTTTTTATAGATTTGTCAATTTCTAGCAGTATCATACTGTTAGCACACTGCTGTTCCCCATATATGGCCACCCCACTGGGCTGTGCTTTACATACCAGGACACTGGTGTTAACAGGAGGAACCTACCATGAGCTATCTGTCCCACCCTTAACATACCACATCATGACTAGCTTGCCACATGTAGGAAGAGGAAGCAAAACCAAGTGTACAGCAGCTTCTCCTCCAGCTGAAAGCATAACATCAGCAGCAAAAACTGGTGCTTTCTTGGCAGATAACATTTAAAAGCTCCACACAAAACTTGTTCTCCCAGTATCTGGTTCCTCCACACCCAGAGGCCAATGGGGGAAAGGGTTACAACAAGAACTACTGGTTTCCTGCTCGAGAACACTCTTCCATTGATCACTCACGTTTGTAACAGAACACATCCCAGAAAAGAGTCAATCTATGGTCCTTCAAAAACAGCTAAGACAGTGTTACCTGGTTGGACTTGACAGTCAATTCTTGTCTCAGTTGTTCCAATAGTCCTGATGTCTCCTCAGTATCTTCTTCCAAACGCTGTGCTCCTCTGTCAAGTTCCTCCTTGTCATTCCTGGCCGAGTGTAGAGCCACTTCCAAAACAATCTTCTCATTCTGCAGGAAGTGAATTGTGTCCTCCCTGGAGTCAGCCTCTCTCTGCAGCTCCTCCAGCTTTGCTTGTAGCTCATCATAACGTGTATGCAGGTCATCAAGAGACTGCCCCTTGGACTGTAGAGCCTCCTGTGTGGAGGTGAGCTGCTTTATCACATCTAGGTGCTCCTGCTGAAGTGCTGCAAGCTGCTGGTCTCGCTGGAACAATGTCAACTTCACCTGAAAAAAAATGATAAACTTAACATGCCACCTTCCACCTGGTACAAGAATTTATACATTTTTGATGTTCAGGATTTAAATACTTTTGATGGATTCATTGAAGGGTCTTTTTTATGTAAAATTTTAGAGTAGAAGAACATGAATAGAAGCAAACCTGGTCAGGCTGGCAACAGAACAGTCTGATAGTACCCTTCAAATATATTCAACAGACATCTCAAAATAAACCGGAACTACTAATATAGCCTGATGCCAGAGATCCCACACAGGCCACACATGAATGGCACTGAGACATGTATGTCAGGCAAAGCCCACATCCAAATATATCTCTGTGAGCCTAGGGTCTAGGAAGCAGCAGTTACTTGCCTGTTCCAATTGTTGCTCCAGGGATGCTGCTGCATCTGCCACTTTCTGTAACTGCTCCCGTTCACCTTCAAATTCTTCCAGCCTCCTTTGGAGGTCCTCCTCCACCATTGTCTTTGCCTCCTGAATCTGTATAAATGCTGCCTCCTGATCCAACATGTCAGCCTGAATAAAAAAATATTGCTTCTTTTAAAGTTTATTTTGTGTATATGAGTGTCTTGACTGCATGTATGTATGGGTACCACCTGCATCCTTAGTGCCTGTGAGGCCAGAAGAGGGCATTGGATCTCCTGGAACTGGAGTTAAGATGGGTGTGAACCACAGGGTGCTGGAAATTTAACCTGGATCCTTTGAAAGAACAGCAAGTGCTCTTAACCACTGAGCCATCTCTCTAGCCCTAGAAACAGTATTTCTTAAAAAGCAGAAAAATTTGATCATCAATAACAAACTTCAAGTCTCATCCTTTACAGAGAAACAAACACGCGCACACACACACACACACACACACACACACACACACACACACACACACACACACACTTGCTATGCAAGAAGTTCCTATTTATATCTCCATCCTGTCTATGAACTACAATCTGAAAGGCCCAGAATCAGTGGCTGGTATCTATTCACTTACCACAAGGTAGAGGCAAGGCCAGGCTACTCAGGACTCTTAATCCTAGCTGACTGAGACCCGTACCAAGAGAGGACCAGTCAAACAACCCTCCTAGTTACTTAAGAACCTGAAGCAGAAGGATGATTGCTTAAGACAAAGTTTAAGACCAGGTAGGCAAAAGAAAAATAATCCAATTGAGCTGGAGATATAGTTTAGCTAGGAAAAATGTTTGCTCAGCATGCATGAAGGCCTGGGAAGTACTGTATAAAACCACATGTGGTGATACACACCTGTAATCCCAGAACTCAGGAGGCAGAGGCAGAGGCAGAGAGGCAGAGAGGCAGAGGCAGGCAGATCTATGTTTTACACCAGCCATGACTACATAGTGAAACCCTGTCTCAAAAAAGAAGTATAGTTTTAGTTGTCATTGTTCAAGGTCTTCCTTGCTATACAGTAAGATCAAGGCCAGCATTAGCTACATGAGATCCTATTTCAGTCACTTAATCACTCAATTTCTTTTTAAAAAAGAGATCAAGTATGGAATGGATCTTCTCCCTGACCATTTGTCATGAGAGGACAGACCAGAAACATATCGCTCCTTTCAAGTGTGGAACATTAAATAACCTCTTTGATAAGACTTCTATTTGGAACTACTTAGTAAAACAAAAACAAGAGGGACCATGGGATCAAATATGGCATTTCTTTTTGTTGTTTTTTTCAAGACAGAATTTCTCTGTGTAGCCTGGAACTGACTCTGTAGACCAGGCTGGCTTCAAACTCAGAGATAGGTGCCTCAGCCACCCAAGTGCTGGGATTAAAGGTGTGCACAACCACCACCTAAACATGGCATTTCTTAATTATTTGACTATATAGGTAAAACCTGACATTGTGGTACTTTCTTTTTTTAAGATACAGGCCTTTTAATTATATTGTGTATATGGGGGAAAGATACATACACACATGTGGAGGTCAAAGGACAACTTGTGGGAGTCAGTTCTCTCCTACATGTTGGTCACAGGGACTGAACTCAAGTCATCAGGCTTGGTGGCAAGTGTCATTGGTTCTTTACATTACTAGTTACTCATTATGGCTTTCAACATGGTTCTCTTCCATTATCTGAGCCAAATGGCTGTGTGCTCCACATGGAAAAAAGAACAGGTAGAAAGCTGAAAAGATGAGAAATCAGACAAGCCATCAGAAAGCTGAATTCTTGTGTAACTATCTATGAAAAGTCAGGATCAAAACTGACCCAGGAATGCAATTCACAACCATTAGTGACTGGATTTTTTTTTTAATAAAAATTTATTTTTTTATATTTAGTGTGTGTGCACATGCATGTGTTCAAATGCACTTGAGAGCATAGGCATAGACCATGGTGCCATTGTGGAGATCAGAAGATAAGTTGCAAGAGTCAGTTTTTTCTTTTACCATGTAGATTGCAGGGATCTAACTTAAGTCAACAGGCTTGGCAGCAAGCAACTTTTACCATTCTGCCAGTTCTTGACTAGATGCTTTATGGTTTTTTCTTTTTTGCTTTTTATAACAAGAATAAAAATGGGTATTGTGGCTGGGCGGTGGCAGTGGTGGCACACGCCTTTAATCCCAGCACTTGGGAGCCAGCACTTGGGAGGCAGAGCCAGGTGGATCTCTGTGAATTCGAGGCCAGCCTGGTCTACAGAGCGAGATCCAGGATAGGCACTAAAACTACACAGAGAAACCCTGTCTCAAAAAAAAAAAAAAAAAAGGATATTGTGGGACATGTATATACTCATAATCCATAGGAGAAAGAGGCAGGAGGTTAAGAGTTTAAGGTTATCTTAGTTATAGAGAGTCTGAATCCAGCCTGGCTACATAGGCCTGTCTACATAGGTTAAGGAATCATCTAGAGCAGCAGTTCTCATCCTATGGGTCAAGACCCCATTTACATTACAATTCATAACAGTAACAATCGGAAAGTTATGAAGGATCAATGAAATAATTTTATGGTTGGGAGTCACCATGACATGAGGAACTGTATTAAAGGGTTGCATTGAGAACCACTGATCTAGGGTTTTACGGAGAATGGGATTTGGATCCAAATCAAATATACTACATTTCCCATCATCATCTAGAGATGGTCTGTAGAGACAGCAGACCGTAATGAAAATGCCTTTGGGAGAGCAGTGGACACTGGAGGACTGAAAACAGGTTGAGTGCTTACAAACAAATGAAAACTACTATTATCACTAGGCCTGGAAATACTGTCTGATATACAAATATACTTAATCCCCCTTTCCCCATCCACTCTGTGGCTAGCTCTGTCCCCAAATGGCAACAATGCACTGGTAGGAATTCAGGTCCAAAGGAGGGTTTAAAGAGGAACTACAAGGTCCCAAGACACTCAGGCCAGACAAGAGGTGGAATTCCAAAATGCTGAACAGCTATCACTGCACACTGCTCAAAGGGATTGCTTGCGTGCGTGCATGCGTGCGTGCGTGTGTGCGTGTGTGTGCGCGTGTGTATCATATACTTTTGTGGTACATGTACAGAAACATGTGGGAACACACATTCATGCATGTATATCTACAGGCCCAAAGAAGACACTGGGTGTCTGTCTCTTTTTCTCTCCATCATACTACCTTGAAGCAATGTCTCTCACTGAAGTAGTAGTTTGCCATTTTGTCTAGGCTAGCTAGCCAGCAAGCTCACAGGATCCTCATCTCAACCTCCCACAAATGCTAGGGTTACAGGCACATACAGCCATGTCTGACTTTCGTGTAACTCATGGCCTCATTCTTGCACAGCAAGTGCTCTTACCTACTAGGCCATCTCTGTAGCCCAAAAAGAATTTTTTGAAATATTACATAATGTAGAAAAGTATACATATTCACAAGATACATTTATGTTCACTAATAGGTATTTTGATTATATCTGTGTATGTTTTACACTTGCTAGCAAGACCCAAAGTCAGATAAAAATTATCACTCCACCATCATCACAGTTCTCACCTCAATGCTCTGGAGCTGAACAGCTATTCGCTCTTTTTCCTTGATGGATCTATGCTGAGTTTCTGTCAGCTGATGGGACAGGGACACATTCTCAAGCTTCAGGTGCTCCAAAAGGCCTGCTTGGGTCATCTGTCCAACCTTCAAAGAAAAATCCAGGAGGTAAAAAGGAACTTACAATTGTGTAGACCAGCCTATCCTTCGTCACTAAGATGTTCTCTCTTTGTTAACAATGGCTACTGGCTGACTTTCTAAATGTCCCCTAATGCAGGGAAAGTTCCTGCCCTTCTCTTCCTCCCCAGGACTTACCACCACAAATCCTCTGCCAGCCTACCTTAACTGGAGCCATGTGGCTCCTGGAAGGGCGGGGGCACCAAGAAATCAGCCCTTCACACCCGAGATCATGCAGTTTGGACATGACCTACACTGGAGTTCCCATTTAAGGTATAACTATAAACTAATAACCAAATCCTATTGGATCACCACTTGTTCCAGAGACAATCAAGGCCTAATTTGGCTCACAGTGTCTTCAGGAGAGGAAAGATCAAACTCTGAGAAGGACTACCTTGCCAAATTCTCTGTCATACAAGAATAACCACAAGAAAGATTCAGAGCACAGAGGACAGGATGGGAGAGCCTCAAGCCCTGGAAAGGTCAAAGGAAGATTTATCCTTTGGTTGAAGGGAAGGCATGAGAGGCTCTTGTAGAGGAGGGGTGTGGCTATGACGTAATCAGCAGACGCTAAACGAAAACGTATCTATGAAATCTAAAACCAAGAACACCCTTTCCCCCATTTTGGTAGCTTTGAATGTGTGATCCTCTTGTCTCAGTCTTTAGAGATTTGGATGCCATCACACTCAGTTTAGAAACATCTTTGCAATGCGGGGGAAAGCACATACCATATACCTGAAAGGAGTTTCCTGCACTATACCTGGATGTGGGCCACCTCTCCCTGCAGCCTGACCCTGGCCTCCTGGGCCAACGCAAGCTGCTGTTGGTACCACTGCCGGGCATGCTGCAGAGATGTGATTTCAGTCTGTGATGCTTGTAGCTTGCTGGTCAGTGTTGTGCGCTCCAGCTGTACTTGGTGGAGCTGACTCTGTAGGGCTGCCATCTGCTGCCGAAGGTCATGCACTGAAAGTAAGCAAGCACAGCCAACTCAGACTAACCAGCACTAACAAAAGCCACAGCTGAGTGGTCATGTGACCTGAAGTTGAAGTCTACAGAGAGAAGCCTGCAGTTGCTGTTGGTTATGAATAGTGGCCATGTCCTGTAGAGTCACCACAAAAACAGACAGATAGGGGGTTCCTTTGTGTCCCTAGACACAACAGTTCTATTAGATGATGACTATATCTGTTTATTTACCTGTGATTCTGTTTAAACACACCTTATTTAATATCTCCTGAATTATTATCTACTAATATTTCTCTATTATCTACTAATTATTCACCCATCTTTTTTTTATCTTATTTTATATTTATCATATATATATAATAATTATCTTAATTATTATGAATGACTATAAAGCTCATGGCCAGCAGCTCTATGTAAGTCAGCTACCATGTCTTAGCAAAATTTCTGTAATAAACTGTCTTCTCCACAAAATAGCTCAGAGCCTCCTCACATACATAATATCAGCATTTGGAGTCATTTTAAACAGCAAAACTACCCTCCAAGAAGGCCCAAAATTGGACATGTGACATTAAACAGATAAAAAAAGGACAGTTGTTAACAGTCTGAGCTGAGGGTAAGACTGAGGGTAAATGAGATCTGAGTACCACCCTCTTCTACAGAGTTGGAAGAACACACATCAAGTAACACAAATCTTAATTAACCTGGCCATGTCTGTGAAGAATCATGAGAATCTTATGAGTAAACCTGGAATTACAAATAAAGTTAAGCTGGGAAGAAATTCGTTATAGAGTCTACAATGACCAAAAACCAACTATGTATCCCAGAAACTTCCATGTCGCCGTGGTTCTCATCTTTGAGTACCCAATGACATCAATTTGCCATAAAGAAACAACACTGGCATCATATGGTTGATTCTGCACTAGTGCCTACTGGTCTGCCACATGGTCAACTCAGCATGAGCAGGGTAGGAGGAAAGTAAGATAAATTTAAATTATATCCTGAATTTAGGAAACTACTTGTCTTTCATTTCTTTATTTTTATATGGTTGCAGGGACTTGCTAAGTCGTCTGGGATGGCCAGAGCTTTTGATTTCTTTGATTAGCCTTCAAAGTAGCTGGGACTAAAGTTATGAAATTATGTGACACTAAACCTGGTTTAAATATTTTATATGAGAGAGAGAGAGAGAGGTAGGTGACCAGTTTGCTGGATAGTTTTATGTCAACTGGATACAAGCTAAAGTCATTTAAGAGGAACCTCAATTAAGAAAATACCTCTTCCTCATGGTGGTGGCACACGCCTTTAATTCCAGCAATCGGGAGGCAGAGGCAGGCGGATCTCTGTGAGTTGGAGGCCAGCCTGGTCTACAGAGTGAGTTCCAGGAAAGGCTCCAAAGCTACACAGAGAAACCCTGTCTCAAAAAGAGAAAAAAAGAAAAAGAAGAAAATAAAATACTTCCATAAGATCAGGTTATAGGTAAGCCTGTAGGGCATTTTTTTAATTACTGATTGATGTGGGAGTGCCTAGCCCATCAGGGTAGTGCTACTCCTGTGTTGGTGGTCCTGAGTTCTATAAGAAACAGGACTGAGCAAACCATGGGGGCAAGCCAGTAAGCAGCACTCCTCCAAGGCCTCTGTATCAACTCCTGCCTCCAGGTTCTTGCCCTGTCTGAGTTCCTGTCCTGACTTCCTTCAATGATAAACAGTGATGGGGAACCATAAGCCAAATAAACTGTTTCCTCCCCAAGTCATGGTGGCTCATCACAGCAATAGTAACCCTAACTAGGATATCGTGGTTCAAGCTTTTTAGCTTACCACGTGGGAGATGGGAGGCAAAAGGATCCACTGTTCAAGGCCATCCTCAGTTACCAAGCAAGTCCAAGGCCAGCCTAAGCTACATGAGATCCTGTCTCAAAAAGAAATAAAGAGTAAGATTGTTTAAGAGAGTTTGTGATCCGTTATATGCAGTGCTTCAGTTTCAAAGTAATGAGAACTCAAAAAGGCAACAGTGTCCCACATCCAAATCATACACAGAAATCAGCTACAGATCAGTATAGGAACTTCTGTACTAGACACACTAAGCAACTCATCACAAGTCCATTCTGCTAGCTCTTGTATAATATTAGAGGGACCTGCCTTAATATTATACATTCCAGGGGCTCAGGAGAGAGAACCACAAATGGCGAGGACTATTTTCAGGAAAAAGAATCTCAGCACACAGAGCTCTTAGTCCAGTCATTTATTCTTCCAAATCTTCTTCTTCCTCCCGTACCCTGGGAGTCCCAGTATATATACACTTACAAGCAGTAATCCCTTGACAGTGCAAAACCAGGCTTCCAGGGTCAAACGGAGGGGTAATAAGAATCACATAGAGAGGTTAATTATCATTTGCAATCCCAAAGGGAAGTGACCAATGGGGAAATGAATTGACTAAAGGCTAAATTCAGGTAATATCTAAGAAGAGGGATCTTATGTGCTCAACTATAATCTTAAATGTGATTGGTAGAAAATGTTAAGAATCTCTAAGTTGCTAGGTCAATGGGAGAAAATAAAACTGCCTTCTTTTTTCCTGTGGCTCCTATCTGTCCAAGCTATCTGCCGTTTTTCTGCAGGGTAGGAAAAAGTGTGCTCGGTCACTGGGCAACTTGTGTATAGCTAGATGCCTCTGGTGATAGTTAAAGAGAGCTCTGGAACTGGAGGTAAGATTTGGGAAAGGAGGAAGTTAAGCATAATTGGCACATCTGCCAGGCCTTCTCAAACAGGTCGTCTGGACGCTTAAGAGAGTACAGAGTTGTCTGATAAGGTATTTCCCTCCATCTGGGGATGGACCTGGCTGGATGCTGCCAATGACGGTAATTACAGGGAGGCTTGAACTGCGGTTCTTGCTGTGCATAGCTGGTAGCTCAGGTTATCTAAATATTCCTTTAGTAGAGGGGAAATGGTGCCCAATAAATGATGGAAAAGCTACAATAGCACACAAGTAACTCATAGCAGAAAACGGCTGATAATCAAAAGCCAAATATCACCAAGGCTCCTTGAACCTCAGCTTGACCTTCTGGGATAGCAGCTTATCATTGTTCTCCTTAGGTCATATAGCCTCAAAGCCCCAGCTGAAACACAAAGACTGCAGACATGATCCTCCACTGCACTGGACAAGAGCCTCACCTAAGAAGTCTGTGTTTTTTGTGTCCTGAGGTTTCAATCTCCTGACCCCACTTCTCTTTGCAACTCCTGTTCAAATAATATCCTCTTAGTGTCTGTTGGTATCAGGGTTTGACTTAGGTGAAGACAGAAAGCAGGGTATCTCTATGAATGACCTCTAGATAAGCCCTGAAAGTTACAGACCAACACACTGAACAAGGGGTCACTAATCAATAACATAGGCATAACTCTTAAATATTTAAGATACATTTTAAATTAGTAGGAATAAATGTAGAATAAACATACAGCTCAACTACCCCCAAAACACTGGATTTAGGGGGGAAAAAAGAGTAGAAAGGATTACTTCTAGTGGTCAAAAGTCCAAAGTCAATTTCTGAGATTAGATTACCTACTTTAAGCAAAAGCATAGACTCTTAAGAGTTCAGCCAAAATTCTATTTACTTTAGCAATGTAGAGACTCTCTGTATTAAATGTTAAGCTAACATGAACCTGAAGATTCATGACATCAGTTACGAGATCCAGACATCACATTTGGGTTGCAGACCTTACCTGTGTTGTCCTTGCTGAGGATGTTTCTCTGCATGTCCTCTACTTTGGCCATCAGTCTCTGATACTGCTCCTCGGCCACTTGCAGGTCATTGTTTGAGGATGCCAGGCTAGCATTTTTAGCTTCTAGCATGTTCTGCAGGTCAGTCATGGCCCTCTCTAGATCCCAGCATGATTGCTTCAAAGTGTCCACTTCAGAACTAAGGGAGTCCTGCTTCTGCTGGCTGCTGTGGCTGTGTTCCACCTGTGCCTGCAGCCTTGTGCTCAGGGCAGCAAGCTGGGCCTGTAGCTCAGCTTTCTCTTGAAGTGCCTGAAAATACCCCCAAATGACCATAATGGCATTCAGAAAAATAAGTCACTCTATCCACTGTTTTCACAAGACTGCTGAAACTTATTACATTTACAATTAGTGGGACAGAGGAAAATGAGTTTTACTTAAAGCACTCTATCCCAAAACCAGTCACTTAAACATGACAGTTAGCTGTCCCCCATATCAAACAAATTGGCGGATCCCTAAGAGATAAAAGCAGTCAGATTCTGATTAATGAGGAAAATGGGCTCAAAACATCTCCAGAAAAACACTGCTACTGTAGAAATTCAAGGGGTAAGCCATAACACAGATACAAGAATGGCACTGAGTAGTTCAACAACAATGCCACAGGACAGAGCATAGAGAGCAAACAGGCCCCAGGAACTGCAAAGAACAGTGATGAGACAAGTGAGGGCTGGGAGTGTTACTCAGTGGTAGAGTGCCTGGTTAGCATGCAACAGGACCAGAATTCAGTCCCTAGCACCACAAAAGGGAGTTTGATAAATAAAAAATTAAAAAGACAAATGAAAGACAAAGACCCAGCCACCAACACATTCTACTCATCCCAAGGCTATCTAAGAATATGTAAGGGAACTCAACACACTCAAGAAAATTGTGAAGATAACATTTTCAGCAAACAGAACAAACTCCAAAGGAACTGAAATAAATCAATAAAATTCAACAAGATTTTATTTATTTGCAGTATTAGGGATTGACCCCAGGGACTTATGTATGCTAGGCAAATGCTCTAACGCTGACCTATACTCCAGGTCAAGAGGACTTTAGAGCCAGTATAACTGGCATCCACATAAAACTGCCAGAGATCCATGTAGCTCGAGTTTCACAGGACCCACTTCACAAAAACATTAGAAAACAAAGCAAGTGAAGAAGCAAGGGAAGGTGCTTAGACCAACCTAAGGACTGAGTACACAGAGGACACATAAATGTAGGTGATCAAACAGTGACATTCCGAGTTAGGAGAGAAAACTGTGTACAACCAAAAATTACTCTTAAAACCTCTGATATCACCATGGAAGACTGTTTTATATAAAACTAAACTAACTGGCTTCTGCCTAAGAAATTTTTAGCATGACACATGTACTTAGCAAGGCAATTTCATCTCACCACACATGGCTTCTCACACTGTAGTATGTGTTCACAGCCTCGGGTCAGGCCTTCGCTGTCTCAGTGTGTGTGTATGTTCTCTCTCACAAAACATAAAGCTGAACTCCCCTCAACAGACTCAGTCTAAACTATTGGCAGAAAGATAAAAATCTAGTTCTCTGCTATTAAGAAACAAACAAGCAAACATATAAAACAAGCCAGGCATGGTGGCAAAGGCCCGTAATCCAAACCATTGAGAAGTACAGGAATGAAGATAAAGAGCTCAAGGTTATCCTTAGCTCCATAGCAAGTTCAAAGCCAGCCTGGGCCACATGAGAATTGGCTCTAAACAAACAAACAAATAAATAAAGTTTTGTATAAAACAGTAAAACCTGAAAATTAAGGAATGGAAAATCATTTTTTAAAAAAATTAATTTTATGTATGTGTATGTGTGTATACACATGGGAGAACCCACAAAGGACAGAAGAGGGTATGCTAGATCCCCGAGAGCTGAAGTTATAGGCAGCAGTGAATCACCTGTAATGGATGAAACAATCTTGGGTCCTCTGGAAGAACAGTAAGTACTCTTAATCACTGATCCATTTCTCCAGATCCCACCCCCCATAATGAAAACAAGATATAGTAAATTAGTATCAGACAAAGCAGACCCTGGACTAGCAAGGCTGCTTAGCAGGTAAAGTCATTTGCTTCCAAGCATGATGCCCTTAGTTTGATTCGCTAAACCAATATGGTAGAAAGAACAAACCAACTCGTGCAAGTTGTCTAATCTCCACATACATGCCACGGCAGGTGCACATCTACCCTTACCACATACACAAACACAAATAAATAAGTAAATATAATAATCTTTAAGAATTGGAAAAAAAAACTATTAAAAAGTAAATGCAGAATTGTAAAAAGTACTAATGGGGTCAAAATGAAACTTTTACTCTATCAGAGAAATGAAAAGCCACCAGGAGAAATTAACTATCACAGAGTCTCAGGTATATTTAGGACATGCTCTTGGCAAATTCTGATGGAGACAAAGGGAAAGAGTGAATCATAAATAAACTAACACAACTTTGTATGAGACCAACACACCCTGCAGACAAAATGAGTAACATGGACAACTTGGCTGATGAATTACACTTAAGGGTAGCTATAAAATTATGCACAGCAATCTTTTCAAAGATTTGGCTCATTAAGCAACAGTCAAACACTCCTTACCTGACTGGCTTCTAATGACAAAGCCTCCAGTTGTCCTTCAAGTCTCATTTTTTCTTTAAGAACCTGCAACATTTCATCCTGTGTTTCAGCAAGAGAGCTCTCCATGGACACACTAGGGGTCAGAAGTATAAAGTCAGAAGATGAGAACAGGATAGCTGTTAATCCTTTATCCTTCCTTATATTGTCCAATTTCTACACACCCCTTCTGCTCCTCCCGTTTTGTTTTTTGGGTCTTTTTGTTTTTGCTTTTTTAAAAGATAGAGTCCTTCGATTATATAGGAAATATACAGGTCCTCTAAATACACAGGTCCTCATAGGGACCTGAAACTCCCTATGTAGTATAGACTGACCCTGAACTTACGATTCTCCTGCCTCAGCCCCCTAAGTGCTTGGATCATGAGTATGCACCACAAACACCCAATATACAAGTAAGAAGCCTTAAGCAGTGAACTGAATCTTACTTTCATGCTCTGGAAACAGGAGTTTGTAAGCACCTGGGAAGTCTTAAGAGATAGGTCTATGTAAACTGAGAAAATGGATGCTCTTTATAATGGTTTAGATCTAACTCTACTTATAAAGTGGTACAGCTGTGTGTAGGTGAAAAGCTAATGTGAAGATTGGGCGGCATTAGCAAAAACACATGGCACAACAGCTGTTCAGAGTCCAGAGTCAAGTCCACTGCCTTACCTGCTGCAGATGCTGTCTCTGCGGCTCTGCACCTCCCCGTTGACTTCTTGGTTCTGATCCTGGTGCTGGGTTGCTGCAGCCTGTAGTACATCTTTAATTGAAGGAAACTGGCCCATAGCCTCAGCAGAAATCTCCTGGCCATCAACCATATAAGCTGTTCCTGGTGTGCCCACATTAACCAGGGCACCACAGGCCCCTCTTGCAGAGAAGCTGCTGTGTGAGGAACTGTCACTTTCATTTCCATCAGCCTCCGACACACTATCCCCAGTCAGTGAGGCACTCTCTACACGGTTATCAGTCTCAGATGATGGGCTAACCTCAGATACAACTGACGTGCTGCTTCTACTCTGTTTCAGGGAACCTCCAACAGCATCAGCAGTGGAACCAAGGCCTCCAGAGTTACTTAAATCTTCAGTTCTATAGTCAGCCAGAGACCGAATCTTGCTTGACTTGGAACTCTTTTTCTCCTTAGAATGTGCCAGCAGCCCTAAGCTGCCTACCTTGGGCCCTCGAGGAACACTGGTACGCAGGAAGGAATACTCTTTTGTCACAGCTACAGTACTGGCTCTTGGCAAGTTTTCTGGATTTAACATGAGCTCAGGATCAAGTGTACTAAAAAGTTTCATTTTTGTTGTCGGTTGACTGGACTGAGAAGCAAACAAAAGTATAAAAATATGATTAAGATTAGCAAGCAGTATTCTAAAACTGTCATCCAGAAAGCATGCACAGATGAACATTCTGTCTAGCAATGGCAGTCTGCTAGGCCCTTAGAATGTTGGGTGCAGCAGATCTTCTGATTCTGCCTCTTACCACTCAGGCTGCATTGAGTGACCAGACTTGACCATCCCTGGGCCTGAAGCACACCTTTTAATAGCCTTCACTTTAAAACATTTTAAAGCGAGTCACAACAAATCTTGCTCATTGAACTTTAAACTTTCCTGACTATTGTCCTGGTTAGCTTCTCAGATATAGAAAAAAACATTTCTAAAAAGTCCTGTTGAATTAGATCTACTTTAGTTTTGAAATTATTCAAGAGGTAATGAGCATCTTTATTCGTATCTGCTTACATATACCTCAGCAAAGACATATGGTACCCTTTCTTGTGGGGTGAGAAGGATGTTGCCACAGGATCTCACAGTCCAGGCTGACCAAGAACTTGTGATCCCCCTGCCTCCATCTTGGTACTAGGATTATAACTGTGCCACAAGACCAAACTATGTGGAACTCTTGCTCCATTTTAAACACTGTTTATTATCATTTTAATTCCCAGCTATTTTTACCATTTTTATTGTTGTTGCAAATTATCTTTTCCAAATGGCAGGATAATTACTGATTTTTCCCATTAATAACTAGAATAATAAACAGACAATTCCCTAAAACCAAATTACACCTAGTAATGGTTTTCAGCTGATTTTTCAGTCTTCCAAGGCATCAACCCACAAATAACACCAATTCCTCTGTTTGTTAGTGTTTCTATTTTTTACATCATTATACTAGCTAGAAATTCCAAAATGACTAAGTGATTGATATTTGAGATAAACGAAAAATTCCAGCTATATATGTCAACATAACTTTCTTTAAAAATTCTTCTTATTTTATGTATATAAGTGTTTTGCCTACATGCCTATCTGTGTACCGTGTGTATGCCTAGTGCCCTTGGAGGCTAGAAGAGGGTGTCGGATGCCTTGGATCTGAAGTTATTGAGGATTGTGAACTGTCATGTGGGTGCTGGGAATCAAACCCAGATCTTCTGGAAGAGCAAGTGCTGTTAACCACTGAGCTCTCTCTCCAGCCCCAGCATAACTTTCTGTTATAGGAAAATTTCAATCCTGTCATTCTAGCAAATTAATGTAATCCCAGGGCAGGGACATGGGGAGGATGACAACCATCCCAAAGGCTGCAGTTCAGCATGTGAACAATAACTGCTAGGAAAGAACATAAAGGCCAAGGGTAAGAGATGGAAAAACTGGACAACTCAGATGTGGACTACACAATCCTGAAATAAACAAGGACAGTATTTGTAGAACTCAGACTTGCTCAGAACTCATACAGATCCCAGAGACTCACCCTCTCCCGCTGGCGCTTTACTCGGTATTGTATCAGTTGTTCTTCCAGGCGCTTCCGGGCCTGCAGTCGGACCTGCTCCTCCTTTTCCAAGGGCAATGAAGAGGCAGTGGAGCCTGCAAGGGAAGTGACCACTGAGAGGTTGATAGGGAGCAGGCACAGAAAACAGATTGGTTGTTTTAAATTTAGTCACCAGTATGTTTTAGCTTGTAAACCACACACAGCCACCTATATCCCATGACAATTTCCAGAGTGAGACAAAACTGAGAACCACAGCCACTTCGTACAGATAAGATCTGCCTTATAAGTGATACAGTACCATGATGGGCCTCTTCTCATAGCAAAAAATAAATTTCCTTATGAGGTTACATTCTCAGATTTCCTCAATTGCTATAGTAACACCATATAAAAATCAAGAGCATAATTAACTGTACTTATTCAAACACTGTCTGTTTAATAAACAAAATGACTGGTTAGTTTTGCTGCAGCATGTAGTGCAGAGTGAAGACCTAAAAGGCTCTGCCTTTGAGGGCCAAGGGCAGGCTACATCGACTTCCTGACAAATAAGCTCAAATCTAGAACTCATACTCAAAGACAGTAAGCACAAATGGAAACTTTTAAATCAAAAAATGATTTAAAATATTTAAAACCCAACCTTTTAGGGGGTGAGTAACCTAAAGTTATTGCAGTTGCAAGACCAAGACAGTCACTCTCACCAGGACTGGGTTTGTGGTTTAATCTTAATAACCGAAGATGTGTCTATGAAACATCAGCAGAGGGCTAAGAGGTCAAAAAAGAGGAAAAATGCAATAGTTTAACAATCTTTTATATACATCACCCTCTTCAGACATGAATTCTGAAGAAGCAACATTTTTTTAAAGAGATGTTCAAAAAAAGTCTGTAAAACATGGACAGATACCAAATTCATTAGGAACTCACCACTGTGGTTAGCAATCTGTGCACTGACTTTTCACAGAGCTACTGTAGTTCAAGTGGCTTGGCCATATGCATGACAAATTCAAGGGTTCTGGCCATTGCACAGATGCCACAAATCAGCAAACAGACCTGGGTTTAAATAACACTAAAGCTCCATGACAAGCTGTGTAAGATAGAGCTCTAGGTCTGGATGACAATAAGAACAGATCCATACATTGTCACTAGGTGTGAACTCCCTAGAACTGGGGAGGTAAGATCAAATATGTAAGCTCATTTTAAAAATGCATAACTTTATTTGTTTGTTTATTTATTGGAGAGGTGGGAATGTGCAAGTTCCTGGAGAGGTAAGATCAAATATGTAAGCTCATTTAAAAAATGTGTAATTTTATTTGTTTGTTTATTTATTTGTTTATTTATTGGAGAGGTGGGAACGTGCAAGTTTCTGGGGAGGTAAGATTAAATATGTAAGCTCATTTTAAAAATGTGCAATTTTATTTATTTATTTGTTTATTTATTGGAGAGGTGGGAACATGCAAGTTCCAGGGCATGCTTGTGAGGACCAGGAACAACTTGCATGAGTCATTTCTCTTTCCATCATGTGGGTCCTGGGAATTGACCTCAGGTCCTCGGGATTCATGGCAAATGCCTTTACCAGTTGTGCCATCTCATCAGACCTTAAATTTATTAATTATTTTTATTCTCTATGTGTATGGGCAAGTATATGTTATGGCATGAGTGAAGAGGCCAGAGGACAACTTTGTAGAGTTGGTCCTCCCCTTCCACCTTTACATGGATTCTGGGGAATCAAACTCAGGTCATCAGACTTTGCATCTTTATTCACTGAGCTACTGCCTACCTACATCTTAAATGCTGGCACATTTTCAGATTGTCACATTCAGATGTCACAGCAGTGACAAAATGCCAGTGAAGAAAAAAGCAAATAACTCCAAACATGACAGTGACAATTTAAAAAAGAATGTACCAATGTCCAACAGATAAAAGGATGCTCAAATCCTCCGGTAATTGAAGTAAAACAATGAATCAACCTCACCATCATGTATTAAAAATAATGAAGCATGGGTATGGTGGTACATGCCTGTGGTCTCAAACTCCTTGGAAAGCTGGAGTAGAAGGATTACTTGAGTTTAAGAAGAGGATGCTAAAGGCAGGCAGTGGTGTACAACTTTAATCCCAGAACTTAGGAGGCAGAGGCAGGCAGATCTTTGTGAGTTTGAGGCCAGCCTGGTCTATAACAGGATAGAACAGCCAGGGCTACACAGAGAAACCCTGTTTCAAAAACAAGACAAAACAAAAACAAACAAACAAACAAAGAAGCAGAGGCTAACCTAGGAACACAGACCTCATCTGGAAAACTAACAAAAGTGGGTCCATTTCAGTGCTTGGGAGCCAGAGGCAGGTGGATCTCTGTGAGTTTGAGGCCACTCTCATCTTCATAGATACTTCTAGGTCGGTTAGGGCTGCATAGCGAAACTCTCAAAAACAAAACAACACAATGAAAGAACAAAAGTGGACGCAAGTCTGTAATCCCAGTAGTTAAGAGACTGAGGCTGGAGAATCACAAACTCTAGGCCAAAGACTCTCAGAAAAAAAAACAAAAACGAAACAAAACAAAAACTCCAAAAACAAACAAAAAAAAATCACCAACAAAAAACAATATCCCACCCCACCCTCCAGAATAACAGTAACACACACATACAAAAAAAAAAAGGAAAAGAAAAAAGAATGTCTATACATTGCAGTGGGGGGCAAGTGTCTTCACCAGTTACTGGCAATAGGACTATGTGGGACAACACTAAACACCTGCTTGATCCACAGAGAAGCAAGTTTAATGGCCCAAGGACATATGTACCAAGATTCTAGCTGTAACACTGCCCATTACGGCCAAGGATTAGAATGTATCAGGAAAGCCAGGTGGTGATGGTCCATGCATGCCTTTAATCTCAGCAGTCTGGAGGCAGAGGCAGGTGAATCTCTGAGTTCTGAGGCCAGCCTCAGAACTCTACAGACAAAGTTCCAGGAGAGCCAGGGCCATATAGAGAAACCTGTCACCAAAAAAAAAAAGTGGGGGGGGGGGGGCGGAGGAGAGCAAAAAGTAAAAGAAATGAAACAGGTAACAGGGAGCAGCCAACACAAGCTGCCCTGGGTAGTGGGGAACCATTTCCACAAGATAAAACCACATGTTTTAATCGTGTAAAATTATTTAAACAATAAAATCCTACTTTAAAATTACCTTTTAAAAAGTTTTATTTTTAATTTTGTGTGTGTGTGTGAGAGAGAGAGTGAGAGAGAGTGAGAGAGAGAGAGAGAGAGAGAGAGAGAGAGAGAGAGAGAGAGAGAGAGATTTTGAGTGCAGATAACCACAAGTGTGAGAAGAGGGCATCAGATCCCCTCGGGCTGGGATTACTAAGCTGCCTGATGTAGGTGCTGGGAACCAAATCTGGGTCCTTTGCAACAGCAATAAATGCTCTTAATTGCTGAGCAATCTCTCGAGCCCCTAAGATTCCTTTTGTTTTGTTTGATTATAGGGGCCTTGCTAAGCTGCTCAGGCTGGCCTCAATTTTCAATCCCCCTGCCTTAGTCTTTCACAAGTAGCTAATTACAGGCATATAAACTTCACTTTTAAAGACAATGATGAAGTCTGGCTATGTTTATATAAGCATGCAAAGGATCTTGTGAAAATCTGGTTTACCAACTTAAGACAACCCCTGCCTGTTTGCTGGCCACCCATGAAGAATGACATGTGAGGTGTCTTTGTCAAGGAGTCTGATGCCGGTGCTAGTACTGGATGGAAGAAAGTTCCAACATCCAGATGTACTTATACTCTTTAAAGGGAAGCTACGTCATTAAGATGCATCCCTCTGCCTCCCCCATTGAGTACTAAGATAAGACAGGACAAGTGAGGACTGCTCACACAGGAGCAGTCAGGCACTGATTCCAAGTAGAAGACGCTGATAGCAAGGGGTGGGAAGAGTCCAGAGGGAATGGATGCTTACACAGTTGCGTTTCTTGCATGGGAAGACTGAGTCTGAGAGACTGCAAAGCTTCTTTTCTAACACTGCCCTCAGCACTAGTTCCCTGAGACTTCCTTAGGTTGTCATGGAAACCATCCACACCTGCAGAGGCATCAGGTCCCACTGGGCTTGCTGTGGGATCAAGAGACAACGGAGGGTCTGGGAACTGCCCGTTCTGACAGAGGGCCTCCTGGCTGGATCTATCTGGGCTTCCTCCTTCCCTAAAAACTCTGTTGTTTACCTCAACACTGGCATCTGGAAAGAGAGAGAAAGCGTGTTAGACAGTATCTGAAAAAGTTGAAGTCATTTCCAGACACACAGCTATATGTAAGTCCCATGAACATAGCATCTCCATATTTTATAAGTTGTTTTCTCTGACTCTCAGGAAACAGGTCCCATACCTGTCTTGGGGCAGGGAGACTTGGGGCAAAGTCTCAAGTTCTCACCTATAAGTTAGCCTCACCCTCCACACTATGACTATGGTATTTAATTCATGTTTCCTCCCCACTTAAATACAAAAAATTAAAAAAAAAACAACTTTGAAAGTCTATTTTTTTAAGTGTGGTGTGTGTGTGTGTGTGTGTGTGTGTGTGTGTGTGTGTGTGTGTGTGTGGTTGTGTGTGTGAGATTGGGGGGGCATGGGCTTAAAATAAAGCTGAGAATTTTTTAAACATGTACAGATGATAGTAGGGCTAATCAGAGTCCACGCTCACATTTTCAAGGGCTGATTTCAAAGTAAATTGAGAATATGTTCTCCAAAGAGGAAGATAATCAAATCAGAGTGATTCTACAAAGGTGAACAGAATCCAAACTTTGTTTTGGCTTCATGAGTAAGGGTTAGGTATTATAAAAACTCTATTCACAAGCCAGGTGTGGCTGTTCAGGCCTACAATCCCAGCATTTAGGAGGTACAAGCAGGAAGGTCAAGAGTTCATGATCATCCTTAACTATATAGCAGGTTTGAGGACAGCCTGGCTCCAAGAGACTGTATCTCAAAAGCACTAAAAATTTTAAAACCTAAGTTTACCCACAAGGACTCTGCTCATGGCCCAAACTCAGCCTCACTCACTGCCATTACTATACAAAGAACTAAAACATAGTTCTTCCTCAAAAGATAAAGGCTTCTCAAAATTAAGTCAAATTTAGACTTTCTTCTCCCTTCCCCTGGTAGGTAAACCATGTATCAATAAGGAGGTAGGTAGCGTCCATCCTAAGGAATTCTCAGGCTCAATGACCTAAGATCTCACAGGCACTAATATCAATGGGTACCAAGATATATCCCAAAGGCATGTAGGAAATACCCCCTGCTTTTTATTTTTGCTCAAGCCAAGTAAAAACAGGGTTGTTATTTACAAATAAAAGTTCTTGCTACTCACTGACATGCCTCCTTGAAAAAGAAAGCCAAAAATAGGAAGTAGAGCACAAAAATCCTCAATGCCCAAGACATGTTTGCTGTAGGACACAAGATGGCCCCACACTGTCAGCTTTACTAAAGAATACAGAGATTCTGGTCCCACTCTGTCACCCTTTATTAAAGGCTGCAGGGAATTCTGCATTTCAGATACAAGTTACAAGTGGCTAATACCACTTTTTGATATGTAGATTGCTAAACAAAATGAGTTTTGAGAAACACATTATACCTTAAAATCTAAAAGCAACAAGATCCAGTATGTATGTTTCCAAATACAAGTTTAAATATATACATCATCATGATTAGTAGATAAAAATGGCTACATCCACTTACTGGATGTTCACTAGGCAAAAGGGATTGAATCAAGGCTTCACACGTGTCAGAGAAGCATTCTACCACTGAACTACATTCCACCTCTTTTGGCATATTATATACATCACTCCTTTTAACCTTCACAACTACCCTATACATAGGTTCCATGAATCTTCCTGAGTGGTAGATCTAAGTGGTTACACACATCACTTAACATTTACAACTACCCTTTGCATAGGCACCATCAATCTTCCTGAGTGGTAAATCTAAGACATGGTTCCATGCAAGAATCCATTTTCTCGGGCATGAATACCAGTACCTGCCTCACCCACTGCATGTTAACTTCTTGAACATCATTTTATAAGATCTATAGTGCAATTTCTGTTAGAGAACCAGTGCATAGTAATCTATCTTTTAAAAGTGCATATTGCATTGTAGTTCCTGACTACATGGGGTATGAGAGTCAACTGAGTTACTACTGATGCACACACAACCCAGCAGCTAACAGAGAAACATGATTCAGGAATCCTAGACCACTAATCAGTTTCAGTTATTGAAACTTTGGCACCCAGTCAACCAGAAAGTTAGAATTTCAAGCACTAACAATAATTTGTGCTTGATCTAAAGTTAGTGCCAAATGAAGATATCTGTAAGATAACTAAAATACTCTAAGAGAATGAAAAGTTCATGTCCCCTTCCAAAACACCAGCTGACCACATCTTGAAAATGAAATGCTAGGGTATAGAATGACCTGTTGACTTACATTGAGCTCTGTTTGGTTGGTCAGACGGTAGTGTCAGTGAGCCCAATGTCTCCAGTGAGGCTTCAGGGCAAGAAGAAATATCACTGCTGGACTTGTCTTCCCAAACGCCATCCTGTTTAGCTGATGCACCATCCATGGTCAAGGCAGCCCAGACTAAAAAGACTCTGAGGAGCTAGAAGTGACTCTGGATTAGGTTTGGTTTCTGCCATCAGCAACAGCACAGAGCTTCTAAGAAGGATCCTACTCTGTTTTCCATTTTCAGGGCTTAATGTCTCACAAATGGCTTGAAGTCAAACCAAGTAATATCATGATTCCTGATAAGAGGAAGAAAAAAAAATCCATTATGAAACATAATTTGTTAGATTTCAAGTAACAGTTACAAGGCTCTCAATTTGTATAGAAAACAAACACAGATTTCCACACCACGAACAATCCTTGAGCACCCACAATATCCTAGGTTTTGAGGGTAAAATATCAAACCAGCCACACCTTAGCCCTTTCCTAAGGAACTGAGTGTCTCTCCTGGTGCCAGTTACAGGAAGTTCTACCACGAATGATTTTCCAAGGTTTTTAAAAAGAGCTTGTAGTCTGTTGTAGTTGAACATGTGCTAAGAAACTGAACTTTAAATTTTATTTAAGTTAATCCGAATTTAAATAAGCATTTGTGGCCAGCAGCTTATAAACTAGACAGACCTAGCAGCTCATAAAACACCTGGAATGGCCATGCCCAAGGCCAAAGCTTCTACTAGGCAATTCTACCCCTGTAAGCTATGCAACTCAGATCTAAAGGAGTGAAAATTAAAGAAACAGTTGCCAAAGGATGAGGTAATAATATGCTAGATGAGGAGATCCAAAAGGGAGATCTAAGGACACACAGAAAGATAGCTAACTTAGAATATGGGCAGAGGGGGCTCTTACGGCAGGTGACCATCCACTTTTCCCCATTAGGATGATCAGTAGTCTTCTGACTCACTATGGTAGACTAAGTTTAGGAAAATATAACTTCACCTTAAATCTGGCAATTAGTTACCAACTCTGAAGTGTGCTGAGGATACTTATTCCTTATCTAAAGGTAAGATTTAAATATGAGCTTCCAGGCATACTGTAGGAATGTTGGTATCTATGTTCTTCAGAATAAGTTCCATATTATTCTTTCTGTTCTATGCTTAACATGTTTCATAGCAAAATAACCTACATCCCAAGCTCACAAATCACACTACAGTGGAATGTGGTGGCATATGCCTTTAATTATAGCACTCAGAGGAAGTCAGGTGGATCTCAGAGTTTGAAGACAATCTGGTCTACATAGTGAGTTTCAAGCAAGCCTGGGCTAAAGTTGAGACCCTGTCTCAAAAATAAAACAAAACAAACAAAAAATTCACGTTGAAAAATTACAGGTAAGAAGCCTCACTAACAAGGTGTGATGCCAGTTCAACAGTAGGGCTAGCATACTGACGCCTGTCACTGCAGACACATGTCCTCTGACTCCATCTGTTTTCTGTGACTGATGACCACCTGTGAATGAGGGAACTCACCAATGATATGGTCAGCTCAGCCTAGCAACATAGCGAATGACTAGTATAAGTCTAAAATAGGACAAATACAAAAAAGGAGGGCAACTAAGAAGTCCCAGAGATAATATGCTCAGAGGCAAACAGTGACAATTCCCATAACTTAGACTATCCATAAAGACAAACATTAGCCAAGAATATTAAGTTCCACTGATTATGTAATTTGGTGGCAGGTGTATCAGGTTGTCACAAACTAGAAACCATCACATATTCCCCTCTTTATCCTCCTTACTCTGATTTTGTGCTGAGCAAGAAAACTGATTCCTAAGCAGTCCGTCCTCCTTTCAGAGATAGAATGGTACAGCCTTCCAGAACAGAAGACCCCAACTACAATTGACTCTGGTTAACTCACTTAGATGGCTCCTGTTCACAGTCAGCTAGCTCCTCCTTAAGTGGATCTACAGACAAAATTTCTGGACCGTGCCAGGAGCCAGGCTTCCGACACCAGTCCTGGCTGAAGGGTAATAAACTGACATTTACTGTCTCCTCTGAATTTTGTTAAGCATGACTCATTCATACAGGGTCTCATTACCTCAGACTGCTGACAAGGGCAAGTCTCTGGGCACCAGGGAAGAAGAAGAAACAGCTGGGGCAGGGGTAGGGAGAGGCACAAAAAAGCTGTTTTCAGTAATATATACATTTCTATGGTTTTGTTTTTGTTTAAACAAAGAGTTGATTCTCATAGTTATCCTTTTGTTCTTCAGCTGTTTGGTAAATTTGATTCTTTTTGTGCATATGTATGTGCACACCTTCAGATGCCATTCAACTTGTTTTTTTGAGACAGTCTCTCTCACTGACCTGGAGTTCATCAATACAAATATGCTGGCTGGCCAGTGAGACCCGGGATCTGCCTGTTCCCACCTCCCCAGGCTTGGAGTTACAAGTGTACACGACCACACCTGGCTTTCTTACATGGGCATCAAAATCAGGTCCTCGTGCTTGAAGAGTAAGCTCTTTACTGATGGAGCTAACTTAGCTAGCTCAACTTGTTTCGTTTTGGTTTGGGATTTTTTTTAAGACAAAGGCTCAATATACAGGCCAAGATAGTCTCCAACTCATATAGATCCTCCTGATTCTATCTTTTGAATGCCAGGATTACAGTCCTGTATAACTTCGTTCAGTACACAGTTTCATTTTTAACTACTTGCACTCGCATTTCTAGATGGCAGAACAAAGTCATCACCGAGAAAGTCCCAAGATATACCTAACTTCAGCAGTTCACCTAGACTTCACATTGAGAGACTGAAATCTCAGATGCAACAGGTCTTCGAGCTTTTCCCATTTAAAGTCCATGAACTTGGTCCACAAACAATAGCTACCCTATTACTGAGGTTATCATCAATTAGACAGAAGTATAGCCAAAGAGAAATCGGGCTTCCCGAAGATGTCTAGTTGATGATATACACTATCAAATAATAGCAAATAGCACTCTGTATAAGTAAAAACCAAAGGCCAGCCTCAGGTACAGCAAGGACAAGAAGTGACAGGTTTTGAGTTAAATATGTTTGCCTCAAACCCTGACTGTTCTTCCACTTGGCTGTAAGAGATCTTGTTAAACTGATTTCTGAGCCACTCTTAGCTTATTTTCTCATCAACAAAAACATTAAGAAAATGAATACAATTTTTTTGCTAGGATGGACTACAGTAAGATACAGGATGTGTTCATGCCCTGGATAAACAGGTATAATTATTTCTTTCAACAGCTGTTCAAAATCGATAAGTGAAAGCCAAATTGAAGTTATATTCTCACTGAGAAAATAACACTATTTAAGGGAATTGGCCAAAACTCAGCTACTTTTAAATCTGAATAACAACAGATAACTTTCATTTCTTCTGCTTCTTTTCTTTTCTGGGGAATAGGGAGGAGATAGGATCCCCACCCCCCCCCCCCCGCCCCAAATCATGTCCGTGTTCATAAGGCACAGATATGTGGAGGTCAGAGAACAATTTATGAGAATGGGTTCTTTCCTTCCACCATGGGGCTTCCATAGAACTCATGTTATCAGACTCTAGAACCTTTAACCACTGAGCCATCTTGCCAATCTGCTTTTGGATTTTGAAACAGAATCTTACTATGTAGCATGGGCCTCAAGCTGGTGGAGGTCTTCCTGTCTTGGCTTCCCAAGAGCTGGTATTTCAGACATGTGCAACTACATCCAGCTTTTCCCTTTTCTTTCCATTCAAGGTACACTGTAGCTGAGAGCTACTACAGGATTATAAAAGAAAAGGCCATGAGGCATCTGTAAATGGTTTATAGTGTCCCAATGACAATAAAATACAAAGCTCTTAGCCTAACCTTGAGATTACTTTTATGTGGTTCCTGCTTATGTCTACATCCCTTAATTCTATGCCTTTTTCCCTTACCTCGCTACATTATGCACTCAGATGTACAGCTGACTCTCCATAGGGTCTCTACACTTATTGTTGGTTTGTTTGACAGTTTCTCCGTGTAAGAGCCCTGGCTGTCCTGTAATGCGCTTTGTAGACCAGGCTGGCCTCAAACTCACAGAGATCTGCCTGCCTCTGCCTCCTGAGTGCTGGGATTAAAGGTGTGCGCCACCATGCTCAGCTGGGTCTCTACACTTCTTGTTCACTCTGCTGCGACATTACTCTCAACAATTTTGCACAGACGCTAGTTGTCATGGAGGCCTGCTTTGGGTCAAAAGTCACCTCTTCCGCAGGCCTGACAAAGCTAGTCCTCTCAACAATTTTTTTTGTTTTGAGTTGTCAGTATACCTTCACTATAAAGTAGTGAGAACAGAGACCACAACACTACTATATCCTGAGACCTGTTACAAGCAGGGCCTGTCTTTCCACAGACATTCAGAAAGCGCCTGTGGAAAGGTGGTGAGCTGTTCACTTAGCGCTCTCTAGCACTGGCTCTACTGTCCATGTTCAGCAGCACCGGGAAACACCTCTGAGCACCAGAACCGAAATAATAAGTCCCCCCACAGATTGAACGACTTGCCACTAAGTCACTCACGTTCGTCATCAACTGCAAAAGGAGCAGGCTTCAAACAAGCTGACCCAAGCAGCAGTAGCACACGCTCTCAGGGCCGACCGCATCCCATGAGGTGCAGAGGGACCCCCTGCGTTTCCCAAGCCGGTACTGACACCAGCTGCGAGGCAGGCTTCCAGCCTGAGACAGTAGAAGGAAAAGCTGACTAGAGCTGGCCGCCGCTGACCCAAAGTATGCGCGACCCTCCCCGGATTCTGCATCTGCCTTGCCGGCGCATGCCTCTCTAGGCGCGGCGCTGTCCCACCACCGTCCACTACCCCAAGGCCCCGACCCTCCTCAGTGCTAGCCCCACAGCCCTCACCATCGGCGGCCCAGCCCTGCGACTCCGGTAGGACGTGGCCGTGCGAGGGGCGGGGCGCAACAGGGCACCAGTCTCGAGCAACCCCCCGGAAACAGCCTGTCCGCGCGGATTTCGTTCCGGAAGAGAGATTGCGGCCAGTAGCCACCTTCAAACTAAAGTCTGTATGGATCTTGCTCCGGGCAGAACTGAGACGGACTTCAGAAAGTGACCTTAAATTTTTTGTGGGCCTTCACCTCAGAGAAACAACTTTCAGCTTACTGGACCAACTCAGACAAAAAAAAAAAAAAAAAAAAAAAAGTTGAGCTTCCGGCGGCAGTGGCGCAACCGGGATTCGCCACGCTCCCGCCCCTCGCCGCCTTCTGACTGGTGGATAGGATGATCCACGTGGTCACACCCCCTAGGGCGTGGCTCTCCCACCCGACACCGCCTTCATGGTGGTACAGGCGATTCCAAGAGTTCGGATGCCTTGTTTGATATGCTAGCGTTATCCACGGTCGGACGCCGGACGCTAAGCCACGCGACTGCAATCCTAGCATAAGGAAGTCTGAGGCAGAGTACCACAAGCTCAAGGCCTGAGTGGACTATAGAGTAAGTTTTATCTTAAAAAGGTCTGGAATGTAGCTCAGTAGTAGGACTATTGGGTTCAGTCTCTAATATGTCAAGACATAGGAAGGGAGAGGAAGGAGAAGCAACAATACAGATACCTAACATTAAACTGATGGCACATCCATATAGAAAAAATACTAAGTATAAACTTTTTTTTTTCGTGCTACAGACTGTCCTGGACCTTGAATGTTTCAATCTATTTCCCCACCTCCAAGCTACATTCCCAACCCCAAATAAAAATTGCCATAGCTTTATTCAAGTATAATTGACATGATATAAAATTTGCCCGCGTGTACAATTTGATCATTATTTCAGTAAACTGGCAGCAGTACACCCATTTCTATAATCCAGTTTTAAAGCAATTTCATGGAAGTGGTTCTCATCCCCTTCTTTCAGCCCCAGGTCATCACTAGGTTGTTTCTGAGTGTGCTTGCCTGTACATTGCATATAAATAGGATTCATATACTATATAGCTTTGAGTTCTTTTTCAAGGTGTATCCATGTTGTACATGTTTCAGTGCTTCATTTTCATTGCTGAATAATACTCTTATTTTCTGGATATTTCCCTTTTCTGTATTCATCAGTCGATGAACAAATTTGAGTACATTGAGCTCCATACTGTTTTGCATGCAAAGGGTCTTGAGGTGAACAAAAGGACTAACAGGGTTCTAAATTTATATGTCCATGGAGTTGGGGGACCAAACCTTCAGAAACCAATACCTGGTATGAGCTGGAGTTGCAGAGTGGGAGGAGCTGCCACTTACAAGGGCAAACTGTTTATTGTCTTACTGAGGACTGCTGTGTGCCAAAGTCTTTGCCAGATGCTGTCTAAAATCCCCACTGTAAAGAAACTTACTCCAGGGTGGGAAACAGCCAACAAACAGACATACAGGACAGGAGATAATGTCAGGATAGGTGGGCAGGTATTCAGCAATCTTATGGAAATTTTAGAAAGGACCTCACTGGGCTAGTAAATGGCTCAGCAGTAAAGATACTTTCAGCACAAGACTGGCAACCTAAAAAAGCCCATATAAAGGTGGATGGAGAGAACCAACTCTACAAGCTGGCCTCTAAATATCTCTCTCTCTCTCTCTCTCTCTCTCTCTCTCTCTCTCTCTCTCTCTCTCACACACACACACACACACACACACACACACACACACACACACACACACAGAGAGAGTTTTTAAAGGACCTCTCTTATCAATCTGAGCCAGTACCTAAACAAAACATACCTAGAGAAAAGTGCTTCTGAACTCCAGTGTGCTCCCAGGTTCCTGTGAGGAAGTAAGCTTGGAACTTGCCTGAGTGGGTAGAGAGCATGTGAAGATCTAGGAGTGTTAAATATGAGCAGCACAGGGAAGGAAGGTCTACAAGGCTAGAGGATGGTCAAATAGGGTCTGTAGCAGTGGGAAGGCAGAAGTTTCAGAGATGGCAAAGGCTATAGTAATCAGAGGTAAACAGTGGCCCAGGCACAAACTCAGACTGTGAGAAGTGTTGTTTTGTCATATGGAATGCAGTAGCTCTGCAAGAGAGATGAAGGATGATGCCTGGGCTTTGACCCAAGTCACAAGATCATATTTTCTGAGATGCTGAAGACCATGAAGGCAGGCTTTCATGGCATGTCTGGGTGGTATGATGGCATCTACTCTGGAGTATTCTGCCAAAGCAAATCTGAGATGTTAGAAAGACAAGTAACACACCATCCACTCAGAGACATAAAGATGTACACACACCAGGGAGATTAGAGAGCATGGAGTACAGTAGACTAGGAAGTGTTTAAATCCAAGTGTGTATTCCCTTTGGTTTTAATACTATTTATGTAGTTCTATTGTTATATGACATTTAAACTAGTGTCTGTGTTTAATGGTACTAGTGGGGGTGGCTCTGCTATAGATCACCTGAACTTAGTGGAGGTGGCTCTGCTATAGATCACCTGAACTTACATGTGGCTAACTGTGTCTGTTGAGTCTGGCTTCTCCCACTTTGTGGGCCTCTGTTCTCCTTTCTCAAGGTGAGACCCAGCTTCTACATACAGTCTTGACAGTGTCTGAACATTAACTGTTGTGCATCCCAATATTTGAGGGAAGAGAGAAGGCAAAACCAGAGAACAGTCTCAGGGACAGTGTCTGGGTTCTTCCATCCTACCACACTTGAAGTTATAACCACACTGGATTTTGTGTTCTTTTTACTAAGTTTCAGTCTCCTAATTCTGGGCTTCTGGTGGCAACAGTTTCTGTCTCTGTTGGCTGAGCCTCACTATAGTTATGTAAGGGCCACCCTGTCTCATCACTCCTAGGCTGCCAGACCAACGCAAGGTAGGTTGTCACTAGGGTCCCCTCAACTGGCAGAAACCCACATTGGACTGCATCTCTGGTTTAGCTGTCTTTGAAGCAAAAGCCAGTTCAGGGTTGAGGAGCTGCTGGAATCCTGGTCTGATCATCCTTCACCCCACCCTACAATATCAGGTAATAAAGATGATTAAACCTGAGGATTTAATTAGCCCTTTATAATTGGGATTGGGGCTCCTTGTTTTAAACCAATTTTCTCAGTTGTAATTGGGATTCTGGCCCAATGAAGTTTTCCTGGGGTCAGCCTGGTTCCTTTAGCACTCCTAAGACCCACTTCTGGTTTGAATTTGGAACAGGAAGGGTTCCTTCTGATAGCAAAAGGAAGGGTACAACAGCTGGCAAGGCAGGGGTGTAGGCCAAGCTGACCACAACTTCAAACTGGATTACAAGGAGTGCCCCTTGCTGTACCAGGAAGCAGAGATCTACAGGACCCTGCTCTGGGTTTGTTCCAAGGCCAGGTTAAAGAGCTAAAGAGAAAACAGTCTGTGGCAATCCTGTGAGGAAGCCTGCATACCCTATGGGGTAACAGGCTGCAAGACAACAGCAGATTGTTGGTTTTTTGGGGTGGAATGGTCCAACTTCCTTATCAACTTGAATGGATTTGAGGTCAGCTAGGAGACACAACTCTGGATGTGTCCGTGAGATTGTTTACAGAAAGATTTAGCTGAGGAGAGGAGACCAACCCTGAATGTAGGCTGTACCATCCCATGGGCTGGGTTCTCAAATGCAAAGAGAAAGCTGAGCACCAGCAATCATTTCTCTGCGTCTTCACTGCAAATTCAATGTGACAAACTGCTTCATACTCCCACCAACAGGTCTTTCCCACTACAATGGACTATACCTTCAAACTGACAGTCAAAATAAGCCCTTCCTTATTTCACACAGCAACAAGAAAATTAGCTAATACATGAGCTATGTGAGAGTCTAGAGAAAGGAGGTTTAGATGATCATAAAGACACTGCCTGAGGCCCACAAACCTGTCTCTATGAGCAGCTCACTCAAATCACCCCCAGGAATCATCACCATGGCCCAAAGCTCCCTTATGCTAGAGCCTGACATGTAGGCCTTGTTCTCTCCACCATGTGTTCATCAGAAATTCTGTGGAATCCCCTCTTCCCCTCTGAAGTAACTCTCAGGCACCATGCTTCCTTAAAGAACTGAGCATTAAGTGATTCCCAAGGAGCTTCATGCCCCTCGTGCTTCCCTCTGGAATAGGATCCTGCAGACATGAGCAAAGGTACAGGTCCTATCTAACCCAGGATAGATCCTGAATCCTGAAGGGGGGAGGGGCGTGGAGTGGTTGGGAGGTAGTGGTGGGGTGGGTGGATTGAATACTGAGCATCACAGCTCAAGGTGTAGATAACATTCCCACTGACCAGGACTGACAAAATAAAGAGACTGTCCTGTGCCATGTTCAAAGATGCTCAGGTTTTGAGCCCAACCAGATCCTGTTTGCTTATCTCTTGACATGATCTATCTCCTGGTGGAGCCACAAGATTGACTAACAGGCAATATAGTAAATATTATGAGTAGTGAAGAATTAGTGTAGTGAACTAGTGGCACCTGTCTGCATTAGCATGAAACATGTGGCACCTCACATATGAACGAAACACAAGAAGAGAAACAAACACAGCTCATTTATTAGAATCGAAAAAAGAGAACCTCCCACAAATACATAGTACTGCCTCTCAGTCTGTATCAAGAGCAAGACAACAGGTGAAAATTGTATTCCTGAGAAGCAAAAAGTTAGCAGTTTGCAAACAAACATAACAGGTGATTTCAATAAAAGATAAAAAAGCTTAAAAAAAATGAAAAACAAAATTTCAAGTATTATTCCAGATGACATAACAAACCTAATATACCAGGATAGGGGCTGGAAAGTAGAAGCCCTATCAGTCTGGAGCCATCTGGAGTTTCAGCAGGGGTCTGCTCTCGGGGACTGGAGAGCTAAGGGCAGAGGCTGTACCCTGCTGCATAAGAGGCATAGGTCAGCCCTGTGTCAAGGACCTGTATACTCAAGATATCCTCCTCAGGATTAGCAGTTTTGGACATTTAATGATTTTTTTTAAATACAGAAACATATGCTCATTCTTTCAAATATCAGACTATTCCCAATTTCAGTCAGTTTGTAAATTATATTTGTGCTACAGTTTTTAATATTTAAATCTTATTAGAAGATAAGCACCAAACCTATTAAAATAAAAAATATACAAAAGGCTTTCCAGACAGAAGAATATCCTGTACATCTATGGAGGCTGTAAACTTACGCTTCCTTTTCTTACATAGATGCTTCTGACGTATCTGACCCCTTTTCCCATGAAACTTTTCCATTTTAACTGTAGTCAAGGTACAAGGTATAAAAGATACAAAAGTATAAACCTGCACTTATCACTGCCTCACCACACACAGGGAGAGCTGTCTAGTGGGAGAGAGATCTGTCTGTTGGTCTGCCGGCACTGACTAGGGGACTAGTGTGACCAGTAGGCCTCCCGGGTGATTGGGGCACATGGTGTGTGTGTGTGTGTGTCTGATGTTAGGAGACTAGTGTAACCAGTAGGCCTCCCGGGTGATTGGGGCACATGGTGTGTGTGTGTGTGTGTCTGAGGTTAGGAGACTAGTGTAACCAGTAGGCCTCCCGGGTGATTGGGGCACATGGGGTGTGTGTGGGTGTGTGTGTGTGTCTGTGTGTGTCTGTGTGTGACTGAGGTTAAAGCTCCACAGAGGGAAAAGCCATACTAGAGTGCCTGACCAGAAACCAGTGCTGGAACTGTAAAGGGAGAACTCTAAAAATGCCCTTAATGTGTCTGTATGTGGTATTTTTAAAAACATAGTGTTATTGCCTCCTGTGCTCTGTAACTGTTTTATGTGTATCCTCCAACGCTCAGTTCTTGAACCTTGTCTGTTCACAGATGTGATTGAATTTCCTGCAGGGAGAGAAAACATCAAAGACTACTCAGACTGTGAAACTGCATACTGTAATCACCACATAAAAACATGTGTGCATCATATATGTGATCTCACTCAACAATTTTTATGCTTTTTAAAAAAATATTGTTTTTAAAAGAATTTTAAGTTTATATGTATTTATATGTGTCTGTTTGAATATATGCCATGTGTGTACAGGTGGCCAAGGTGGCCAGAAGAGGAAATCAAATCCCCTGGAGCTGGTATTACAGGTGGTTGTGTTATTTGACACTGGTGCTGGGAACCAAACTCAAGTCGTCTCGAACAGGGGCAAGTGCTCTTAACAGCTGAGCCACCTCTCCAGTCCCTCTAAGTATTTTTTAGTAATATTAAAGACACTAAACTCCAAAGGTAGTCTTTTTCTCTTTTTACATTTTAAAATAAAAATGAAAACACTGTGGGTAATGTATTAGATTAGAGAATAAGAGCTGTGTTTCCTTAGTGTATGCCTTTGCCTATACTTCACCCAGCAGGGTGGAGACAGATGCTGAGGTGAGAGTGGACACCTTCCCCTCTCCACAAACCAGGGGCAAGACTGGAGATATGCATGGAGAAAGTGGCATGTGCCTTTGTTACGCATATCCATACTACCATGAACAAAAGTGAGTTAGTTGTGAAATGTCCTTCCTTCCTTCCTTTCTTTCTTCCTTCTTTTTTTTCCTTTGAGACAGGGTTTCTCTGTGTAACAGCCTTGGCTGTCCTAGAACTCACTTTGTAGACCAGGCTGGCCTAGAACTCACAGAGATCCACCAGCCTCTACCTCCAGAGTGCTGGAATTAAAGGTGTGCACCACCCTGCCCAGCTTCCTTCCTTCCTTCTTTTTTAAAAAAGATTTATTTCTAAGCCGGGTGGTGGTGGCACACGTCTTTTATCCCAGCACTCGGGAGACAGAGGCAAGTGGATCTCTGTGAGTTCAAGACCAGCCTGGTCTACAGAGCAAGATCCAGTACAGGCACCAAAACTACACAGAGAAACCCTGTCTCGAAAAACAAAAACAAAAATATATATGTATTTGTATTACTTTTAGTTCTGTATATGTCTGTGTGAAGGTATGCACACCTGCATGTGGGTTTTTGAGGCCACCAATATCTGATCGCCTGCAGCTAGAGTAATAGGTGGTTACTAACTGTCCAATGTGAGTGCTGGAAACTGAACTCAGATTCTCTGCCAAGAGCAGCATACAGTCTTAAATGCTGGGCCATCTCTACAACCTAAAATTTCCTTTCTTGAAACAGATGGTGTCTGCTGTTCATGCTCAAGCACAATGCAAGGTTTTACACTACAAAGCTACCAATTAAGAAGTCATCTCCATTCTCATCTTTCTCTCATATTGTGGGCACCAGTTCCATTGTCTTAATCTGAATCAAAAATCTGTGTTTAGAGATTAAATACTGGCGAATGGATTGACTAGCAGAGGACCATACCACTAACTGTTTAAAAACAGGAGCAGAAAGATTAGTGCTGAGCGCTGACTTTATAAGGCAATGCAGATGTTGCTATGAATAGCATTTGAAGACTATGTTGAAGACACCACAGTGAGGGTGGCTAAGTTATAACACAACTCCCACCACACACACAATATGAAGAAAACCCCAGGTATTAATCTATCACAAATTGGGCCAGTAACTTTGTCAGCATGTGTTCAGACCACAGCTACTGACCCAGAGAGAGCTACCACTGGAAGCTGTCAGATAAAGCATAATGTGACTCCAACCATGAAGACACAGATGAAAGATGGAGGTAGATATTTGCATAGAAGCAGTTCAAGAAATAACATAAGAGCAGAATTTCTGTGGCAGCATTCCTGCTGGGTTACACCTGGCTTAGTTCTGGAGTGTTAGCACTTAGCCCTAATCCATCTTTTGTTTAGTAGACACCTGTTGTTCCTGTTGTCACCCTATGTGAATCTTGTCTCAGAGTCTCCCAAGGATACAAAGGCCTATGCAAAACTTAGTTCAGGAAACCCGGAAAACTGTGGTACCTGATGAATAGAGAAATTTACAGTTGGCATTGTATTTTTGGGAGCTTCTTTCAAGTTGTTTTGAACATATGGAAATCAACTGGCCTAAGTAAATATTGAGAAAAATAAAAATATCCTGGGTGAAGAGAAAGTGTTTCAGTCATTAGAGACTGGATTCCCCAGCAGCCGGAAAGGCTAGATTCATTCTTTTTTTTTTTGGTTTTTCGATACAGGGTTTCTCTGTGTAGCTTTGTGCCTTTCCTGGATCTCGCTCTGTAGACCAGGCTGGCCTCGAACTCACAAATATCCACCTGGCTCTGCCTCCCGAGTGCTGGGAATAAAGGCGTGCGCCACCACTGCCCGGCTAGATTCATTCTTAAGGTAGCTCTGAGTCTTCTTTCCATGGATTTGAGTGAACCCACACACCTGTGCCACGACACTTCATGACAAATTTCTGTATGAAAATACTATTTTACACAATGTAGGATTTTATAGATGTATAGGGATTAAATTAGCATATATATGTGTATTTGGGGGATGGAGTGGGATGCTGGGAACTGAACCCAGAACTTTGTATTCTACTACAGAGGATACTTTAAGTCCCCAAAGTGCATTTTTTTTTTTTTTTAGCATATAATTCACTGTTACTGTTGCCTTCCCAAGCTCTAAGCCTAGAGGACCTGCAGTTGACCCAAATGTCCCCCAGCTTCACTCACATTGCATGGTGAGCCTTCACCTGAGTGCGACAGTTACGGCCCCAGTAGCAATCAGGACGGGATGTTACAGTCACTGGAAAAGAAAGTACATGTCTACATTAGATGTATCACACACCTTTCATGTAGCTAAATGAATTTAACTGGAGATACAGGGAAACTCTGAGCAAAAAGCATCGTTGTCACTCTGTGTGTGTGTTTGTGTTCATACAGGTACATGTATGTGGGTACACATGTATGTGTAGAAGCCAGAAGTTAAGTGTCAGATGTCATCACCTACATTGAATTTTTTTTTTTTTTTTTTTTTTTTTTTGAGACAAGGTCTTTCAAGTGGCCTAGAGCTTGCCAATTAGGCTAAGCTTCCTGGCTAAACCAGGGACCTGACTATCTGTGCCTCCCCAGTTGTGGAATTATAAGTATGAGCTGCTACACCTGGCTTTTTTTTTTTTTTTTTTTTTTTTTTTTTTTTTTTTGGTTTTTTTGAGACAGGGTTTCTCTGTGTAGCTTTGCGCCTTTCCTGGATCTCGCTCTGTAGACCAGGCTGGCCTTGAACTCACAAAGATCCGCCTGCCTCTGCCTCCCAAGTGCTGGGATTAAAGGCGTGCGCCACCACCGCCCGGCTGGCTTTTTATTTTTTTTTTTGGTTTTTCGAGACAGGGTTTCTCTGTGTAGCTTTGCGCCTTTCCTGGGACTCACTTGGTAGCCCAGGCTGGCCTCGAACTCATGGAGATCCGCCTGTCTCTGCCTCCCGAGTGCTGGGATTAAAGGCGTGCGCCACCACCGCCCGGCCGGCTTTTTATTTTTTAAAAAAAGATTTTTGTTTTATTTTATGTGTAAGAGTGTTTTGTCTGCATGTACCTAAGTGCACCGTGTGTGTGCTTGGTGCTCACACAGGCCAGAAGAGAACACCAGTTCCTCTAGAACTGGAGTTACAAACAGATGTAAGTTTCCACGTGGGTTCTGGAAACTAAACCTGGATCCGCTACAAGACCCACATACCCAGTTTTTGTTTTGCATTTTTTAGCACGAGGACTGAACTCAGGTCTTCATGCCAGCACAACAAGCACTTTACCAAGCTTACATCGCATCTCTTTTTATGATCAGTTTTCATAAATCATGCCAAGATTTTTGGACAAGAAAAACAAATTTACCTGAAAACCAAGTCAAGGAAATGAAGTTGTTCTAGTGGTGTCTTTATGTTGCTTTGCTCTAGAAACCCATGTGTCTTGACCCGGTCCGAAAAGCAAATGCAGCCTCAGCCATCCTGTGTGTCTGTCTTCTGCCTACATTCTACAACTTCTGTTAAGTATGGAGTATAATGCCATGCTAAGTACCTGTTCGAATTGAGAAGCAGCCAATACAGACAGAACAGGCTCCTTACCTGGCAACTCTGAAGCAGGAATGTTCTGCCGATACTGGTAGGTCAGCTCTCGAAAGCTGCGCAGACCACAGCAGTAACACAGTACAGTGTTTCCAGTGACTCTGTAATCTGGGGGAAGACAGCCATATCTGGACACAGCCATTTATCAGGCAATGTCATTTTTTAAATAGCAAAACAGACATACTTCTAACCAGTAGGAAACTAACACCATAATGAGGTAGACAGTGGGCTAGACATCTGGAAAACAATTCCAAAACCAATCTAAATACTAATTTAGCTGTTTTTTTTTAAGATTTATTTTTATTTTATGAATGTTTGCCTACATGAATGTCTGTGTGCCACATGTGTGCATTACTTGAAAAGACCAGAAGGCACTGGATCCTCTAGAATTGGAGTACAGATGGTTGTAAGTCACCATGTGGGTGCTGGGAACCTTGTCCTCTCCAAAGCAACAAATGCTTATCACCACTAAACCATCTCTCCAGCCCCACTATAGTTTAGGGGGTTTTTTTTGGTTTTGTTTTTTTGGATTAGTTTTTCAAGACAGTTTCTCTGTAGCTTTGGAGCCTGTCCTGGAACTCACTCTGTAGCCCAGGCTGGCCTCGAACTCACAGAGATCTGCCTGCCTCTGCCTTCTGAGTGCTGGAATTAAAGGCGTGTGCCACCGCCGCCCGGCTAGTTTAGTTTTTAATAGTAAAATAATCTCATGTGGATTAAAATTTTTAAATATTTTTTAAAACCTCCCTCCCAAAATATTAAGATTGGAAAGAGTATTTTCTCTTGTGCTACGTTTAAGTATGGTTAATTATTTCTTATCTGAAACACATAGGATCAGAGGTATTTTGGATTATAGATTGATTTTCCAGATTTGGGGACATTTATGTAAATGTCCCAAAGGATTTAAAAAGTATGTATAAGTGTTTTGTTTGCATGTATGTATGTATACTACGTATGTATGTGCCTGGTACCAACAGAGGTCAGAAAACACTGGATACCATGGAATTGGAATTATGGATAGATGTAAACCACTATGTGGGTTCAGGGAACCAAACTTAGATCCTCTGAAAGAGCACCCAGTGCTCTTAACTGCTGAGCCATTTCTCAAGCCTCCCGACCTGTTTTTTGAGACAGGATCTCACTATGAGTCCTTGCTTACCTGGAACTCACTTTGTAGACCAGGCTGACATTGAACTCAGATAGATCCATCTGCCTCTGTTTCCCCAGTACTGAAATTAAAGGTGTATGCAACAATGCCTGGTGATTTGTGTATAGGTAATGAGAACTGGGGGACCCAATTCTAAACATAGAATCATTTACATTTCTAATACATCTCACACACATTGCCTGAAGGTGATTTCATATAATGACCTATCATAGCAGGTCTGGTACAGGTTTTCCTTTTATGGTATCATGTCTTCAGCACTCTTTTTTTTTTTTTTTGGCTTTTTGAGACAGGGTTTCTCTATGTAATATTCCTGGCTGTCCTGGAACTCGCTTTGTAGACCAGGCTGGCCTTGAACTCACAGAGATCCACCTGCCTCTACCTCGCAAGTGCTGTGATTAAAGGTGTGTGCCACCACTGCCTGGCATCTTCAGCACTCTTATGGTTACAAATGTTGGAGGCATTTTCAAATTTGGGATGCTAAACCTACATGTGTTGAAAATAAAAATCGAAAAAAGATTTATAATTTTGACTACCTACGATTTAAAATTTGAAATGGAAATATAAAAACACAAACCATGAAGTACTAATGCTACAGTAAGAACATATTTACAACACAAAGGGCAGTACTATATACTTTAACAAAGACAGCATGTGAGTGCTGCCAGTGACCCTCCCCAAAGAGTGTATGTAAAGTCCAGGATCATAGATAAGCAAGTATAGATGCAAAAAGGCCTTCAATTTTGTTAACAGTCACACAAAGGCATTAAAATAGTAAGTCACGGTCAACTTCTCTCATATTCACAAAACTAAATGCCAAATACAAAGCCAAGAGGCAGGGGATGCTCAGGCATGAGAGGTAACCTGTACAACATTAGGAAGGACAGTGTATTCATTCATGTGGCAGAGTCTCAGCTTCATGTACTACTGTCATAAAAATTCCAGTGACATAGTCTAAAATGACAACTTTTTTTTTTGTATTTATTCTCTCTTTTTTTTTTTTTTTAAGATTTATTTATTGTGTATACAATGTTCTGCCTGCATGTATCCCTGCAGGCCAGAAGAGGGCACCAGATCTCATTACAGATGGTTGTGAGCCACCATGTGGTTGCTGGGAATTGAACTCAGGACTTCCAGAAGAGCAGTCAGTGCTCTTAACCTCTGAGCCATCTCTCCAGCCCCTAAAATGACAACTTTTAAGTGTATAGCATTGCATGCTCAATAGCTGTGGCATTAATGTAGTGGAAAACAAGAAATAAATATCCTTTCATGAAGTAGCTAAATAAGGCTATGCTATTAAAACTCTATGTAGGGCTGGTAACGTAGCTCAGGTGGTAGAATGCTTACTTAGCATGCACAAAGCCCTGGGTTCGATGCCCAGTACTGTATAAAACTGGAAATATGTATTGATCCCCAGCACTATATAAGACTGGTATAGGCTGGCTTCTGCCAGCACTTAGGAGGTGAAGGAATGAGAATCAGAAGTTCAATATCAGCCATGTTATACAGCAAGTCCAAGCCTAATTGGAGTCATAATCAGTATCCCTAATCTGCCGCCCTCCCAAAACCCTCTATGTAATAAAAATAAACCAAGGCAGGGCTGGGGACATTGCTTAGTATGCCAGTTCCCACTACCTAAAAACAATGCCTGGACATTTCTTGGCAGAAGGGAGTGTGTGATACATGCTGAGTGCAAACAGGACACTAATAGGGTACCATCTGTAATGTAACCCACAAATGGGGCCTCTTCAAAGAGACTGGATGGATGGGCATGAAAAAACTATTCCCAGTATTTTTTATTCTTTATTTGTTTATGCTTTTCCAATGCTGGAGACAAACCAGGACATCACACATGCTAGGTAAGCAGGCTACTCCTGCTAGTAGTTTAGGTGTGGGATTTCAAGTGAGTTTTACTTTATCCCTTGTTCTTCACCAAAAGCATTTGTATTTCCTTTTTTGGTCTTTTGTTTGTTTGTTTGTTTGTTTTTTTGTTTTTCAAGACAGGGTTTCTCTATGTTATAGCTCTGGTTGTCCTGGCACTCACTTTGTAGACCAGGCTGGCCTTGAACTCACAGAGACCCGCCTACCTCTGCCTCCCAAGTGCTGGGATTAAAGGTGTGCAACACCACCACCACCACCACCCGGCATCTTTTTTGGTCTTTTGAGACAGGGTCTCTCAACAAAGCCCTGGCTATGCAGACTGGGCTGACCTCAAATTCACAGAAATCTTCCTGCTTCTGTCCCTTGAGTGCTGGGATTAAAGGAGTATACCACCATGTCCATCCTTTTTTTTTTTTTTAAGTATTTATTTTATTTATACTTGTGCTAGAGTGAATATCCATGCAGGCCAGTAGAGATTTGTCTGTGTCCTCCGGAAGAGCAGAAAGTCACTCATATTTTCTGTATGAGCTGCTCTCATTATAATATTAAGAAATCAAGAGTATTCATAGAAGTTAGATGAACTGCAACAACAGGTAAGACACACCAGAACACAATCACCAGGAAGAAACAACCCAAGGGAGTTAAAGAAAACTGCTCACATTTTCCTTAATAAACAGTTAAATATTAGAAAAAAAAATTGTTACGATTTCTATAGCTTTCCACACTGTGTAGTCCTCTGGAAGAAAGCACAACACACTCTTCCAATCTGTCCCCCAACTGAGTGATGACAAATCAAGTGACAAAGTGGTGGAGACTCCCTAAGCCATGTTCCACCCTTCCCTGATAGGGAGAAAGGTGCTGGAACATGTGCTACAGGTTCAAGCAAAGCTTTTCAAATCTCAAAAGTGATTAAGCAGAAGTGGCGGCTCCTGTCTGTCATCCCAGCACTAAGGAGGAAGATAGGAGGTTAAGGAGTTCAGGGCCAGCCTAGGCTACATAATGAGACTCTGCCAAAATAAAACAAAAGTGTCTAGACCTTTCTCTTCCTAGGAAGAGTGAGAATCAAAGTCCTAAATGTAGAAAGCAGACATAACATCACCAAGTATGGCCTACCACGTTCTTATCACTTTACAGGAGACAAAGCCACCCTTAAATATTAATGCCCATGGCTGAGCGGTGGTGCCACACGCCTTTAATCCCAGTACTTGGGAGGCAGAGGCAAGCAGATCTCTGTGAGTTCAAGGATAGCCTGGTCTACAGAGCGAGATCCAGGACAGGCACCAAAACTACGCAGAGAAACACTGTCTTGAAAAAAAAAAAAAAAAAACAAAAAAACAAAACAACAACAACAAAATTAATGCCCGTTCTGGAGGGCAGGGCTGGCTAAACAATGCTTACCAGACAGTAGAAATACACCCCGCTGTAGAGCTAGGAGACTCTCTGCCAACATATTTTTCCATGTCAGACCCCTGGTTGCCAGGTAATTCTGTGATGGGAAGAAGTATGAAAAGAAATTCCAGTTTAGAAGGAGAATCACTAAACGAATAAGAGGACACTTCATAAAAGGACTCTGAAGGTGGATGAAGCCAGAGCACAGCTGCCCTTGAGTGGCATTTGCACAGAGCCAGTGGATAAACTAGAGTCAGTCCTCTCATAGGTCTTACAAGTTCTTTGTCGAGAGGCTCTTTAGCCTCTGGACCTGAATAAGAATCACTATTCTCTCAGAAAATTCCACACATTCAAAGCACAACAACGGATAAGACACTGAAGGGGAAAAGGAAAGTAGCAAGCGTTAACATTAAATACTATTAAAAGGGACAGAGGAATAAGAAAACAACTTTAAATCATAGTTTTGCTTCTAACATAGTTAAAATTAAACCACTAAACTACTGACTTCTGCTTTTGTAAACTGCTTACTAGAGCCCCCTTCCCTTGTTTTCTGAAAAAGCAGACATATGCCCTTGAGGAATGACAATCACCAATAACCACTTAGATACTGCCTGCCCTATGTAAGCTATGGAATGCTGCTGGTAGAAGCCAAATCTCCTTGAATAGAAGATAGAGGTTTCAGTAGCACACTCTAATGAGAATTTTTTCCTTTTAATCTCTGAGTATTGTTGAATTTCTCCTTTTTACACTCACCCTCACCCACTCACCTATCACCTAAGGGTGACAAGTACAGCTGAATGCCAGGCCTTTGATTTCTCTATTTAGACAGTGTTCAAGGCTGTTACAAAAAGGTTTTCATGTACCTAAAAGTAGAGTGTAGTGGTGCTCAGTTAAGTAAGTCTGGTGATGTGTGCAGGTAAATGAATGTTCTCAAAGGGAGGCAAAGTTCTCAACATAAAAAGGCAGAATTGAACATGTTACAATTCTAAGAGCTAAGCTAGCTTCCTCAAACTTGGGAAAGAAAATGTTCAGAAAGAGGAGCCAGAATTGAGATACCCTCTTTGTAAGATGTATTAACCAATTCATATAGTTTGACAGCATAATCAGCAAACAGGAATTACCTCATTTTAGAATACAGGGAAAAACCTAATATATATATATATATATACAATGTGTGCTGCCAGTTATGGGAGTACATGTCTGCAAGAAATGCTAAAGAGAAAATGTGTCCTAACAGAAACCATAAAAATTATAGGAAAGCTTCATGGTTTTCACTGGAACCCCAAGGCAAGTGTGGAGCTGATACCTTCAGGATGTCCGACTCATAGTTGTTATTGTTCAGCACTCCATCCAAGCACTTGTCCCCCAAGTTGAGCTCTGCCAGAGGAAGGAGGAATGTTATCTTTTTTATAAGGATGATGTAGTATCCAAGTATTGTTTGCCTGACAGGATAACCAAATCTCTTTCCATTATAGACTGTAAATAGCGACAAGCTTAGGAAATGCCTCAGTCAGTAAAATGCCTATCACATAAGTATGCAGAACTGAGTTTCAATCCCCAATATGACTATTTAAAAAAAAGGAATAAAGAAAGCCAAGTGTAGCAGAGCATGTCTATAATAATAGTATTGGTGGAGGAAAGAGACAAGTGGATTCCTGGAGATTGCTGTGTGGTGATATATTGTGTACCTTAATAAAATTTGCCTGAAGATCAGAGAACAGAGCCAGCCACTAGATTAAACATAGAGGCCAGGCAGTGGTGGCACATACCTTTAATCCTAGCACTCAGGAGGCAGAGATCCGTCTGGATCTCTGCGAGTTCAAAGCCACCCAGGACTACATGAGAATGACTCAGTCTAGGAGAGAAAACAGAGCCAGGCTGTGGTGGCACACGCCTTTAATCCCAGGAAGTGATGGCTGGGCAGAGAAAGGCATATGAGGAGGCATGAGGAGACAGGAACTAAAGGCTTTTTCAGACTGAGGAGTTGGTGAGGTAAGAGGTAGTGGCTGTGACTTGTTCCTTTGTCTCTCTGATCTTTCAGCATTTACACCACTACCAGGCTCCAGGTTTTTTATTAAAAGACCATTTAGAAATTCCTGTTACATTGCTGGCCCAACCAGTATAGCCAATTAGTGAACATTAGGTTCACTGAAAGATCCTGTCTCAAAATAAGGATGATGGAATATAATACGGGAGTCCAGTTCCAGGAATGGGTTACATCTTTTTCAGTCATTGGCTAGAGTCCCATAGACTACCCCTAGACATTACAGGCTATTGCCAATACTATTGGTAACCCTCCATGACCTGAGGTAAGACCCTACTGCTGAAGTCATCACATATTTATGTCACCAAACATGGAAAAATCAAGCTGGTACTCTGCTAGATGCTTCACCCCTATTAACTAGCATTCAAAGTGTTCAAAAGGTATTTATTATACATGCTACCAGAGGAAAAAAGTAATCACCAGTCTCACCCAGCTATGAACCCTGTGTGCTGTATTAGTGACCTGTCTGTGAGATATACCCACTGGTGCAATAGCAGCACAAATGTAATAGAAGTAACCAACCACATTTTTTTTGGGGGGGGGCGGTTTCGAGACAGGGTTTTTCTGTATAGTTTTGGTGCCTGTCCTGGATCTAACTCTGTAGACCAGGCTGGCCTTGAACTCACAGAGATCTGCCTGGCTCTGCCTCCTGAGTGCTGGGATTAAAGCGTGCACCACCACCACCTGGCTAACCAACCACTTTTTAAATTAGCTTTAAGGCCTTCTCCATGAAATGGAACACCTACCCAACATTGTTAATGGAGCCAAGAACCTGTCCTAGTTAGGCCATGGGCACTAGAAGAGAATATTCTCCTACATGAACATAGCAATAAAATGATTCCTAGTGGAGCAGGCAGTGTTAGCACATGCCTTAATGCAGCATGCAGCACCACACCCAGCTACCCTTGAATTTGTGATCCTCCTGCCTAAGTCTCGGGGGGGGGGGGGGGGGGGCTAGAATTACAGAAATAGTGTTTTTATGTGAATAAACAATTTCTTCTGTATAGTAACTGCTATTTTTCGTTTTATTACTGCTTGCACTTGAAGCAACATGGGTTTTAGACTTCTAAAGTGACAAAACTTTGTAGTGTAGCAGAAAAAGGCAGGTAATCAATCACTTGATGGCTCACGGTAGCCTCATTTTTTTCTGAACACAGCAGGTCACAATTCAATACCACCTACCCCAAGTAATCAAGAGAACATAATAAAGTCAAAGCAACTAGGCTAAAGAGCTGACATTACCACAGAATGGAGCCAAGCAGCCAAAACAGCCAGTCCGGGTGCAGCCCCAATACAAATGGCAGAAGGGTTGTAGGCACACTGCACCTGTGGACAGAGGACAGTTGGTCAATTGGGACCTAGACTCAAGAGCTCAACTCTCTTTGAAGATAGTCTTTCTGAGGTGTTCTCAGGGAACTAGGGAGCAGAGACAACACCCCAGATAACATCTAAAATGAAAGGTGACAGAGTTGTTATAATTAAGTTAATTTAAAACCAGTGATCTTAAAAACAGCTTGGTCTGCTGGGTGGCAGTGGCACAGGCCTTTATTCCCAGCACTTGGGAGGCAGAAGCAGGCAGATCTCTGGGAGTTCGACGCTGGCCTGGTCTACAGAGCGAGATCCAGGACAGGCACCAAAACTACACAGAGAAATCCTGTCTCAAGAAAAAAAAAAAGAAAAAGAAAAAGAAACAAAAAACAGCTTGGTCTCTGACCCCAGCACCCCAACAGTCCTGGTTCATTGTTCCCCAGTCTGAATATGTGACACACTTCAAGTAGCTGCACATTCATGTCTGCAGATAGCTTTTCTACCTACCATGAATAATGTTTTCATATTGTTATCTTGCACTCTCTTGTGGAAAGGGTTTGTTGTATGATATTTTTTTTGTATTCTAACAAATAAAGCTTGCCTGGAGGTCAGAGGGTGAAGCGAGCCACTAGTTAACTATAGAGGCCAGACAGTGGCACACACCTTTAATCCCAGCACTTGGGAGAAGCAGGAAGATCAGGAGTTCAAGGCCACCCTTGAACCAGTCTAAAAAAGAAACAGAGCCAGTGGTGGCGGTAGTGCATACTTTTGATCCCAGCACTTGGGAGGTGGAGACAGGACCTGACAGCCATTCAGTCTGAGGATTTGTAGAGACAGGATCCCCCCATTTCAGTCTGAGGATTTGTAGAGGTAAGAAGTCTCTAGTGGTTGCTTCTCTGATCTTTCAGCTTTCACCCTAATATCTGACTCTAAGTTTTTATTTAATAAGACTAATTAGATTCACACTTCAAAGGTTTTTTTAATGTTTAATACTTGCCACAATACAATTTCATAGAATATGCTACTAAATAAACCCTAGCTGAAGTTCTTACAGGATTGAATAATTACATCTTTTTAAGGGTATAATCACTTTGTAAATGCCTTTATCTATAAAGCATTTCTCTATACATTTAGTCCAAAGTAAAGACTGCCCTCTTAGCAAAATTTTAAGAACCTAACCTTGGCTGCCACTTGCTGATCTGTATTTCTCAGATGTCAGCATTCTCAGGACTCTTCTATGGATTCTTCTCAACATGCCTAGGGGTCACCCTGGTATGCCTGGAGCTCGTTAGCTGCCTATCCCAGAATGCATACCGCTATTGTGCTACTGTATCCTCTTCTGTACTGCACCAAGTCTAGGCTACGAGGACCACCTCCCCAGAGCAGTCTCCAAGCACACAAAACACACTCCATCTCAGCAGTGGAGAGCTTGTACTGTATCATACATTGTGCCCTTGATATCCAGAAGATTGGCTCAGGCACTGCAGAGACTTGTTGATGTGGCCATATGAGTTTATGCTTTTCTTCATTTAACAGCAAAAATGACCAAGGAACTCTGAAGCTGAGGAATATTTTAAAAAGGCAATAGACATGAACACCATGAACATGAACAAAAATATATTCAAACAGCCATTAAATAAATGAAGAGTTCCATTTGTTTTTTGACGTGTTGCAATGCTGAGAATGAAACCCAGGAGCTTATACATGCTAAGCAAGTGTTCCACCACTTAGCTATCTCTCTTTTCAAAGACCAGTTTTAATGGTAAGAAATGTAAATTAAAAACAAGATATTTCATCTATTAGATTTTAAGTAATACATTATATAACGAATATAGTACTGATATGAGAATGGATATAGATTCATATCCCAGAAGGAGGACCACCTACATAAGGAAATGTGGTCTCCACAAGGCAGTGTTTATCAACTGGTAGGAAAAAATAGAGTGTTCAGTTTGCTCATGTGGGATCAAATTATTATATGCAGATGGAAAAAAATTGTATCTTTGTTTCATAGTCCACATAAAGTCAATTTTATTTGAAAAATCAAGCCATGAAGGATGCACAAGAATGTCCTCCTGTTGGAGGGGGCACCTCAGGGAGACTAACATACTCACACTGCTGAGGGGCAACACTGGAATCCTGCTCACGTTCAGCTCTCCGGTCAGGCATAGGCTGGAAGCAACAGGTACATATGGCATGGCTTCCTTGAAGAGGGCACATATAATCCTGGGCTGCTGAAGCACACACATATTTAGGTCAGAATATATCTAGACACCAGACAAAAAAATTACATTTAGAGAGGCAACTATGAAATACATAGGAGGAGGGACAGGATCTGGGAGGACTTCAAACTACTTCCTAAGTGGCCAAATGATATTCTGCCATTTGAAATAAGGGAATTCAATGGCTATAGCTCAGTGAGTACTTGTCTAGCGTTTGAGAAGTCTTAGACTTAATCCCCAGCACCAAAAATACCCATATACATGTACACATTCATTCATATATACATAAATAATTTTTTTTAAGTAATTGGACTAAGGGAGTTCAAGTCAGGCATGAGGATATACACCTATAGTGCTAGTTATTGAGAATCTGAGGCAGGAAGATCACAAGTTCAAAGCTAGCCTGAGATATGTACTGAGTTTTAGGCCAGGCTGAGTTATAAATTGAGACTCTACTTCAAAAGACCAAAAAGTCGGGCCGGGCGGTGGTGGCGCACGCCTTTAATCCCAGCACTCGGGAGGCAGAGCCAGGCGGATCTCTGTGAGTTCGAGGCCAGCCTGGTCTCCAAAGCGAGTTCCAGGAAAGGCGCAAAGCTACACAGAGAAACCCTGTCTCGAAAAACCAAAAAAAAAAAAAAAAAAAAGACCAAAAAGTCCATTCTGGGTAGTGGTCAAATATCTACCTCTGGTTGCTGAGCACTGCTTTGCTGCCCCAATTATGGGTTCTAGAAGTGACTCAAGGGATGGAGAGATGGCAGAGTGGTTAAGAGCACTGGCTGCTCTTCCAGAGGACCTGGGTTCAATTCCCAGCACCTACATGGCAGCTCACAACTGTCTGTCTGACACCTTCACACAAATGCACACAAAATAAATGGAAGAAGAAGAAGAAGAAGAAGAAGAAGAAGAAGAAGAAGAAGAAGAAGAAGAAGAAGAAGAAGAAGAAGAAGAAGAAGTAGTAGTAGTAGTAGTAGTAGTAGTAGTAGTAGTAGTAGTAGTAGAAGTAGTAGTAGAAGTAGTAGTGACTCAGAGAACTGGAACAGTGTTCTAGTAGGGTAGCCAAGAATGTGGCTCTTAATTACAACCCTAGGTTAGTGGCCTTCTAACATACTCAGGCTAAATACCAGATAAAGGGCTGGGGCTCCTAAGGCTACCTTTAATTTGGCAATGATCACAGTGCCCACTGTAGTAAGAACAGGCAGAGCTAGAACTAGAGTGGCCAACCCCAGGCAGGGGATACTGTTATGCTACCTGCAGCCAGTTCTAGTTGCTAGGCTTCAACCCTCAGAGATAAGAACTTCATGCCCCATGCAAGTGGACAGCTCTCCTTTTCTCTTTCCCTCATCTTCTTTGTTTTCCTTTAAGTTGGGGTGGAACCAAATGCCTTGCGAATGCTAAGCATGCCCTCTATCACTGAGCTGTGTCTCAGCCCCTCTCTTGCTTTTCTTAACGCATCCAGGGACCTATGTGTTGGAAATACAGCTAATGGGAGATTGTTTAGAGGGAAACTCTACGGAGAGACAAAACAGACTATGGGAATTTAGTACACGCTGCTGGAAAGAAGCCAGTCTCTCGTTTGGGTGACAGACACAGAGTGATCATTTTGGCTTTGGCAAACGCCTGAAGCAGTAAGTTGAAGTGAGACCAAAAGTTAAAACCAGGACTGTTAATTACCAGGTGTGTCCAAAAGGGGAGACCCTCAAATAAACAGATATTCACCTAATTTCTTTCTCTTTTTTGAGACAGATGAGGCTAGCCTTGAACTCACCGAGATCCTCCTGTCTCTGCCAGTCTCCCCCCCTTTTTTTTTTGGTTTTTGGTTTTTCAAGACAGGGTTTCTCTGTGTAGCACTGGCTGTCCTGGAATTCACTTTGTAGACCAGGCTGGCCTTGAACTCACAGAGATCTGCCTGCCTCTGCCTCCCGAGTGCTGGGATTTAAAGGTATGCATTATCATGCCTGGCTCTCCTGATTTCTTACCAATACTGGTTATGAGGCTATGAGAGGCAAGAGGATTGCTGAAACAGAGGACTAGAAGACAGGAGAGACTTCATAGAGGAATCGCACCATAGGAAACTAGAACAAGAATCACAAGGATGTAACACAATGGAAGGAAAAGCTCAGAGTTAGATAACACTATCTTACCTGCTGGCAAGCTGGTAGATGTTGATGGTGCTTCCCCACCAAGGGCCTGTGTAGCTCCTAGCTCGCTTTCTGGGACTGGGCAAGGAAGAGACTGCACTGCTTGCCTTCTGTATTCAGGACACTGTCTGCATACAATATATGGCTGACTGTGAGAAGAACAAGCAGAACTGAAGTCACAAAGGAACAGGTAGACATCATTGTTACATTATCATCGACTCTCAGCTCCAGCTGTTGGGCTTCTACTCTTCAAGGCCTCTGCTCTACCTCTACTCACCTGCAGCAACACTTCAGTCTGTGTGTTGAAAGCAGCTGACCCCTCCTCTCTGCCCAGCTCCCACCACTGGGAGGACATTACCCATAACCACCTGGAACAGGATAGCATCCACCACATGATAGCTACTCTGTGTTCAGCTACTTTCTTGTTCAATCCCCCACACCCCATGCTTCAGCGCACTCTACTCTGGACCACTTAGTTCCCACTCAGTAGGACATCGGCTCATAAGCTCCAAGGCCAAGAAAACCCATAAGAGTTGTCTCTTAAGGAGATGCTCATGAGAAAAAACAATACTGAAAGTATTGCTAGCTCACTCAATACAATATGTTAAAATCAGAGCACAGCTATAATCCCAGCACTGTTAAGACTGAGGCAAGAGGGTCCTAGTGAGCTAGAATTACAGGTGTCAGCAGCCACATCCAAATTTGTTTGGTTTGGGGGATTTTTTTTCTTTTCGTAGTATGATAGATTGACCTCATGGTCAATTCTCACATGCTAGGCAAACATTCCATCACTGAGCTACACTTCCAGAACTTTTTTAATATTTTTATTTTGAGATAAGAGTCTAAGTTTCTCAGGCTAGCTGTGAACTCACTCCGTAATCCAGGGGAGGTTATTTACTTTTTTTTTTTTTTAAATAGTATAGCCTTGGCCCAAAACGTACACCTGAAACCAATGTATCGGCAGGTAAAATTGGGTCTCAAAGGGCTGTGTCCTTTCAGCCTGGGGATTATGCCTTTCCTAATACTACTCTAAGAAATTATAACACTACCATTTACAGCCAAGGATTTACAGTCTCTAATTACAAGAATTAGATGTGCTTATGAGGGGAAAACAACACATAACACTTTTCTGCTATAGCCAGTGAATCAGTATTCATGAGGAGGTGGGGTTCACAACCCATTGAGGAAGCTGGGAATGGTGGTGCATGCCTTTAATTCCACTGCTTAAGAGGCAGAAGCAGGCATGTCTGTGAGTTCAAGGACAGCCTGGATAACGCTGTTAAGTCCAGGACAGCCAGGGCTATATATAGAGACAACCAAGCTGAGCATGGTGGCACTCAGGAGGCTAAGGCAGGTGGACCACTGTGAGGTCAAGGCCAGTCTGGTCTACATAGTAAGTTCCAGGACAGCAAAAGCTACATAGAAAGGCCCTGTCTCAAAATAAATATATAAATAAACAAATTAATTAATTAAAAAAGACCATCAAGGCTACCTGAGGTTCTTAACCTATTCATTGTTGCTCAGAGTCCATCCACTCTGGCCATACTCCAATTTGAGGAAACAAGCTAAAAACATAAAGGAAACTGACTTACTGAAGTCCTATAGCTGTACACCCCACAATACAGTTAAGCGCAATATTGATGTACTTCTTATTCCCAGGCACATGTCTAACCTGATGTCTGAGGATTCACTATCAACATCTGACAGCTCCAGCAGGTCCTCTGAACTCCCCTCTTCATCAGAGAAAGACCTCCTGACTTTGGGTTGCAGCATATCTTGAGTGATTCTATTCCTTGCATCCATACTTCTCAGATCTTCTTCACTGCGACTCTTATCTAGATTAAAAAGGGCACAGCAAAATTCACTGGCAAGGGAAACAGGACTAGAGAGAGAATCTAGACTACTCAGAGCAGAGCTCGCAGCCCCAGGCCCTAGAAGGGAAAGTCAGTGAGGCTGACCTGGGTGCTGAATAAGGTATGCTTCCACAAGGTTGTTCAGGATGTGGTTTTTACAGATCCGCTCCACTGGACATCGGCAGGTAGGGCACAAAGATGAACGCTCCATCCAGCCAGAGTAGCAAGCTGCACAAAATGTGTGCATACAAGGCTGCAAACTGGCAGAATATGAAGGAACAAAGAACAAATTTCCTGACAAAATATTCCAAAGATCGGCTACTATGACACTCAGACAAAATCTGCAGCAGACCTACCCAACAACGATGCAATGAGCCAACTGAGGAGAACTCTATCATCTAACCTATAACTACTTAAGCTCAGTGCTATAAGATTAAAAAAAAAAATCAGAGCTATATCCCTGTTTTCGGGGGAACAAAGAACAGATCATAACTTCAGGAAAACAAGCAACAGAGACACCAAGTGTTTGGGGACTTGGTTGGGTAGGATCAGGATCCACCTCCCAAGCTCCCAAACAAAAGCCAAGGGAAGTTTCTCCCAAAGATAATCCTGGGAACTTCATTCTAAGTATTATGTCTTTAGTCAGGAAATGTTTAAAATTCAGTATACTTCACATGATCCTCCTACAAGGCAAAGACCAGGTTTTCTGGGTTACTCATGGCCTGTGTTAGACAAAACCAAGATTGATCATATCTCATTGATTCTATGGCCCTGGTCTCCAGGTTTGAGAATTTCTCCTTGTTGACAGCACAAGTAAAAGGAAAATGGAAACCTGAGTAGATTCCAGGGCAAAAAGAGGATCAAAGTCTGTTTTATTTATGGTCATTCCCCAACTTGTCAAAGGAGTCAGTGCTACCGAATCAACCCTAGGCATATGAAACAGCACACCTCACACAGTCATGCAGAAGGTCTTGACAGATGATGCAGGTTAGTGTCTCCTCCATCTTGTCTGGCTTCACAGAGGCAACTCTGACATCCTCACGTGAGGTTTGCGCATTTCCATGCTGGTCTGCAATCAATAACTGCAGGTTTAAGTCAAGCTCCCCATCTATAAGACAAAAGGACAAGTCCAACCAGTCACAACCACTTAATCTGAAGATACAGAAGATCCTCAGGTTTCTGTTGTCCATCAAAAGCAGAGGAAACAAAGCCACTTATGTATAAAGACTTTTTTTTTGTTGCTGCTGCTGTTTTTTGAGACAGGGTCTCTGCATGTAGCCTGGCTGTCGAGGAACTCACAGACCAGACTGCCCTAGAACAGAGTTGGGATTCAAGGCATGTGCCACCATGCCTGGCTATATAAAGACGATTTTTAAGACGGTCCCAAATAAGTCACATGTTCCTTTGTTCCTAAACTCTAGTTTAGAAGAACAATTGCTGACCTAAAAGGAAAAAAAAGGGGACACACTCAGGATGTGAGCATGTATACATAACACATAAAGGTAACAAGTGGGAGAGGAAAAGGGAAGAGGGAGGACCAGTTGTATAGTATTTTTGTAAATGTCATTTTTGTTTAAACAAATAAAATACGACCCCATGCACAAAGGAAAATCCTGGAAATATAACTCTAAGATGGCACTGGCAGTTTTAAAATGTTCTTTCTCCTGATACATTTATATATACACACATGAAGTACCACTACTACTACTATTATTGTTTTTCAGATGTTCTCTGGGTGCCCTGATTAGTGTCAAACTCATTATGTAGCTGAGGATTACCTTAAAGATCTGATTCACCTGTTTCCATTTCCCCAGAACTGGGATTATAGGTGTGCAACATCATACCTGGCTCAATTTTTATTTTATTTTTACAAGTTGGATTAATAGGCTGGGCATAGTAGCACATGTGGGGGAGGCAGAGGTAGGTGGATCTCTGTGAGTTTGAGGCCAGCCTGGTCTACATAGCAAGTTCCAGGCTAGCCAGGGCTACATAGCAAAAGCCCATCTGAAAAGGAAAAAAAAAGTATACAATTTGAAAAGTCATCTAGAAGGAAATAAATGCAGTTAGTCTTTGCCCTGGCCTTTCCTTACCTAGTTTCCTTATCTGAGGAAATTATTCAGTTTTTTGGGCCATATGTTTGTATTATAATACTACAGTTGACTTATTTTGTTTGCAGTATTGGAATCAAATCTAGAGCCTTACACATTAGGCTCAACCACTGAATTACATCCTTTAACAAATTGATTTACCAATTTGAAAGGTCCTCTTAATATTACTGAGCAAGTATTGATTAAACTTCATTTTATGGCCATCATTATGAATCTACTAAGTATTCACTGCTAAGCTAAGTAGCCTAACAAATTTTTCTATATTATATAATTTTCTATTTTTAAAAAGATTTATTTTTATTTTTTATTTTATTTATTTATTTTTGTTTTTTCGTGACAGGGTTTCTCTGTGTAACAGTCCTAGCTGTCCTAGAACTTGCTCTGTAGACCAGGCTGACCTCAAACTCACAACATCAGGCTGTCTGCCTCCTGAGTGCTGGGATTAAAGGCGTGTGCCACCACCGCCCATACTTATTTTTATTTGTTATGTATGTGTGAGTGCCTGGATGCATGTATGTGTACGATGCACTACCTGGTGCCTGTCAAAGCCCAAACTGGGCATTAGGTCCCCTGAAACTGGAGTTACAGGTGGTTATAAGCCATCATGTAGGTGCTGGGAACCAAACTTAGGTCCTCAGCAAGAGTAAGGGTTCTTAACCACTGAGCAATCTCTCCAGCCTCTAATTTTCCATTTTTGTTAAAATCACCTCACAGTGGTGGTGCACACCTTTAATTCTAGTACTCAGGAGGCAGAGGCAGGTAGATCTCTCTGAGTTTGAAGTCAACCTGGTCTACAGAGTGAGTTCTAGGACAGCCAGGGCTACACAGAGAAACCCTGACTCAAAAAACAAAAACAAACAAACAAGCAAATCACATCATATTAATATATTTTTTTCCTCCAAGATAGGGTCTCTAAGCTAGTCTCAAACTCAGAGATCCACCTGCCTCTGCCTCCTGAGTACTGGAATTAAAGGCGTGCATCACTATGGCCGGCTTAATACATTTTTGGGGGGAAGAAATTAATATGAGAGAGAGAGAGAGAGAGAGAGAGAGAGAATATGTGTGTGTATTTGAATGTATATCTATGCCACAGCATACAAGCACACATGTGGAGGTCAGAGAACAACTTTGGGACGTCAGCTCTCTACTTCCACCTTTATGTAGGTTCCAGAGATTGAACTCAGGCTGCCAGGCTTCACAACAAATGCCTTTTTACCTGCTGAGCCATGTCACCAGCCCTATACTTACTTTTTAAATATAATTATTGTGATTCTTACCATGGCCTCCACAAGGCAATTAATGTATTTTACCACAAATATTCAGATAATCCAGTTTCTTCCCCCACGACATTATTTCTAGCGCTCTTCTATCACACTATTACAGAGCCAGCTGACCTTGAAGTCCAATCCTCCTACCTCTACCTCCCAAGTTCTGAGATTATAGGTATGTGTCACCATATCCTGCTTAAAATAACATTTTTTAAAGAAATTACTGTCCTATCAAAGATAGAAGACTTTAACATCCATTTGTAATTGAAAATGCAGTTTTCAGAACAATAGCATGACTTAGTAGTGAACAGTTCCATTTGAATTATGCAAACAGGAAGAATCCTAGACTTTCATACAGAAAATGCAAGTTGTTACAGTATAAACCTGAGGCAGATCCCATACTTCTGCACACAGTGGGAATCCTCTGCAGGCAACAGCCAGCATAACAAGCACAGGGTACAAGAGGCCAAAGGATGCACAGAACAGCCAGAGTCTAACCTCCTTTCATCCTTTTTTTGGCAGGCTCCAATTCCTCATGGTCTTCAGTTTCCAAAGAAAAGGGTGTTTCTTTGTCTTGGAGAACTGGAGAAAGGCTGGAGAGTTCACCATTTGCAATAAGTGAACTACATTCTTTTAGGGAAATGCCTGCATTCCCAAGTCCTGTGAAAAGGAACAAATAAGACAGGTTGTGATTTATCTACTTCAGAAGAAAGAGTCAGGAAAGTCACTGATTCAATAAGCATAGTGCATTATGGAGTTAGAGATCTCACATGCATCATTTAAGAATGGTGCATGTCTTATACAAATACTCATCCATATATGAGTTATACCTTAAATGCACTAGAGCCCATCTTTGCTAATGAAGCTAGAGGCAAGTGGCACATTCACATGTAAAGACACGCAGGAAGGTCTAGAACAGGATCATCCCTAAATACTAGGTCTAAGAGGTACAAGTACATATTCTTGCAATCACAAAATGCATATTATATACTAAATACACCCAAAAAAGATGTGAAGTAAATACACTTCTGACAGGAGTAGGGAGTATGGTAAAGGAAATAACAGCAACTAACAGGAAGAGTTCTGACCTAAACAGATAGAAGCTTAAGTATCACATACATCTTGAATGAACTTGGCTGAAAAGTCAGGAAACTTTCCATTATTCTCTAGCTTATTCATAATATTATAGTACAATACATATCTACTTTATAATATTCAAATGATAAGCACTAGTATTTGGAAAAAGAAGAAACTGGTTTATACCAATCTAAAGCAAAAAAAGAGGGCCAGGGGAATTATTTCAGGAACAAATTAACTCATATACTAAAGAAAGAACAGGAATCTAAGTTCCCAGGCCATTTCCTGGCCCTGGAACCTACTCCTCCTGACTTTCCAGCCTTTTATGTTCAGCCATGATTTTTATTTGAGGACAAAGATTATATAATGGCACTTTGGAAGGTTCCAGATGGGGAAACTGAACATATAAAAGTACTTATTATACCATCTCACATCTAGTAGGCACTAAGTTTTAACTATAATTATTTTGTTAGTATGAAAATACTTCAGCATACAGATAGAAAATTTTCATTTTTAAAAATTACAAAACATTCTCTGTGAGTTTGAGGCCAGCCTGATCTACAGGGCGAGATCCAGAACAGGAACCAAAACTACACAGGGAAACCCTATCTCGAAAAAAAAAAAAAAATTACAAAAGATATGAAACTTTACCCATTCTATGAAATCTGATCAGAAAGTCAGTAGAGCCTTATCAGACTACATGTTATGCACATAGAGAGATGGAATAGAACATAAATGTAATGGCAAAGTAGGTTTTCTTTGAGTGTTTATGTATGTGTATTGCTGGGGATCAAACCAAAAAAAGAAAAAATGACCAGCCATGAGGAACAGGGCATGTTCAGACTGGTTTTAAGCACCACACAGTTCTGGATAAACCTTGAAAACATTATGATAAATGAAGGAGCCAGTCATAAGACCACATACTGTATGACTATGAACACAAAATGTTCAGAACATACAAATAAATACATGGAGATACATGAATTTCCTTTTATGTGATAGAATGTTCTATAATTAACAGTGATGGCCATATAACCTTGTAAATGTACCTAAAATACTGATGGGTACATTTTAACTAAGTGATATTTATAGTATATTAATTATATTTTTTAGGTAAAATTACAAAAATACTATGTTACCATGGTCCTTAACGTTTAGTCTTTCTCCTGGGAATGAAATAAATTAGTACACATGACTACAGAACACTTACTGATGAATGGATTTACTGTATCTCAAGGAACAAAAAACTGCGACTGTCATTGTGATCCCCATCTCACCAGAGCTAGAGGAATGCTTTTGCCCTGCAGAGGTCAGCTCTGGCTCCATAGAAGAGGTAGAGGCCGTGGGGAAGAGGTCTGATGTCGATGTTGATGGCTGTGGTTCCTCTAAGCATGTTTGAGCCACGGGTGACAATGGTGGAACCTGGAGGTCATCACCCTGCCCTGGACCTGAGGAGTCTTTGGTCACATGGAACATATTTTCTTTATTGGCTTCTACAGGTACAAAAATAAAGAGAATGCATTCAGAACCCAGAAAGACACTCTGGGGGCTGAATGGCCATTCCTAGAAATCAAAGGCCCTTTACAACATGCAGGCCTTTGCCATAGGCTCACTTACCAAAGGATTCTTGAGGCAAGCTTTGTTTTTCATTTAAAGATTCATAGAGGTATGCCACATCTAAAAGGAAATTAACCAAATCAGGGAGTGGTGGCCCCAGTGGAAAGTGAGACCTCCTCACTCCTGCTCATCTTTGATTATCACAAACCTGTCTTTTGATTATCTTCATTTACCATCTGGTAACAACATTCAACAGTTTAAGTGATTCTAATAAAAGCAAACCACATTTTTACTAATCTAAATATAAGCAAGCAACCAAAGGGAAAAATGGCCATAGAAGACAGACAAGGGTGAAAAAGACATGCTTCACTAATAACCACAAACCACAAGAAGGAAGATTCGAGTTCCTCCTATGTGGCTAGAGGCTGGTTTACTTTAAGAGGACCTAAGGAATATTAGTGCCCTCATTTTTCCTCCTTGCCAAGAATGATCTTATGGTGGTCTTCAATTATTTCAGGGTGACATTCAAATATTCTTACAACTCTCCTTATCCTATATGGAGCTGGATCCAGTCTAACCTTTGTTGCTTTTTGTAAAGTCTCCAAGAACAGAACTGCCAATGACTTCCAGGGCCTCCATATGGATTTTATTCCCACACTCCAATTCTACTGTTTAGCCCAGCCCATTTTCTCCTTCTTGGCTGCCATTATAAGCTATGCAGTTCCTGGTGGCATTCTTGAAGAAAAGCCCTGCCCAAAGAGTCAGCACTCTATCCAAGTGTTTACACCAAGAATCTCTGTAATTGTCACTTTCTATGAAAATGTCTGCATCAACACGTTCTTTCTGAGGGTGTTTTCCAGCCTAGAGTTGGACAGCTGGCTTCTTGGTACAACACCTGGGGAAAGTATCTACACCTCAAAATTTTTCTCTCTTACTGTGTTCTGGCTCATTCTTCCTGTATACCAAATAGATGACATCCCCACTCTGTAAAGGGTAAGTCTGCTTCTTAACAACTTGCAGCTTGTTGATTACTGTTCCATTGGTGCTGTAAAGAAAACAAAAGTGTAAGTCACCCTACTCAAAACAATTAAATAGGGTAAACTCTTTCTACTACCATTAAGAAATCTGCTCAGCATTACCATTTTGAAAATACTCAGAGAGGACAAGAAACTATTTAACTGCCAGCCAGTAGTGGCAAACACCTTTAATCCCAGCATTCATGGGGCAGAGGCAGGCAGATCTCTATAAATTCAATGCCAGCCTGGTCTACAAAGCAAGTTCCAGGGCAGCCAGAAAGAGCTGTTACAAAGAGAAATACTGTCTCACAAAAAAAAAAAAAAAAAAGAAAGAAAGAAAGAAAGAAATTATTTAACTGTTTCATATATGCAAGTACCATCTGATAATACTCTAAGACAAAAAGCTTGCCTGTTACTACCCATTTACTGGCAAATGAGCAACTCTGGGTTGCACACACACACACACACACACACACACACACACACACACACACACACACACACACGAGACACAGTGCCTGTGGAGGCCAGAAGAGGGCACTGGAACTCCTGGAACTGGAATTACAGATGGTTTTGAGTGGCCATGTGGGTGTTGAGACTTGAACCTGGGTCATCTGCAAAAGCAGCATGCTTTTGACCGTTCTATTCTTTCTTGTACGTCTCGAGGTAGATCCTGAGGTCTAATCCTGAGACAGCACAGTGCCGTCATATCCTTCTTTCCTGAGCTGTCAATAGCTCAGTCAGTTCTCTCCAACAGTCATGACCGCAGTCAGTTCATTCCTTGAACTAATCCTTCCCAGAAGATGTATTCAAGACAAAAGCAAAATAAAATTTGGGCTTTCAACTGGAAGATAGCATGGCTCCTGAGCTCAGAAGATGCAGTGACAAAATTATAATTAATCACATTGCTAGATGGGAAGGCCAAAGGACATATCCCAGGCCTAGACTGTGGGGACAGGAAAGATTCTCTTGGGAAGAACATTTTGGTGGAGACCTATTAGAAAATCAGGAATTGAGCACACGATGGCCAAAGAGCACAGTACACTGAACACAAAATTCAACAACTGAACCAGTCCTTGGCTCTGCAGCTTCATTCTGGAGGTCCAGCACTGGAAGGAATTTGTATGTCACTCTTGAACTTTAATTCTCTCAGGTCAAGGAATGATGAACATTTTCCATAAAGCACATGGCACTAGTTCAAATTCTGTGGTCACAAAGTCTCACTCCAACTACTCAGCTTTGGCACTGCAGCATGACAGCAGCCAAGACAGGACTTAAATACACAGGCATGCCCACGTCCCAGTAAAACTGATAAACTGTATGCAGACCACAATCTTGACACAATCCTAACTGGTCCTCTGCAACCAGGCATCTTCCAATTGTCCATTTCATACTGGTTCTCGAAAAATGAACCCCTTTTCTCAGGCTGAAGCCCAAATGCCCTGCTATAATTCCGACTCATCACCTCCACCTACCCCACGTCCTTGTGCCTCTGCCTGGGCTACCTGCTTCTCCTCCAGCCTACCTCTGCCCCAGAAGACAGCACCTCTGACAGGAGATTGTCCCAAGAACATCCAGAAGGAATGTAGCCTACTAAGACTAAGCAGTAGATGGTCAACAGAAAATTAACTCAACATCGTCTTTGAAGGCTCTTTGTCTCATAATGTTGTGTCAGGGCTTTTATTTTATTTTCTTCTCTCTTTTAAAAATTTAATTTAAGACCGGGCAGTGGTGGCGCACGCCTTTAATCCCAGCACTCGGGAGGCAGAGCCAGGTGGATCTCTGTGAGTTCGAGGCCAGCCTGGGCTACCAAGCGAGTCCCAGGAAAGGCGCAAAGCTACACAGAGAAACCCTGTCTCGAAAAACGAAAAAAAAAAAAAAAAAAAAAAATTTAATTTAATTTTATTTATTTGTTTTTACCCTGTATGTCCTTTGCATATATATATGGCTTCTGGTTTTGTTATTTTATGGGATTCCTGAATGTGTGACTGAGTGTGTCTCTGTGTCTGTATCTATTTCTTGTGCCTTTTCTTGGGGTCTTTTCCTTCTGTTTGTAATATTCCAAATTCTTTGTTTTTGTTTTATCTTACTATATTATATTTATTATTATTATTATTATTATTGTTAATATGAATGTTTTCTAATGAGAGAAAGAATGGGTTGGATCCAGATGGAAGGGGAAGTGGAGAGGGACTGGGAGGAGTAGAGGGAGAAGAAACCATAATCAGAATATATTGTATGAAAAAAAAAAATCTATTTTCAATAAAAGTAAAAGAAAAACCTATCAATATATTTTAAATCTTATTTCTGAGTATGTGAGCCATATTTGATTTAATTAGAAAATGAGCCAATGGAACTAAACCACACCCAGGATCCCATATGGAAACTAGAAAATGTACATCCTGATGAATGGAGAACCTGAGCAGTACTTTAGAAAAAGGAAGCCCCTGTACACTGTAACAGCATGTCAGCTTCCTAAGTTACAAAAGGAAAGAGAAAATACAGTGCTCACCTGGTGTCTTCCAGGGTCACCTGACCAGATTTGTCATCCACTCTAAGTTTACAGTGATCTCCAGAGACCAGTTTATTGCTGGGGAAAGAGAGGTCACAACCTGAAACAGATGGCAAGAAGGTACTGGACATTACTGTGGGTTCTGTGAGTACTACTGCCTTGCTTTTCCAGTCTGTGACCAATTGTGCCTACAAACACAAACAACATTTAAGTACTCAAGTGTTAACCTAAAGTACAGGGCCACGGTGTACGCCCCATGCCTTCCTGAACCCAGTCACCTGCAAGAAACCCATCATAGCAACAGCTTCTTTACAACAGTTTATCACACAAATAGCTCAGAAGAGAAATAGATCTCAATTGTAAAAGCAAAACAAAAACCAAAGGGTGTAATTAAATTTTCAGTATTTTAAACTAGTTCTTCCTGGGTGGCGGTGGCACATGCCTTTAATCTCAGCACTCAGGAGGCAGGGGCAGGTGGACCTCTGCATTCCAGGACAGCCAGGGCTACACAGAGAAACCGTATCTCAAAAAATCAAAAATACATAAATACATAAATGAGCCAATCAATAAATAAATGAAAAGAACAAGCAAGGCAAGAATCCCAGTACTGAGGTACCTCACAGGCTAGGGTAGGAAGATTTTAGGCTGGAGGTCAGCCTGGGCTATATATCTTAAGACTGTCTCAAAATAAGTGAACCATGAAGGGTAAGGGGGAGACAATGTCCCATATGAAACCACAACCTTATCCTGTTTTGGCCTGTGCTTTGATTCCATCACGGACCTATGGACTGGCAGATCAGAAGACTCAATACTTCCCCTCCTTGGCCCACCAAATTTTATTGGCAAGAAAGGGAAAAGCCAGGATCAGCATCTCTCCCTTCATCACCTACCAGGTGAAATCCTCTGTAAGAAGTCTAAACATCTAATGACTCAGAGGGTCTGGGGGATGAGTGTTTGTATAACACATGGCCCTTAACTAGGCTGCACAGACAGCAATACCCTGCTCCAGCCACCATATGATGTTCATGAGCTGCTGGCACTTCAGGATATCAGCATACATGTTACCCAGATAGGCTTATATGCAGTTGATCATTACCTAGATCTGTACCAACTGGGCTCTAAAGTGGACTTCTGTCTCTGTTAGCATGCCTTCTAGGAAAGCTTTTATGTCAGGCTATAAATGGAGCTATATTTCAAGATTCTGGAGGATATGTTGTAGGTCAGTAACCTAAGACTTGTTCACGTAGAGTTATTTCATGTGGTAACCACTTCAGAGTTCAGCCAGTTTGATTGGACATCAGTTGTTCATCCTTGTAGTTCTTCTCTGCCACAATCTCATATGGTCTTGTCTCTTTAGAACATGAATTGGTCAATGCCCAGAGTAGACTATATGTCCACACTAGCCTGACCAACCACCAGATGCTCTGACTCAAATGGGCACTGCCCCAGATTTCAGTTGCATTATGATGGGTGGCACATGTTTTGTCAAGCCAGGAAGATTGTCCCCTGGCCAAACTAGGAATTTCCTGCATCAGCAACTTTTTCTATTCCTCTTCCAGGGAATGTGTTGGATTTTGGAGAAGTAGATATTTCTCAGTTATTGGATAGGTTATAGTTAAAGCCTTAGTAGAGATGTTCAACTGCAACCTAGGAGAGTCTCCTGAGAAAGCTATTGTTGCCTGGAGCTTGTTCAAGAGATCCCACCCCAGTAAAAGGTAGAGACATTTAGGATTCTGCAGGTACATCAGCTTTTCCTCTAGGCTTGCAACCTATATCTCCACATTGTTCAAGATCAGTTCACTGATGTTTGTCTTCAGGCTCAGATACAGGATCTGGTCTGATGCATCTAAATTTTGATTTATTTAGAAATCATCTACAGCTAGACAGGTGCTGTCCATCTGTGAACAAATCTGGAGTTGCCAATGAAGGCAGCCAAGAATCTTGTCCGAAAGGTCCTCCAGGGTCTTGAGGTAGTGTTGATGGTCATGGAAGGTCCCAAGCCCCTGCTTCTGGTATTTGCCTCCTGCTCGCTCTGGTCTGACAAATCACTGAGATTCTACATAGGGACCTTTTCATTCCTTGCCAGTAGCTCAATAGACCCAGCCAAAGTACAGGAATAACTTAGTCACCACAGAGGAGGATGAGGACATGAAAAGGTAGAAGACACAGACAAGGTTTGCCCCCATGGATGCTGGGTTCATAGAAGTGCTCCTAGCCCCAAATGTTCTATCCAGGGCCCTGAAGGAGGAAGTATCTGACAACTAGTGGAAGCTGTTGGAAGTCATGGTGAGGGTAGGATGCCAGTGACACTGGCTTGAGGAGATGAAGATGGCAGGAGTTAGAAGATCCTGTGTTATTAAGATACTTATATTTGTTGGGAAGCTCTGCTGGGGCCCCTCTCCTCTCATTCCAGACTCCGCCCCTCAGAAAGCCCGCCAAGAGTCGGCTCCTCCCCCTGAGAAGAGAAGGTCTCTAGACTGGCCATGTGATTCTTCTCCTGCTTTCTCCCCCAGAGAATCACCCAGGGGTGCTTTGCTCATTAAACCTGGACTTTTAATTTAGCCTGATCTGATTTATTGCATCAGCGAAGAAACCCAGTATTGGGGTATGAAAACCCTTTCACTCTTCTGCCATTCAAAGCCAATTCCATTCAACTCCATTCAAAATCCCATAAAACTTTTAGTGTGGATATCAGAGGACAACCTCCAGGTGTTAGATCTAGCTTTCCACCTTGTAGTATTAACGAACTAGTACAATGACCTTTACATTGTTAGTGATATTAATAAACTCACTGGAAGTATTCCTATGAGCAAGCAGATTTTTGTTTCTTGTTTTAGCATGCAATGGAGTATCTTGATATGTATGTTATAATAATGGGCTCTCTAATGCATGTGTGCGCGTATGTACATGATCATATGTTTGCAGAGGTAGATGTCAGATATCTTCCTCTCTTGCTCTACATATTATTTTTTGAGACAGGGTCTCTCACTGAACCTAGAGCTCAAGAATTCTGCAAAACTGGTTGGCCAGCAAATTTAAGGGACCCTTCTGTATCTGCCTCTCCAGAACTAGGATTACAGTCATGTACCACCACACTTGGCTTTTGATGGTGTTTTGAGACAGAGTTTCTCTGTGTAACTTTGGCTATCCTGAAACTTACTGTGTAGACCAGGCTGGCCTTGAACTCACAGAGATCCAGCTGTGCTGAGACTATAGGCATGTGCGCCACCACCACCTGGCTAGCATTTTTCCCCTAAAGTTCTTGAGGTTTATTTTTTCATCTATCAACTGCTTAAGTGTGGTGTCTAATTTCATAACCTTTCAGTTTTCCTTTTGTTATTGATTTCTAATTTCATTCCTTTGGGAAAGAGAAGTGTACGGTAACAGGCACAAGATTGCATTCTGAAGGACATATTTGCAGATCTACTGAGACCCTGTTTCAAAAAATAATATGTAGAGCAAGAGAAGAAGATGTCTGACATCTACCTCTGCAAACATATGATCATGTACATGTGCACACACATGCATTAGAGAGCCCATTATTATAACATGCATATCAAGATACTCCATGATGCATGCTAAAACAAGAAACAAAAATCTGCTTGCTCATAGGAATACTTCCAGTGAGTTTATTAATATCACTAACAATGTAAAGGTCACTGTACTAGTTCGTTAATACTACAAGGTGGAAAGCTAGATCTAACACCTGGAGGTTGTCATCTGATATCCACACTAAAAGTTTTATGGGATTTTGAATGGAATTGAATGGCATTGGCTTTGAACACCAGAAGAGAAGTAGTATCTTAATAACACAGGATCTTCTAACTCCTGCCATCTTCATCTCCTCAAGTCAGTGTCACTGGCATCCTACCCTCACCATGACTTCCAACAGCTTCCACTAGTTGTCAGATACTTCCTCCTTCAGTGCCCTGGATAGAACATTTGGGGCCAGGAGCACTTCAATGAACCTAGCATCCATGGGGCCTTAGCTGGGCAAATCTTGTCTGTGTCTTCTACCTTTTCATGTCCTACTTTCGTTGTTGTAATGAGAACTGAATAATATCCATCATCAAACAACCAGAGGACCAACTGAACAGACAAATAAGTAACTAAATAGCAGGTCCAGCTGGAAAGCCCATTTTATAGAAGAAAAAAAAAAGGGGGAAAGCACAGTGCACCCTTCTCCGCATTCTGATAGTCTCTGTACCACCAGCCCTGTATTTTGCCCACCTCAAGTCCCCTGTCCGCTCCCCCATCTAAGTCCACTTTGATGCCTAGGTCTTCGATCCTGCTCTAGGCCCTCAGTCTCTGTCCTCAGTTGGGTACACCCTTTGGGTCCCTAGCCTTAATCCCTGTTCACCCCTTCAGCCCTTATCCTCGTTCTCAATCCACTCTGGCTTCCGCACCTCTCCTCCTTCCGATGGTCCACTCGCGTTTCCACAGAAGGATTTGAGGTTCGTCCTCCTCCGCGCCTAGACGAAGGAGCCTCCCCCAGGGCTCCTGCGGTGGCTGCTGCTCCTCTTCTCCGGGTTGCTCCATAGGACTCACATCTATAGAGACCCGGAAACGATGGCTTAGGGACTACCTCACAAACTCAACACCGCCGCCAGCTCGCCGGCCGCCGACTCCCCAGCCGGGACCCCGCCCGCCAGCCAGCTTACCCCCCGCCCTGCGCGGATCCCGGAACCGGCCACACAGCCGCCGCCGCTGTCAACAGACATCTCGGGTCCCTCAGCTGATCCACGGTAGGCGAGGGGGAGGGGTTTAGGGCGGTACGCCGGGCGATTGGCTGGCGGCGGGGCCCACAGAGAGCGACGGCTAGAGCGGTGCCAGGAACAGCGATCCAGAGGGGGCGGGCCGAGGCGATCCGAGCCTGCGCAGACAAGAGGATGAGCACTTGGTTGCCATCTTTGATGCTGGTAGGTCGGCTTACTCTCCTGCAAAGCTCGGAAATAGCTGTGGAGGGCGCCATGTTATGTTGAGGCAAAAAGGGCCGAGTAACTTCTAAATTGCAAAGTCCTTAAAGCCTCGCCTGTAATACAAATACGGTTTTCTAGTTAATCTGTAGCGAGATAAAATACTATTTTCACAGATCAGATTACAAAACGGGGAGTTTTGGTACACTGGACCAGCCTTTAGCAAGGAGCACAACCAGGCTGTCAATCAGAATAGAAACGGGTAACTGGTCTCTGAGGGCAGACTTGCGATATCTTTCCCATTAAATCATGTTTCTTAGACTCTTGTGTAATTCCTGTGTTGCATCCCAAAGAAGGATGCACAAGCATGTTTGTGGCCCTTAGTGAAAGTGAAACATTGGCAAAAACAATGCCCAGGAAGAAGGAAGTCACTGAAGACAGGGAGGCAAGTCCACATAGTGAGTGGTACTCTAGCCGCTCAGAGGAATGTCTTTGCTGATGAACAGCTTCAAAAAAGTATTAAACATCGGATTTAAAAAAAATAAAAGATATACTGGGCAGTGGTGGCACGCCCTTAATCCCAGCACTTGGGAGGCAGAGCCAGGCGGATCTCTGTGAGTTCAAGGCCAGCCTGGTCTACAGAGCAAGATCCAGGACAGGCACCAAAACAACAGAGAAACCCTGTCTCGAAAACAAACAAACAAACAAACAAACAAAAAGACACATACACAAACGTATTTGTAAACATATGTGGGAATGCTTCTTTGCCAAGATCTACAAGTATCTTTGAAGGATATGAAAGGAAGTAGCAGTGGCTGCCTCTAGTAACATGGAGTCAGCACAGTGATTAGACTTGCATTCAACATTTATAGCTATTCCTAGCCTTAAGGTAAGTGTGTTCGAAGTAATGCTTCACTAGATGATTTCATTGTTGAGTATCGTATTTATAAAAGCCTGGATGGTAGAGCCTACTACATAACTAAGCTATATGCTGTCTATTGTTTCGAGGCTATAAACCGAATAGCATGTTACTGCACTGAACATTGTAGGCACTTGTAATACAACAATATTAGTGTATCTAAACATAGAAATGAAACAATACTAATACTGGACAATAGGAATTTTAAAGCTTCATTGAAATCTTTCAGAGCCACCACTGGTTCCTTCATTAACCAAATTGCTATGTGGTGCATGATACTATATTTGTATCATAGAAATAAACTAGTAGATTTATGTTCCCTGCACAGCAAGACCCATAAATTCCATGTACTGGAGCCAGGGTGACCATCATTTGGTGTGAATTCCTTGATCAAAAGCAACAATGTATAGAATACAGTGATGGTGGAATTACTGAGTAATTGGATAGAAGCATTTCATACAGAGAATGCAAACAATATTGTTTGAGTGGGAGCTCCACCTCAACCCTTGGCACCCTGGCATCCCTATTCCCAAAGAGTCTGGAATGTTCTGGTGGAAGATCTACCTCAACTCCCCTCCCCCATTTCTTTCCCCAAACCCACCCCTTCATAGCCTGCCAAACACAGCTCCTCCCCCAGAGAGGCTCAAGACCACTGACACAGGGTATATAAGCTGTCATCCCTGAAAACAGACACGTGATTCTTCCAGTCTCTCATCCCAGACTCCTCTCAGAGGGGCTGGAGAATCACCCGGGAATGCTTTACCCATTAAACCTGGGCTTTTCCTGATTTGCTCTGATCTGAATTGCTGAGTCAGCAAAGAAGCCTATCAGGGTGCAAAATACTTATCATCTATACGTACTGTCGTTCTAGTAAGAAAATACTGCCTCCTTCCTAATGCAATGTTATCAACTTGCTACCAGGTTGCTGGCTGGTTACCTTGGGAAAAGGAGCCATAACCAGAATTTTGTGTCAGATTTTGGTACTAAGTCGTGGCTATGGTGGTACAGACATACATGCAGGCAAAACACCCACCATGATGAAATTAAAAAAAAAAATCTGCTGGATACAGTAATATGTGTCTATGCTTTCTCAAAAAGAGAGTAATTATCTGTATAAAAATCTCATGGCAGCCGGGTGGTGGTGGCACACACCCTTAATCCCAGCACTCGGAAAGCAGAGGCAAGTGGATCTGTGTGAGTTCAAGGCCAGCTAGGGCTGTTACAATGAGAAATCTTGTCTCAAAAAAAAAAAAAAAAGAAAGAAAGAAAGAAAAAGAAAGAAAGAAAGGAAGGAAGGAAGGAAGGAAGGAAGGAAGGAAGAAAGAAAGAAAGAAAGAAAGAAAGAAAGAAAGAAAGAAGAAAGAAAAAAGAAAGACCATAGATTTTGCTGGATCATGTAGCCCATATGGCAGAGCAGCTTTCGTAAAAGCAGCACCATGGACTGTTTTATTTCAGAGTCTCCTGTAACTAGCTTCACCTCAAATTAACAGTTTTCTTTGCACTAAGTGAATGATCTGGGTTGAGGGTACACCCTCCATACATATTTCAGTGGTAGTATTCATTTAGAATGTATAAAGCTCTGGGTATGATTCCTAACATCAAACAACAAACTAGAGTTCTGTTTCATCAACATAGAAGTATTCTGCTAGAGTAAGACTTGTTGCCTAGCAAGCTGGAAACCTTAAGTTGAACACCAAGTAGAAAATAAACTCTGACTAGGGACATTGTGGAAGAGTCTGAAGACTACAGAACAAAGACTAATAAATACTTTCAGAAAAGTATCAGGAAAAAAATCAATACACAAAATCAATAGCCTTGGAGCTGGAGAGATATTTCGGAATCCATATAAATCTGGATATGGTAGAACATGTTAGTTGAAAGGTTTACAACACGCCCCCACGGTCGGGCGTGTTCGCATATGCCCAACAGACACTTCCACCTAGCCAGTTCCAGGTCAGGATAGCCATTTCCGGGTCAGGGCATCTTGCGTGACCAAGATCCGTGACGTTCCATTGGCTACGTAGGCGCGCAACGTGGCCATGTGATCTACGCGCTTGCGTGTAGTAGTGACGCTGATCTATCCACGCCCAGCCTTTAAAATCCGGCGCCATGTTCCCGGTTCCTTCTTCTTCTTCCTCCTTCTTCTCCACACACGTGCTTCCCGCAGGCCTGTTCACTCTCTGTCCCTTTACTTTTAATAAAACTCTTGTTAGCGGATTCTGTCGTATTTCGTGACATTTCCTTGCAGGGTAAGAACACAACGCAGCCGAAAAACTAACATTAGTAATCTCAGCATTCCTGTGGCAATATGGAGAACAGAGACAGGACAATTCTTAGATACCTCCTTAGGAGCCTGTGGGTCAGCTAGCCTTGAATATGCAGTGGTGAATAACAATAGACCCTATCTCAAACAAAGTAGAAGGCCGGTAGCAATACCTGAGGTTGTACTCTTGATTTCCACTTGTATGTAATGGCATCCACACACCTGAAAATGCATCTCCCTGACTCTCTCTCTGTCTCTCTGTCTCTCTGTCTGTCTCTCTCTCTCTCTTGTCTCTCTCTCTCTCTCTCTCTCTCTCTCTCTCTCTCTCTCTCTCTCTCTCTCTCTCACACACACACACACACACACACACACACACACACACAAAGGAAACAACAACAACAACAAACCCAGACATGTAGATCAATGAACAGAGTAGAAGATAAATTCAGGCAGTGAGAGTCACATGATTTTTGACAAAAATGCCCAAAAATACTTGAAGAAAAGATAAGCTCTTCAACATGCTGGGAAAACAGGATATCTACACAAAGAATAAATATCCATGTCAATAACAAAACTAGATCCTTGTTTCTCACCCTGCACAAAAATCAACTCTACATATATCAAAGAATTCAACATAAGACCCGAGTCTCTGAAAAAGTAGGATTAAGATATAACATAGTTGGTGGTGTGTACACCTTTAATCCCAGCACTCAGGAGGCAGAGACAGGTTGATCTCTATGTGTTTGAGGACAGCCTGGTCTACAGAGTGAATTCCAGAACAGTCAGGGCTGTCACATAGAGAAACCCTGTCTCAAAAAAACAAACAAACATATATATATATATCTTGTATAATATTAGAGGAACCAGCCTTAATACTATACATCCCAGGGGCTCAGGAGAGAGAACTACTAACAGCGAAGACTATTTTTGGAAAATAGAATCTCAGCACACGGAGCTCTATAGTCCACTTGCTTTAATTCCTCTGACATAACATACTTTATACACAGCTTCAGTTCTGTTCTCATGTCTAGCTCCTTTCTTGCCTGATTTCTCTCTATACTTATCTATTGCTCCCTCTAAGTTCTATCTTAATTCTCTCATCTTAATTCTGCCTCATCTAGGTCCTTTTCAGCTTGTTCTTACTCAGCTAGTACTTTCCCATCTGGCTCTTCCTCATCTTCCATCTCATTCCTCTAGTACTCTCTTCTAGCCCTTCAATCTAGTTCTTCCCCATCTCAGTTTGTTCCTCTCAAGTTCTTACCTGTCTAGTTCTTCCATTCTCCTTCCTCTTCTCCATCCTGTGCCCTGGAAGTCCTGGTATATAAAGCCAGGCTTCCAGGGTCAAACGGAGGGGTGATAAGAATCACACTGAGAGGCAATAACCATTAATTATCATTTGCAACCCCAAAGGGAAGTGACCAATGGGGAAATGAATTAACTAAAGGCTAAATTTGAGTAATATCTAAGAAGAGGGAATTTTATATGCTCAACTATAATCTTAAACGTGATTAGTAGAAAATGTTAAGAATCTCTAAGTTGCTAGGTCAATGGGAGAAAATAAAACTGTCTTCTTTTTTCCTGTGGCTCCTATCTGTTCAAGCTATCTGCCGTTTTTCTGCAGGGTGGGGGAAAGTGTGCTCAGTCGCTGTGTACAGCTAGATGCCTCTGGTGATAGTTAAA